TTGCAAACCGGAGGTCTTATACTTAGGCCATGTTGTAGGTAGGGATGGAATAAAACCCAACCCAAATAAGGTGGATGTCGTTAAGACATACCCAGTGCCCCGTAACTGTAATGAAGTACGTAGTTTTGTTGCGTTAATATCATATTACAGGCGATTTATCAAAGACTTTGCTTCGATTGCTAGCCCTTTGAATAATTTACTTAAGAAAGGAGTTAATTTTCAATGGACCGACGTATGTCAGGTTGCTTTTGAACGTCTAAGGGACTCTTTACTTAAATCACCCATCCTTTCATACCCTAACTTTAAAGAGAGATTTTGCCTTTATACAGACGCTAGCAATACGGGTTTGGGTGCAATTCTTGCACAGAACATAGATGGTATCGAAAAGACCATAGCTTTTGCAAGTCGTAGTTTAAAGCCTCACGAGCGTAAGTACGCAACCATTGAAAGGGAATGCCTTGCATTAGTTTGGGGTATCAAGTACTTCCGCCCCTATTTGTATGGTAGGGAATTCGACGTAGTAACGGATCATAACCCCTTAAGATGGTTGGATAATGCCAGGGACCCCCATTCTAGACTTTCTCGGTGGTCTTTGACACTTCAAAGTTATGCATATACCATCAAGCATAGGCCAGGCAAGTCACACGGGAATGTCGATGCTTTGTCTAGAATGCCAGAATCTACTTCGGATAGGGAACCCCCAAGGGAGGAATTACCTGCTTTGATTTGTGCTATTGATACGCCAGGTTTGCAGTTAGAACGCATCAAAGAGCTCCAACACCAAGACCCTGCTTTGACAGACCTTATAAATTATTTCGAACAGGGGGATATCCCCGAGAGTTCCATCTCAGCTCGCAGCCTTATGGCTACGGTCGAAGATTACTTATTTGAGGAAGGTGTATTGTATCATTTAGACCGAGGTCGAGCACGGTCAAGAACCAACGTTTCCAAGCAGCTAGTAATTCCCAGATCTCTTAAAGATGAGGTTATGTTATCTTTACACGAGGAAATAACTTCTGGTCATCTATCATTCCTTAAGACATACCTAAAAATTAAACAACGCTTTTTCTGGACAGGTATGTACACAGAAATTGAGAAATGGTGTGCTTCTTGTGTAGACTGTGCAACTAAGAAAACGCCGCGAAATTTAGCTAAGGCACCTCTACAGCCCATCCCTGTAGAAGGGCCGTTTGATCGCGTGGCTGTAGATGTTTTAGGCCCATTTCCAACATCGCAGCGTGGTAATAAGTATGTAGTAATTTTTACCGATTATTTTACCAAATGGCCTGAGGCATTTGCTGTCACGAATGCTGATGCTCCTACCACCGCCAAATTATTCGTTGAGGAGATCTTGTGCCGACATTCAGCTCCTCGTAAGTTGCTATCGGATCGGGGTAAGAACTTCTTAGCTAAAGTAGTGAAGGGTATTTGTCAGATGGTTAACACGTCTAAGGTTAACACCACAAGTTATCACCCGGAATGCGACGGACTAGTTGAACGATTTAACCATACACTTACCACCATAATCTCTATGTACGTGTCAGAACATCATGGAGACTGGGACCTTTTCATCCCTTACGCTTTATTTGCCTATAGAACTGCCGTACAATCTAGTACAAACGAGACTCCATTTTATCTTATGTATGGAAGAGATCCAAGACTTCCTATAGACGTCTCCCTAACGAAAGCACAAGAGACTTATTGTAACACTGACGATTATCGTGGAGTAATTGCAGGTAGATTCTTAGACGCACGGAAACTGACACGCGACAATATAGAACTAGCCCAACAGAGACAGAAAAGCCAATATGATAAAACTGCCAAAGACGTCACGTACGATATAGGACAACAGGTTTGGTTATACACCCCGAATAACAGAAAGGGTCTCTCCTCTAAACTAACTCACAATTGGCACGGCCCATATCGTATTCTGGCCAAGAAATCTCCAGTAAACTATCTCCTCGGTGCTAACGAAGAGCGTAATTATATCCAAACCGTTCACGTAAACCGCCTTAAGCCATTTATTTCAGCAGATGATAGGCCTAATCTAGATGCTCCCAATATTGACAATTGCAACCAGGAGGAGGAATCTGCTTGTTTGGATGATGAGAGCGACACAGATCCAGCTGAACTAGTAGTTAAGGCCATTCTGGACAAGAAAATAGTGAAAAATCGATCTGGAAGACGCGACACCTACTATCTCATCCAGTGGGAAGACGACAGTCTAGAGCCATCGTGGGAGCCTATCAAAAACTTGCACTGTGGTGAGCTTTTAAAAGAATTCGAAACTTCGTTACATAATAAGAAAACTTGCTAGTTCGTACAGTGGCTACATTGTCACAAGAATCGAGGGCGATTCTTTCCCCTGCCCCGGGAGGAATGTAATACCGCTACTCCAAGCGCTAAGCCTCGCTCTTACCTGCCTCGTTTGCGCATTTCCTTCGCCTCATTCATCCACTCTCCCAGCGTTAGTCATACTTGTTTGTGCATACTCTTTTACGTCAACTTGCATCGCACTCTTTGTTGCATTGCGTATACTAGTAGGAACACTTTCACTAAGGAAACCCACCCTCTATTATAGTATTATTTTAAGAACTACACTACGGATTGACTCAGCTTATACATACGTATCTAGACACTTTCCTATTGTTTTTTAGCTTGTTTTTCCTCTTATGTAGACACCTAAGATTAGCACATTTACATATTTTATTTGTACAAGGAACTAGTTTAACATATATATATCGTTCTCTACGAATCCTGAGTTAGTTAAGAGTTAGAGCATTGTGAGCACGTACACTTCGCTCTTGTGAAAGGCTTAGTGTTACAAGTCGTACAACGATATACGTTTGAGAAAACTATATCTGTGTTTATTTGTTGTGTCATTCTGAAGTTTTGCCGAACATTTAGCTCGGAACCTGCCGTATTTAGGAACCAATTTACACCCTGGCCATGACGCCCTGGGGCAATTTATCCCATCTTGACGGCCCTGGCGATAACTGATGCTTTGACAGTGGCAACGCAAGTTGGAAAGTGGGAAAAGCGCCGAAAAATGTGCAATTTGTGTGGTTCTATAATAGATCAACTTTTTCCCTTGATTAATTTGCTCACTTTTATTCATAATTTGTAAAGCTGTTCGTAAAAGCATTCTTACTCGACCCGCTCAATAATTCACAAAAGGTAAATGATCGGCATGAAGTCTTGCTACAAACTCAAGCAAAAAGTTTGCTTATTTCGTATGGGCTCGAAATTTTCTCAAGAAAATACCTTGCACGTGTCTTTTAGTTAGATAGCTAGTGATATTTAGAGCACAATTATCGCACTATTTCCATCCATTTCACGTTTTTTTGAGTTTTTTATCGCACTCGAAATACAGTTCCGCATCACTTCCGCGACTTATAAACGTTAATGCGTCACACATTCCTAAAATTCCTCACAGACCGCGCACAAATTTTCGCACAAAAAGTCTTGAAAATCGCAAATTTGAAGCGTTGTAGCTTCAAAACACTTCACAATTCCTTAAAAATAACTTCACCATCGGATTCAGGAGCACTGACTTGACTTAGAACATCAATAAAAAATGTTTTGATTTTTTCAATTCAGTGGGCACTTTAACCAACTGCGATAAGAAAGGGGGAGGAAGCAATTGAAAGCCTCTGCGGGGGAGATTCAGTTTTCCGTGGAAACCAGAGCTTTTATTGTTTATTGTACTCCTGTATAACCTGTATGCTTTTATTGTCTTAGTTTCTGTGGTTTGGTGCTTTAAGGACAACTTCACCTGGCACATCTAAAGATAGGGCGTTTTCAGTCCAAGGTAAAAATGATTTTTCAATGTATGTATGACCAGGTACACATATTATTGATCGTTTTTTAAATGCCCGGTTATGGAAGCATTTTGCAATAACAAGACCATACGACAAAGTTTCTGCTTTCTGAATTGCATGTTCGGTGCAATCATGCTCCTTTTGAGATCTTGTAGATTTTTCATAAAAGCTTAATATTTTGTTCCGTAAACTATTGCGAAATTTATGCCTTATTGTGTGTTCAAATTCTTTTCAGAACAACTGTACGCACTGTAACAGAGAAAACTTGCAGTGCCAATTATTCCAAGATGTCATTTGTATTGCCAAGTCCTAAATTTATAATTGCAAGCTTCTTCGTTGTGTTTTTCATAATTGTTGGACCAAAATACTTTTTGAAAAGATTATACTCAGTAGATGGTGGATATACAGAATGGAGTAGCTGGAGTCTTTGTATGAGAGACTGTGGAGACTCCTTACAAGGTAATTTATTCTCTTTTTTGGAAAAATATTCCTGGATATAGATACAAGAACATAATTCACTGTAAAGTAATTAAACATTCTTACTTTTAATTTGTAAATTATGTTGTGATAAAGAGGGAGGGGCACAGTTATGAAGCAAGTTCAAGGGGCACAGTTATGGTAGGAAGGAGCACCATGTCACAGAAAGGAAACTTTTTTCAAAGGCTACATCTAAGGAAAATCAATTTTTTCCAAAAGTTGCAGCATGTGCCTCTGGTGCACCCCTGGAAAGGGGGCCAGACCAAATTTGAAACTTTTAAGATGTGATAAGGGAGAAGCAGTTGTTAAGATTCATTTAAGATGCCCCATGCAAATAACAACTCCTTGTATTTGTTACACAAGGCTACTTTAATCAATATCACAAAAAATCTCAAAACCAATCTGAGGATCATAATGAAATTTTTGTGAGGGCACAAGAGGACTGTCAATCATCAATATATTTGATTGTTTACAAAACTTCTTCTTTCTGAATGACAATGACTACATATTTTAACAAATATTGAAATATTCATGTTTGTTTACATTCAAAGATTGGGGGAGTTACCTGGATAAAGATATCAGAAAGAAAAGGGACTTGTGTATTTAAATCTTGGATTTTGGGTAGCTGATGCCTAAAAAGTAGCTGTCATACTTATTCTATGCCTAAAAAGTATGCTTATTCTGAAAGGATCAGCTATCCTTGCTAAAGTTTCATCTGAAAAAATCCCAGTGCTGGAAATGATAGAAATTCGCATTCCAGAAAATATGGCTTTTTGAGGCTGATATTCTTTTAACTTGTTTGCAGCTGCAACCATTTACAGCTGCCAAGCATATGGTTTTGGCCTTTTGCAACTGATGCAGAACTTTCATAACACTACTGAAAACCCCCTAACTCCTATTGACAGCTACTTAGCATATGGTTGTGGCAATATTAAAAGAAAGAGCACTTGATATCAGTTTCTTGTACCACAGTTAGAATTAATATCAGTCACATAAAACTGTTGTGTTGTTATATTAAATCAATAGAATTCTGTTTACACCTCACAAGTAATTTTTGCAAGGTGAAATAACCTGACATCATTTCTTGAAGTCTGGAATTGGGAAATGGTGAGTGGCATTCAGTAAACGATAACACCAAGATTTGGGTATGGATGGTCAGGAATCAGGAATTGGGCTAAAAACAATGTGGGAATTGGGGAATCAGTGGACCCTCTAGCAGCAGTTAAATTATTAGTAGTTGTAGCAGCAGTGGACTAATGTTTCAATTAAGCCTTTCTCTGTAAGTGGTATCATAAGCATGTAGAGGCAAGCTAGGTGCTGCTGGCAAATTGCTGTTATATTAAAACTCCCATTTTCAGGAGGGCCCTAAATTTTTGCTACAATGCACCATGAAATTTTCTTCCGAAAATCTTAAAAGCAATATGAGCCACCAAGCAAACAAAAAGGAGAGCAAAGGGCAATTCTCCTGATGCCTAGCACTACAAAGGATCCATGCAATTGTTGAAACTATTTAAGTTCAACCCCTCCTTGTTAGACAGTTTGAAATGAGGACAACAAATCTGTGTGGGACAAAGAAATTATTGACTTGCCAATCTGGCTTTTGTATGTTTTCAATGCCAAAAATAACAAATTTCCCCCATCTTCAAACTTGTTTGCTATCTGAAAGAAGGGCCCATTTGATTTTCAGCTGTCTAAAACAGTTTATAACCCAAAGATTTCTGTGAAACAGCTGAACTTTCAAAGGATCTTGCTAAGCTGGGTTTGTTCTTTTATGGAAATATGAGAGAAAAACATTGAAGCAGTCTGATTGTCTGGCATTTTTAGCAATTACCATTCTGTATCTTATTTATATTTAGAGATTGCTAAAAACCAGCATCAGGCAAGTAAATGTTGAAACCCTTATTTGAGAACAACCAAGGCGAAAGCTAATATGCCCACAAGTAAATATGATTTGGCCATTGGTCAACATTTGCTCACAAATCTCGAGTTTGCCATAATGTAGAGTGATAAAAGTATAAAATCATTGAGCAGGCAAGGTTATCTTTTCTGTTAAGAGTTTTGGAGTCCATTTTCATCAAAACAGTGAATCCCAACCTGTGTAGACAGAATTTTTTTTCTATGGACTCTTCAGTTAGGCGAGAGGTTATCTAGAGGTTAACTAGGTGACTGATTGGTAAAAAAACAAAAGAACCAATCAAATGCATCATTCTTCCTATAACATTACTTTTGCTCAAAACCTGGATATTAATTTTTTAGTGCTTACTTCAGGTAACCATGCTTTGTTTCCCCTACTAAATGCTGCTCAAAACCACCAAAATAACTAAAAAGTTTGAAGGGTATTTTGTAAACTTGTTTGAAGAATTCAAAATAATGTTATAGGTAGATATCGCAATTGCACAAACCCAAAACCCAATGGATTTGGAAGAGATTGCATGGACATTGGCAGCCATTTTGAAACGAGGCCTTGCAAAATTCGTGATTGTCCCATTTCTGGTGGTTTAGGACCATGGAGTGATTGGGGTGAATGCAATAGGCCATGCCAATCTGGAGATAGAAAACGAAGCCGCAAATGTGATAACCCTGCCCCTGCATTTGGTGGCAGAGTATGCAGTGGTCCTTTGGAAGAAACCCAGAAATGTTTGCATTTAAAGCCTTGTCCAATCAATGGAGGTATGTCAAATTGGGGAGATTTCAGTGGATGCTCAGTAACTTGTGGACCTGGACATAAAACCCGAACTCGCCAGTGTAATAATCCAGCCCCACAGTTTGGTGGAGAAAATTGTCAAGGTAATCTTCAAGAAATTGCTGACTGTAAAGAAAAGGACTGTATCATACCTCCTACATCGAACACTACACAGTCATAGAATTTGAAGGCTTATCACTATTTTAATATTCTATTTAATATGGTTAGTTTGTTGTCATATTTAAAGTATCCTTTGATGCTCCGGGAAGCTGTCCTTCGAATCTGAAACTACCCCATTTGCTATATAGACTTTAGGCACAAAAGTATGTATTTGTACTAAAACCTTGCCTTTTTGATAGGTATGACTTATAAGTGTACAAATTTTAGCTCCCTGATTACTATATGTATGTTTTATTATGTGCTTGACCAGAGAAAGGCTAATTCCTTTGCGTGGACTTAAATATAAAATAAGAACATGCATAATTGGTGCACACAGCCTTGGACTACTATCTTTTGCATATTTTTTTACTGCAAATAAATATGTATTTTAAAAAGGAACCTCCCCAAAAAGCATTTCCAGACTCAAAGGCTCTTTTTAATCCCTTTGATCAAAACAAAAGGCTTAATCATTGTTAAGAGACAGAAATTCTTGAAAAAACTGTGCCATGTATGGATGTAAATATGTTAGTACCAAATATTTTCAGCATTCAGGGTGTACTTGTTCTTTATTAATAGGATTGTTTAAGATATAAAGCTTGTTGTATATCTGATGATTCTTAGTATTTTTGCAAAGGTTAGCATGCCCTGAGCCATTTTTTACTATTTGAAGGCAGACCTCGTTATTAATCTGCGCGAGCGTGGGAGCGGAGCTCGCAGGCACAAAAGTTCATGCTACAATTTCTGCAAGCACTTTTCTGAATCAAATTTTATTCACCTTTTTTAATTTACAATCATGCTCTTTCTTAATATCTTTCTTGGTATCAATTGGAAGTAGAATTTCAAAGGATAAAGTTGTAAGTCTTTTCTACCTAAAATCATTGCTCTAATTGCGTGAGTTTGCATATCACATTGTCTATCTGTCCCTTTCTTTCTATTTCCTCTTCCTGAAAGAGACCACTCACAATTATTCGATCTTTTCATTTCCGAACATTACGTATGCCTTTGAAGGGCATATCACTTCACGAAAATCTCATACACCTTTGGCAAAAACCCTTTTGTTTTCGAGAAAAATCTTCAAAAAATTCTGCGAAAAATCCTAAAAACCTCTTGGAAAAAGTGACAGCCCTCACGCTCCTTTAAGCTAAAGGTGTCGAGTATAGCATCTAGTAACTAACGCGTTTGTGGGAGTAAGGAAAAGAAAGTAAAATGCAGAGTTGGCATGAAGAGCAAAATTACAAGATACACCTTCAAAGAATTCACCCTGAAGAAAATTCATACGATTTGCATCAACACACATTTCCAAAGGAACCTGATTGGAATAGAATCTTTCACAGCAAACATTTTTAACTTTGAAATGTGAAAAAGCCCGTGTAATGTCGAAATTTTACAACCCTTGTTAACGAGATGAAAATAAAAAGCTAAAGCTAGCCACCTTGAAAAAATATATTGTAGATTTAAAGTATTGGAAAGCTTTCTTTACTGAAGATGACTTTAATTGATGAAATCAATAATACCAACACCGTAAATCCTCGGATAAGCCCCATGCTCGAATAAGCTCCCCCCCCTCGAATAAGCCCCCGCCTAAAAATAATTTTTGCAGACAGCCTTTCCTGCATTTCTTCCTATACTTACACACTAGAACTATACCCTGCAATGTCATTATTTTCATGTAAAAAACTACGCATTACTAGAAATCAAGTTAAAAAAAGTTTTGTAAAGAGTAAGAAAGAAATACAACCTACATACAACAGTAACAATGTTTCAAAATTTATTTTCGTCTTACTGTATTTTGCCATGTTTAAAAGGCATCTTTGTTTAATTATGGCTTTGTTTGAGGGTACATCTTATACATGGTAACATTGACTGTCCCATCATTTCCTTTGAAGGCAAAGTGTCATTCGTTTTTTAGACAAAATATTATGATATTTGGAGCTCCTGTTCTCTTAATTTGAATAATTGCACTTTAACGAAAATTTAGTGAAAGGTTCGAAATTTTCCAGTCGCGATAGAAAAATTATCTGACAAAAGCTTTTTTTACTCCCAAATGGAAGGGTTGTAACCTTCATTCTTTTAATTGAAGGGCACATCCCTGTAATCGTTGTGAAAGTTGTGAATGAAATGGACGGCAGACAAGAATTTTAATGATTTTAAAACCTGTAAGCGTTAATAATGATTTTGATTCTTTTATGATTTTAAACTTTCTATTTTGATGATTTGAAACATTGCGGTTTGAACAAATTTTCCTCCACAGATGTAGTGTCTATAGTTTATTCTTGAGTTTATTCTTTCACTGAAAGATACATGCTTTACAAGAACTGGCAAAAGGGGGTGTGTCTTATACACGGTAAGACGCAGTAAAAACTATTTTTCAGAATTCAAAAATGGAATTATGGGTGCTTCTTATACAAGGATGCATCTTATACCAGCAAAATACGGTAATTTGTTTGTAAATATAGCAATATTGCAACTCTCTCATTGATAGGTGATCTTCAAGAAACCTTAATTGGTTTCAAAAATTGACAGTATAGAGTGGAATGTTCTTGCATTTCTCTTTCGTTCTTGCAGAGTTTTATTTACAATCCAATTTATTTTTACAGAACAATACAGGACAAAGTTTTACAACTAGTATATTAGGGAAATAATTGCATTTAACTTAGGTATCTTTCTTGGTATCAATTGGAAGTAGAATTTCAAAGGATAAAGTTGTAAGTCTTTTCTACCTAAAATCATTGCTCTAATTGCGTGAGTTTGCATATCACATTGTCTATCTGTCCCTTTCTTTCTATTTCCTCTTCCTGAAAGAGACCACTCACAATTATTCGATCTTTTCATTTCCGAACATTACGTATGCCTTTGAAGGGCATATCACTTCACGAAAATCTCATACACCTTTGGCAAAAACCCTTTTGTTTTCGAGAAAAATCTTCAAAAAATTCTGCGAAAAATCCTAAAAACCTCTTGGAAAAAGTGACAGCCCTCACGCTCCTTTAAGCTAAAGGTGTCGAGTATAGCATCTAGTAACTAACGCGTTTGTGGGAGTAAGGAAAAGAAAGTAAAATGCAGAGTTGGCATGAAGAGCAAAATTACAAGATACACCTTCAAAGAATTCACCCTGAAGAAAATTCATACGATTTGCATCAACACACATTTCCAAAGGAACCTGATTGGAATAGAATCTTTCACAGCAAACATTTTTAACTTTGAAATGTGAAAAAGCCCGTGTAATGTCGAAATTTTACAACCCTTGTTAACGAGATGAAAATAAAAAGCTAAAGCTAGCCACCTTGAAAAAATATATTGTAGATTTAAAGTATTGGAAAGCTTTCTTTACTGAAGATGACTTTAATTGATGAAATCAATAATACCAACACCGTAAATCCTCGGATAAGCCCCATGCTCGAATAAGCTCCCCCCCCTCGAATAAGCCCCCGCCTAAAAATAATTTTTGCAGACAGCCTTTCCTGCATTTCTTCCTATACTTACACACTAGAACTATACCCTGCAATGTCATTATTTTCATGTAAAAAACTACGCATTACTAGAAATCAAGTTAAAAAAAGTTTTGTAAAGAGTAAGAAAGAAATACAACCTACATACAACAGTAACAATGTTTCAAAATTTATTTTCGTCTTACTGTATTTTGCCATGTTTAAAAGGCATCTTTGTTTAATTATGGCTTTGTTTGAGGGTACATCTTATACATGGTAACATTGACTGTCCCATCATTTCCTTTGAAGGCAAAGTGTCATTCGTTTTTTAGACAAAATATTATGATATTTGGAGCTCCTGTTCTCTTAATTTGAATAATTGCACTTTAACGAAAATTTAGTGAAAGGTTCGAAATTTTCCAGTCGCGATAGAAAAATTATCTGACAAAAGCTTTTTTTACTCCCAAATGGAAGGGTTGTAACCTTCATTCTTTTAATTGAAGGGCACATCCCTGTAATCGTTGTGAAAGTTGTGAATGAAATGGACGGCAGACAAGAATTTTAATGATTTTAAAACCTGTAAGCGTTAATAATGATTTTGATTCTTTTATGATTTTAAACTTTCTATTTTGATGATTTGAAACATTGCGGTTTGAACAAATTTTCCTCCACAGATGTAGTGTCTATAGTTTATTCTTGAGTTTATTCTTTCACTGAAAGATACATGCTTTACAAGAACTGGCAAAAGGGGGTGTGTCTTATACACGGTAAGACGCAGTAAAAACTATTTTTCAGAATTCAAAAATGGAATTATGGGTGCTTCTTATACAAGGATGCATCTTATACCAGCAAAATACGGTAATTTGTTTGTAAATATAGCAATATTGCAACTCTCTCATTGATAGGTGATCTTCAAGAAACCTTAATTGGTTTCAAAAATTGACAGTATAGAGTGGAATGTTCTTGCATTTCTCTTTCGTTCTTGCAGAGTTTTATTTACAATCCAATTTATTTTTACAGAACAATACAGGACAAAGTTTTACAACTAGTATATTAGGGAAATAATTGCATTTAACTTAGGGCTGATACATCGTCTTTGATAAGTAACTAAACATGCTTCACAGAGTTTAGCAAAGTGCTACAAGATTTGAAGGTACATTGACATGTCTTTAACTCCTGCTTCAATACTTTTAAATTATTATGTTATTCAACTTGGATCGCTAAGAGCAAGGTAACCGCTAGACCAAAAAACCTGCTCTCTTAAAAAAACAATCCTGATTTCTTTCAGCTTGTCAAAGTGTGAGATTTTTAACAAATTTTCCCATAATATTGATACTTAAAACAAATTATAACAATCATAACCAAATAAAACAAGCTAGGAGTAGAAGCATACTGTTATTTGCATTCATAACATGCTTGATCTCAGAGTATGATAAAAATGCTTGTCCCTTTCTGTGTGCCAACTCATTTGACTTTTCACCAAGCTGTAAAGCATTAAGAATGCATGTCTCTATTTTGAGTGCTTCTTTCCCTGTTTTGCAAACAGTGATTTGTCTAACTTTTCAATAGGAGTGTCCTTCAATAGAAATAAGCGCTGAGCACGTTGCTGCAAGGTTCCACCACATTTTAAGCCATGCTTCATTAGCTCACATTTAAGTTTTTCCAGTCCAAATGCTTCTAGCTCTTCTGCCATTGAAAACAACTGCAGGTTGATTAGAAGATCCTAAGTAAGAAAGAACATGAAACAAAACTAATATATTTGTCGTAAAGCAGGCAGAAAGGAATACCAACAAGGAAAGGGTAGGTATCCAATTCATTTTTAACACAATTTTGTAATCTGCCTGATGATCAGTGTTTATGTAATGAGCATACTGAACTTGTTTATATAGATATATTCACAAACTTTTTACCACAGTTTACAGGGAAACATATGGGGATAACTAATTGAAGCCTGTGTTGACAATAATTTTCTGAGATATGATATTGCAAATATCTATGGTAACATTCTCTGGAATTCATTTTGCCAAAAGGATCATTGCATCCCTTCTTCAATCAAAACTTGCATGCTCTGTTCTTGGTTTAAAACGGTCTTTCCTGTCAAAACTTGTCATCACTTTTTATTAACTAATCTTATAAAATTCAACCTGTTTTTAATGGATTTGTTGTTAGTTTTCATATGTATATAGTGTTTAGATCATATATAGTTACAAGTTGTCCAATTTTGAGAACTGAATTGAATGACATGAAAAGAAATTTCAGTTGGTTATATTGCTTCATAAATTTAATGTCACAGTTTATTTAAGATGACCTTGCCCTTGTCTGTGAAGCCAGATATAGTAATATGTCAGCCATTTGAAAGGTAGTAGTTGTAAATGGTAGTTGTTACAGTTCTGTTGCATTTGAATGTTAGTATGAAGCTCTCAGTTCTTTCCTAATCCCAGGTATGAAAAACAAAACTGACTGTCAGTTCTTAAGTCAGTTTGCGGGACAATTTGACTTAAGCTGGAAAACTGACATACTTGTGGGAAAAGCTCCTTAAGTCAGTTTACAGCTAACAATTCAATGAGTCACAGTTGCAATCAAAATGATGAAATCAAACTGACAAATTTGAAAGTGTGGTGTTCATTGGAACTTTTTTAGTTTAGCATGTTAACTGCTGAATTGTGTCATTACATTACCTTTCAAAACTGAATTTTTTCATACTTTCACATACAATTTGAAAACTAAACTTTTATATTTTAACTGAAAATGTTAGGCAGAGAGGACTTGTTTATAAATAATATTTATATAATGTCTACAAAGACCAAGGTTTCAATGTTTGTGGTTTTTTGGCTAAGATTTAGCAAAGCTGTTCCTATTTTTCTAGTTTTTATATCTATTCAGTTTCCAAACTTTTTTTATCTTATTTCTATAATTTTGTATTATAATTGAAGATTATAACTAGGCTGTAGCTTGCAAATTTTGCAATAACAAGTCTTTGTATTACATCCTCCTGTCAGTTTCTGTCTGGTTCTTATAAAAATATCTGTTTGTTTGAACTTTTCCTGTCTTCGAATTCAGTATAGTTTCTGGTCTAAGACCTGCAAGTGTTGTCTCAGATACCTTGATATTACAAAAATGGTGTAAATGAATGTCAAAATATGCCCCGGGCTCTCTAAATAGGTAAACAAACTTTTGAATGTATGCAATGTCTTATGTACATTCAAAACAAGGTGTGGCTTTTGTTGCTATGGTAACAAACTTTTTATATTTTTGTTCAAAAAAGTATTTTGATCCTAAGGTTCAAGAAAATGTACAGTTTTAAGTAGTTCAAGTAGCCTGTTTGCGAGAAATCAATCAGAATGCTATGCTTCAACTAATTTGACTTTTTGGTTCTTCTAGCCCTTAGCAGTTAACGTTTTAAGCAACTTCTGACCTGGACAACCAAAATGATGATGACAATACTAGAAGGTATTACATGCTTTCATTTAATGCTAAACTTACACTTTGATGGCTATTCTGAGCTTTAGAGACATCCTCCTTTTCACTTCTTTCATCAGATATTGAGTCATTGTCTGTTTGAACATTGGGCTTTTCCTCTTTTGTAGAAAAAGCAGAATGTCCACTGATTTGCACCTTTTCTTTATCAGGCTCACTGTCTTTTTCTGGCAGCTTTGTTTCAAACACCTCTTTCTTGTGTACAGGATCATCTGATTTAGTGTCTGTGCTGTCACTTTTGTTTGGAACATCTGATAATAATTTGTCTGTTTTTTCAACTGGATAAGCCAGGCATTCAGTTTCAAAAGTGCTATCACAAATATCTTCATCTTCTTCTGCAGTATCAGAGTCATCTAAGCCAAGCCTATCACCAAAACATCATGATGAAATGTTAATACCAATTGTAGGTAGAAAGAATTAAAAGTCGCAAAATGATTTTAGACCAACTTTCTGAAATCTGTTAAAGTTTGACCTTGGGTAACTGGCAGTGGGTACCTTGAATCAATTGTCTATTAGTTTTTATAAAATGCTCAGGTGTAAAATCAGAAATCAATTGGTTTAAGGCCATTTAAATGCAACATAACACCATTAATTGAAATCAGTAAAAGAGAAATTCTCTAAAGTTTTCAATGTTAAAGTTGAAGTTCGCCAGAGGTTCTCAGAAACTCCTGTTAGACTGATAATACTAATAACAGACTGTGTTTTCCTCTGACTAGTTTGTAGATGATCTGTTTTTAAAAGACTCATTTTTAGGAAACATAAAGGATTTCCTGTGACCCTGTTCCGACAGAAGTGTAGTAATTAGCAACCTTGATTCAAAATTCTCAAAATCAAGTATTTGAACCACTTAAATATCTGGAAAAAAAGAAGAAAACATAAAATTACCAAAGTCTCTGCTTTTTGGCTTTCCCATTTTTTTCACTTGAATTCTGTCTTTTTCCATGACCTGTACCTTGTGACTGCTGTTTTGTACTCAGACCTAATGAAAAGATTTCTTTTAGTTCAAGTAATTTCCAGGGTCTTAATATTAGCATGGTTCAAAGGAATCAAGGATTACCACAGCGATTGAAGCAGAGGTTGATTACCTTGCTGTAAAACTCGAAAGACTTGAAAATTTGGGACATGGTATAGAGGAAAGGGTACTTGTTTAGTAGGATAAGAAAAAACCCATCAGGATATGAAAGGAACAGACAAAAATGTAAAAGTTATTGCCAAAGAAAAAGTTATAGAGCAACAATGATAGTTGAAGAAAAAAGTGCACTAGAAGTGCTTAAGGGTTGAAAGACATTAGAGATTAAAAGAAAGCCGACTTGTCATTATATCTGAAATAGTATGTGAAATATAACAGGTGGATGATTAGAAAGATAACCGAAAATGTTTACAACTTTATATTGGTTTAATACTACAAGCATTATTACAGTAGGAACAGGCACTGCAGAGCGTTGAGAAAAGTGAGGGGACTAAAAAAACTTAATATTTGGCATTTCATGCAAAAAGTGGTTGAGCCCCCCAGCGCTCCCCCCCCCTGTTCACGGTGCCTGAGGAACAAAATCATTTAAAGCTGTAACCAGCATGCAGTTACCATATGACTTGAATAACAATGTATCTAATGAGAAAAATAAATAATAAAAATGAATTCTTCGCATGGTAAAAGTGCATTGTAGAAAGACAGCTAATTGAAAAATGCCTTGATAAAGGAAGCAATGCAAGGTGTCTGGTTGAAAAAGATCAAGATGCTATACAAACAATTGCCAATGATTTGATTTGTGTTTGACCACAAATTTAATTGTTCTCAGCTATGCATGTCAATAGAGCCCATTGTTTTAGCACTTGAACAATAGTTCAAAAATATATCAAAACATCATTTTGCCTTTGCAAAGGGCATACAAAACCGTACAAAACACAAAAGTTGGCAGAGGAATAGTGGCTGGAAATGGTACTAAAACATGATAGACATGTAAGAGCAACAGCTCATTCGCCTCAGCAAGGCTTGCTCTTGCCCAAGGTGGTCTTGTTGCAGACAACAGAGCTCATTCCACTGAAAATCAGGATGCTAAAAGGAAGGTAAATCGAGGGGTTTTAGCTAGACTATCTTAGTTCCTTATTGTATCTTCGTCAAAGTTAATGAAAACAAAATACAATGTTAATTATTTATAATTGTAGACTGACAATAGGAATCATTTCAGAATTTCAGCAACTGAAAAAAAGTAAAAACCTCAGAATTTTTAAAATTTAAGTCAATAATTCATTTGTGATTTAACTTTTATAATTTGCTGGGGTATCCATGAGAGACACTGATAGCACAATATTATGATGCCAATATTAGATGGAACTGCAAAGAATTTTCACCCAGATTTTAAAGATCTTATCAATTATAAAAATGTTTCTTAGTCTTATCAATTTGTTGCATTTTTTTCATACAAAGCTGAAGAAGAAGAAGTCAAATTATTTCCAATTTCATTCAAATCTGGGCTTTGAGAAGCCCCCAGAAGAGTTAGAACTGGTTTTCTTTGGTTTTCTATTGTCTCTACTAAGTTTTCGCATAGCTTTTTTGCAGCCCCTGGAAAAATTTAACCAACATACCGCTTATATATAGAAAATAATTCATTCCACTTTTGAAAAAAATCTTATGAGTAAACTTTCTCAGAACAAAATTATAATGTTTTTGTTTATTTGTCATTTGCCTGATGATATTGTTTTATTTTCCAGCCAAAAGTTAAAGACTATTTTATATTTACATGGAAAAAGTAAAAGTTAGGCCAATAATTTTACCAAACCAGTCAAATGCTTTGGAAGGGAAGTCAAGATTACTAAGCCATCAAGTGGAGTGAAGTGGTTCTCGAAGCTTTTTTTGCACTAGGAAGTGTAGCTTTAGCCAAGACGCATGGCTGGAAAAACCAGGGATTAACAACTTTTTGCTCTAATGAAACCCTGTATGCCAGGGCGAAACATTAGCCATAACTGATTTACATGTGTTTGCTGTTGTTTATTCTTGACATGTTGCGGGGTGTTCTCTATTTCCTACAATTTAATCAATTTTTCTACCACAAGAGTTCTATCAGAGTCTATTGAGCAGCCTGCTATTGTGGCCTTTCCTTTATTCACACATTAACAACAAGGGGTTGTATGAAAGGTGTTGAAAAAGTGAAGATAAGTGTCACTTAGTACAACGGGCCATCTGAAATGATTTACTCATTGGTATAATGTCTTTACATTACATTTAAATCTGCTCCAAGCATTTCATGATAATAACTGAAGAAGCAGCATATCTCGCAAAGAACGCATTTGGGAATTCAATAAACCTAATCCTTTATGAAAATGATATATTAATGATTCATCAAGTACCTTGTTTTAAAGCATCTTCAACTTTTTCAGCATTGGCTTTTAAATCTGTGACATAGCTTGAGTCCTTTAAAATGTGCCTTGGTGGGTTTAATATCTTTTCAAGTTTTTCTTTTTTCCTTTTTGCTTTATCCTCGTCTTCAGTTTTCTTTTTCTCTAACCACTCATTAATCCTGCATAGATGAATAACAATGCCAAGAAATTAAACAAAGTAAAAACAATTTAAATATAAAATGAAATACAGAAATTTAATCTAATTACATTAATATCTAATGTTGCAAAGATTCAGATACTTTTCATTTGTTCCTTTTGTAAGCTATCTCCCAATAACTCCAAATAACTTAGTTTCAGCATATGAATTAAACAACATTAAAAACAAAGTGCTTTTTTAAAACAGATATTTTAGTTTAGAATATAAAAAAGGTATTTAATCAAGAAAAATTTAAGAGGCATTTTATTTGAATTGATAATTTACTGAGTCTAATGACTGTCTTCACAAAAGTTATTTTACACTGAATTACGTTTTTTCATTGTTGACATCCCTCATTCTTCTACCACTTAAATCCCTACATGCTTCTCTGTTTGTTGTTTTCTCTATTTGAGCACCAAGTGCACGTAACATTGAACCAAATCCACCTTTGCCGCCCAAAATGCGCAGATGACACCTGACAAGAGATGGCTCCACAATTTTGCCATCCAGGAAGGTTTTAATGTCAAATATCTTTCCATTGGAAGTGAAATAGACATCTTGAGCGGAGAGATTCTGAAAGAAATGAATTTAGATTCTTAATTGAAAACAACTGGATGCTTCCTGAAATGAAGGGTATAAAATAAATCTTTTCTCGAGTCGTGTACCGGGGCATTCCCCGTATAATTATTGTGTCGTCGATTCTGCGCACAGTATTTGTTATCTTTTCCCCGCAAATATTCCACGATTTAAACTTCTGACTTCTGATACCAAGAAAAAATAAAAATACAAGGTCTCTTTGAAATCCTTTGCTTCAAATTCCGGGCACGACTCCACGGGAAACGTTCGTTTTCCGCAAATTTCAAAATTATTGTTTCGGCGTTCCCCGCGCGGAAAAACACTTCACATAAGTCGCGGTAATTAATAGAGCTTTCTTGTGTAGTACAGATCTCTATTTAGTGTTAGAATCACTCTTACAGCAAGTATCATAAAAATATCTTTACCTTAATCATTTCTTCAATGCCTTTTCCTGAAGTGTCAAAGACGCGACAGCATTTTTTTCCAGTGAATGTTGAGCAATTGTTTTCGTCGTCCATTTTGGAAAGAATGCATATGGAAAGAGGCTGGCTGTTTATCTTGGAAACGAGGATGCCTCCATATTCGAATTTTAAAAGACGGAAAATACCAATGAGATGGAAAATACAAAATTATATCTTCCTACTGGCAAAATACTGGTTAAAGAATGATAAGAAATGCCCGTTTTTAGTCTATGATATCCTTTCAAAGGGATAAAGACGATGCATCTTGCAGTTTTGTTGAATAATGGAATTTGGCATTTACAATAAATGAGCACCCGTGATTAATGATGGCGGTGAACTTTTTTAGGCATCCGTACTTGATAGATCACCTAGCATCAGCTTTAAAAGAAAATTGCACAATTTTGCTGAATCGTATGACCTCAAAAGAACTACTAGTTTGTTACATTTGCAATGAATTTGTAAAACAAACCAATAAACCATGCTTGGTATTAACAGCTCTAGAAGATTCTGATAGTAAGTGTTGTTATTAATTTGAGTTTTGTTAGTTGGGCCTTTTAATTTGAAAATTAATATTGTCAAGACACAACGTGAACGAAAGAGTACAAAAGAAATGATCTATATTGATTTAATTCTAGTTCACAAGAGCAAGCATATATCTATTATATTTCTTGTTTCTTTTATCCACATTTTATTCCAAACAAACTTATCATTGACCTGTTACTTCTAATTAGATTATAATCTTAAGTCTTGTTTTATCATCACTTGAGGTTTTTATTCACTTGAAGTCGTGTCTTTCATAGGACATCATAGATTCAGAAGATGGTTAGAGGTAATAACAAATTTACACCTTGAAGTGTTGGGAAAGCAGCTGACTGATGCCACAAATGAGAAGGTTATAGTTTACACAACGCCATTGGACTATTATTTAAGGCATAAGCTCAAGGATACATTTTTGGATAAGCTGGGTCTTATTATTGTAGATTTGACTGCTATTGAAATAGATAAAGAAATATTGAAAGAGATCAGATCTAGTTTTGAAATGATCAGAGAAAGGGAAATCAGATTTGTTATGCTTGTGAGCATAAGCAAGTACACATATTGTGCAAATAGTATTAAAGATTTTCTTAAGTTATGCAACCAAACAATTCCGATAATGCCTCTTAAAGTAGCCACTGACTCAATTGCCATTGGATGTGATGCTGGTGTTATTAAATCGTTCAGAAATATATCTAAAGACACAGTTGCTGATGAGCCAGCTTTGCTTCTTATTAAACAGGAACTGGAAGAATGTGAATGTTTTTTAAAAGTCTTAGAGAATGAAAGCCTATCAGCTAAAAGAGAGGTTTTTTTGCAAGTCATCAACAATCTCAAGTTTCATCTGGAAGCTTTTGGACCTGCAGCCTTTGCATTTTGTTTGGATGAGTTCCACAAAGTTATCAAAGATGCAGAAGAAGTTGAAAGAGAAGTTTCTTTGCATTGCTTAATGTTAAAGTTCTTGAAAACAAAACAGATTGTAATGGATTCATTATTCAAGGAGTATTTTGAGCAAAAGAAGCAAATTAGGCTAGTTCACTCATGTCTTGAAATGGCTTTACATACCTTAGAAAATGAAGTAAATATGGTGCCAAAGTCACAACAAGTCACACTGAGATTTGCATTACTTGTTGATTCAAATGTCACAGCCAGGGTATTATTCTCAACTCTCCAAGAACTTAAAATGACAACCAGATTTAATTATTTAAATAGATTCTCAATATACCTCATTAATACAACTTTTTGTGATGCTATAAATCCACTAGAGAATACCCTGATCATTACAACCATAGATCACAATTCAATTTTAAGGCACAACTTTCAATGTAATATTTGTATTTGTATTGGTATACCAAAAGACTATGAAGATTTTCTAAAGATTAAAAGACTTCTTATCTGGAAAGAGGGAACTCTGCATTTCATGCTGTCATCAACAAATGCTAATTTTGCAGCCAGCATGAAGGTAATCTTTTTATTGCTCTTGGATACATGGTAATTCTTTGCCAAAAATTAGTAATCAAGGCAAGCAGTAATTTGAAAAGTAATATGACTGAATAGCTATATTTTAACTTCTTTCAGGGTATATTTGAAAAGCCAAGTGAAATCCTCTTTTTGTCATTTATTTCATATTGGTTTTTTTTACCAAAAGTACCTCATTTGTTCTATTGTCATGGCACCATATATAGCAAACCTTTCTTATTGATTTTAAATTAATGTTTAATGTATTAAGGGTTACACTATCTTTTTTCAGCTTCTTGATGAATTTGAAGAAATTGAAAATGTTTTTCTGCAAATGACTTCATCATACATAGAGCCAAACGCAGCAAGAGATTCTATTCACAAGTTAATGCTAGATTCCATCTCATTCAAACCAAACAACATACCTGTGCAAATAAGTCCAGTTGAAACAATTAGTGTAATCAACAGGTAAACCTTTTGTGCATTTTGTGAAGTAATAAGATTTAAAGTAATTATATTAATAATGCTGTTTCTTAAAGCAAGTGCTTCATTTGTAAGCTTCTTGTCTATTTGTAATCTCAGATGTCATCATATTTTATTTTATTTTATTTTAAAATAAGAAAACTCGATAAAAGAACACACCTCTCCTGTCCAACCAAAACAAAGTAACAGGCTGTTTAAAGAAAATAATATTTAAGTTTACAAATAAAGCAAAGTATTTCCAAGACGTAGCAAGTTGCTCATTGGACACAGAGCATTGCTTTGCAGCAAAGTAGATTAGGAAAGAAAACAGAGAACACTGCAATGTACCAGGATATGAAAAATTATTAATAAGTAAGCCTCTGCATAAAAGGCTTCCTTTGGAGCTTCTAGTAGTTTATTTCTTTTTGATGTTTTAAGACTGTACATGATTTAACTACAATATATCCTCTGTATATTACATTTACTTATGTAAAGTTGTAAATAGCTGTGTTCAGAATTAAAGTATGAGCTTCTTATTGGCACTTTATTTTACCTTTGGGTTTCTTAAATTTAACATTTTGGTAATTGTATGCAAAAAATTTTTCACTGTTGTAAAATAAGGTCATTTTGTCTTAATGATCATATCAATTGTTTGCCATAGATATTGCAAATTTCTTTCTGTTGGTAAACTGGATTTTTCTGTTAACTCAGAATTTGAATTTTGGATAGACGACAACTCCTCCAATTTGTATGGAAGGACACACTTACATTTACCTGCAAAATCAATGCTGACCAAACCAGTGACGGTAAAATTTTGAACAAAATTTAAAAATATTGTTTTTTTGTCTGGGAAGGATTTTCTTAAGTGTTTTGAGATCAGAAAAACAAACATCCCAGTATTCTTCTGAAGAATGCTAAAGAATTACATTTTTCATTTAAATTTTTCTGATAATTTATCTACCTGACATTATGTTAATTTGTGGTTTTATTCCACCAAAAGTTTCCCCTTCATAGTTATTTCAGTAAATGCCATGTTTTGGTAGTTTCAACAGATTTCCATTTCCCTTAAATTTTTTATCTATCCGCTGTTTATGGTATTTTACTCTGCGTCACTTTTTTCATAATTCAGATAAGTTCATATCAGTAGTTCAGATCAATAAATTCCAGGCTCCTTGTGTAGCACTCTCGCTTGAACATCATGACCTGACAGATGTGAAGATCCTATCTAGAGTTGCTACTTGTTGGGAAGCATGCAAGTTGCTGCATGATGCCTCAGAATTGGATGCAGCAATGGTACCAACAAGGATGCTCAGACACCAAACAAGAGACTCAACTACTCATGATTTTCCAGTCAAAGTATCAAAAAGGTCTTGGTATAAGAAGCCTGTAAGTTCCAATTGGTACTCCTAGTACTGTGTAGCTTTATTATCTCATACATCATTGATATCCAGTACCACAAAGCTATCTTGTTTAATCAATATTGTATTTCTTACTGAGCATCAAAGTCTTCTAGTATGAAACAAGTACAGGAATTTTCTTTCCATAGAATACTTTTTTTTTTATAGTTACATGATTACTTTTTCTGAGCTTTTAGATCAAATTGAAAGTTTTGGGATCACAATGCATATGTTATTCCTTCTTTAAATAAAAACGAATTGGTTAAATAAATGCTTTTATATTAGGCATTTTTACTCTACTTCAAATCCATCCTCGAAATTACATGTTGAATCATTGTTTCATTCTACAGATACCAGAAATATTGAAAGATTCCTTTCCTCGGCAAGGATCTAAAGTTTATATCTATATGATTGAGTCTGCTGAGTCAGTGAACAGTGCTGATGATAGATATAAAAAGAAACTAGGGTTTTGCACAAGGAAAAGGCTACCTAAGGTAAGATATTATTGCAGGAAAGATATTATTTGTCTAACACTTCTTCCACAACTGCATCTCCAACTCACCAAAGAAAATTTCAAGCAACTTACTATAATATTGCCCTTTGATGCTGATGCCATATATACTTTTAACGATTGTCCGCTACTTTGGTCACGTGATCGCTTTTCTCAAGGTCACGCGAAAAACGAAGTGTTGGGGCAATTGATTGCAAGTCCAGGACATGTTTTGTTAGCTACTATCGTAAAAGTCTGAGTAACACATAAATATATTCTACACACCAGCATATACGGCATCAAGACTATGTTGCTTGAAATCCATTCATTATATTCACACACGATTAGAGGAAACATCTTGAATAACATTCCAAATTTTACCTTGGATTTTGCAAATTTTTCCTCTATTATCAATCTGTTTCCCCTTCGAGTAGTTATTCTAATCTATAGATTAAACAATATTGATCTATAGAAAGCTTTTTCTAAATTGTTCATTCGGCAACTTATTTTCAACCGTCCTTCTTTTCATTCTAGCTTCCTGCATTTGTTATATACAAACGAAGACAAAAGATATTACTAAGCATCCGGGAGGTAGCAACGAGAACACTAGAAGAAGGGAGCAACAATTGTCTACTTTATTTCCATTTCTACGTCCTCAACAGTATTCTCAAGTATGAAGTCAATGGATGCGATGACACCTGTCAGCCGGACAATGGTCTGTTATGGACAGTTCTGAAAGAGGATGGGGAAGGAATTTCAATCGATGAACGGTTCCTGGAGTCTCTGTTACACTCTAGAGATTGTAGTCAGACAACAAATGTTGATTTAGATTTGTGTGGCAACATTAAAGATGCCATAGTTGTACCCCGACATAGAAAGGATGAGGATGTTGTTTATATTGTTCAAGGCATTTGCAGAGACGTTACGCCACTTGATGTATTCCCAAACAAGCAAGTTGCAAATAGCTATCTAGATTATTATCGAAATAAGCATAATATCGAGCTTAAACCTGATCAACATATGGTTGAAGTTAAGTCTAGAGGTAAAGACTTGAATCTTTTACAAAAAAGATTTCCAGAAAAAGAAAGCAGCAAATTCCTAAGAAATAAAAACAATATCGTCATTCCTCAAGAATTATGCTCGGTTCATCCGATACCAAGTCATTTGTGGGAACAAATCGATTGGATACCAGTTGTTATTCATCGTATGACGTCACTGCTCTTGGTCAAAGAATTTCAGGATGTGCTATGTGACGAATTTGGTCTTTTTAGTTCAGAATGCTCTCCTGCTATCGATGACTGTATTTGTTTAAAACTTAACGAATTTCACGTGGCAAGGGACCAAGCGATGCTGCAGAGTATCGAGAAAGAATTTGTGGGATCAAAAACCGTATTAGAAGAAAACACGAAAGGTAACGATGATGGGACAGGAGAGCCTTCGTCCAGTCGGAGAGTACGCCAGCAGTTAAAAAACGATATCGGTTCGCTTTCCAGTGAGCCCTGCAACTTCAGTGCTGGAAATAATGAGAGTCTTGCTTCAGATTTTGTAGCGGATATTGTGAAGCGAAGATTATTACCTCCTCCATCTTTTCTACTTGTAGCTTTGACGTCAATTGAAGCTGGTGATCTGTTTGACTGTGAAAAGCTTGCCATTCTTGGTGATGCATTTTTGTGTTTCGCAGTTTCTGTTCAGCTGTTTTATCAGAATCTCAATGAACACGTCATGTCACAAGAAAGAGGCGTCTTGGTTCGAATATGATGCTTTACCAAAAAGGTGATTTAAAGGAGCTCTGGAAATACCTCTTTGAAGAGCGGTTTGACTATAAATCAAATTTGATGGTTAAAGCAGTTGTTAATTGTGAGCGTATAAATCTCCTTACAGAGGAAGACATGCTGAATTATCCATCTGGTAACCAGGGAAATGCAAAGGATAATGAAGCTAATAAATTCCTTAAATCTTCTGGTGCTATGACGTCACAAAAAAGCTCGTTCGAAGTTGACGGAAAGCTTGCTGACAATAGTCCACTGCCCACCAAAGAAACTAATAGAAAAGAGCGTTGCCAACAGTCGCAGAGAAGAGACCCATCACCTACTGAACGGCCTTCCACTCGAAGTACTGGAGAGGTTTATGTTGCCATTCGTAATAAAGCTATTGCTGATTCGGTCGAAGCTCTCATTGGGGTCTGCTTCTTATTCAGTGGTGAAGAAGTAGCTTTGGATGTTATGCAGTGGCTTGGATTCGATATGCACTGTGTACCTAGAAAAGCCGGGAAAATTTGCAATAAAGACACTGACAATAACTCTTTCAAGGACCATCAGTTGTTGAAATCAGTGATTGACGTACCCTGCGCAACGTATGATGTTAAAGTTGCGAAGTCGGATCAATCGCTCTCTGATTTGCAGAACGAAGATCACAGTTCTTCATTGCAGTCTCTCTGTGATGTAGGCACAAATTCTGAAACTGGTGGAAACGTACCATGTGATATTGGTATTAACATACCGACTACATTTCCACACATTAACCTAGTAACTAACAACGTCTTGGAATCACGTATGCAAGACAAAGGCTACACAAAGAACAATGTAAATTATGAAGATGGTCCTCCTATGCGCTTTCAAGCCAGATGCACCCCCGTGTACGTAGCAAGGCAGTATGAAGAATTTGAGAAGAAAATTAAATATTCATTTAGGAATAAGAATATTCTAGCTGAGGCCCTACTGCATCCAAGTTATTTTCGAGAGTTGGCTCCTGAAGTCAACTGCAATCAGCGGTTAGAGTTTCTAGGGGATAGCATACTGTATCTTTTAGTAACCGATTACCTCTGCCGGATGTACCCTGTTTCTACAACTGAAGAATTAACAGTGATGCGCCAAGTGGTTATCAGTACACGTACATTTGCTATCGTTTCAATTTTGTTTGAATTTCAAAAATTTATGATGGTGTTAAGTCCTAAAATGTCCTACCAAGTTATTGAGTGGTCCGAAGTTGTCACGCGGAGAAAAGCAGAAGGGACGTTATGGCCCAAGGTAAGATTACAAAAAAATCTTTAACTTTTAGAACAGAAGTTTGCAAATAAAGTATTTTCTGCTTTCCTTTGTTCCTTAGTCTACTCAATATTTTAAGACATCGGAAACAAGAAGGTAAGGGCCAGGGGTACAAAGATGTGCACATTTATCTTGCTAGATTTTCGAAGGCGTCACAGGTTAATCTGAAGCTGCTCTTTTCCGTCACCTTTTTGTGGTGTAACTCCTGTCTTTTTGACTCTTCAATTAAATACTTGACTTTTGTAACTTTGGTTTTGACACTGTAAATATTGAATAACAACATTTTAAATTTTCCAGGTAATTTCCAGTCACACGTCACTTTATTTGGTGGGTTCATTCACTTCAGCTTCAAAAATGGATTTATGCTTTGTATTGCTCTCAACAAGACCAATTGTTTTAGGATGAGCATGCGTCATAGGTGTCTGTTTTTTTCCTGCCATACACTGCAGTTTAACTTGAGCATACGCTCATAATATTTATTGTTTTAGTTGTCGATGTTTGACGCACAGAACTATCACACAGTTTTCAGCAAAAGTCAGACATGGCCTACCAACGTCCCTAAAGATCTAGCAGACGTCTTTGAATCAGTCGCGGCAGCCATTTATATCGACAGCGGAGAAATCCAATCCGTCTGGAGAAGTTATTACATATTGTTAAAAGATGTTCTTGGTAAGTGTGTTAACAATAGACCCATATTTTTTGTCAGACGCTGGAACCTCCGTTTAACGTGGATGTTGCTAGTTTAAATTTTTTTCACTCATATAACGATCAGGCTTCTGGGTTCCAGCACTGGATCATGTTTCACTAATATTATGGGGAACTATGTTGATAATGCTTATCAGTCTTGATTTTGCTAGCCTTCGCTACATGCGACATTATTGCGACATGTTTCGCAAGATTGTGCATCTACCAAAGTGTTTTTTAATTTAGCTTTTGATCTATATAATCTAGCCTTAAAACTGCATTTTGTTAAATGCTATTTTTAAATTATATATTCAATTATTTTGTTTCTTTCATTGTCTGCTATACTTGTGTAATAAATATACTTCAATCTTTGAAAGGATAGCTATGCAGTAAAGAATGTTTACTTTGTCTTTAGTTTGTACGTAATACCATAACTCGCAAAACATCTCCATTTTCTGCGCTGATACTCAGCAGAATTTGTTTGCAGTCGATACCAAATTCTCTTTATTAAGAGAAGGATTATTTTTGTTACTTGCAGATTCACTACCTTCGCCCAGATGCTAACAGGAAGTGCAAGCAAGAGATATTTTCATTCTTTGAAAGCATTAAAACAGCACCGAGATGACGAGCAAATATTCATATTTGAGCTCTGGGAAGGTGCCCAAACAATATTTAAAACTCTAATATTAGAGCCACTTTATTTTTGGCTAAGACAGCAAAGGTTTTGGGGATGTGTAATTTGTTATCAATAATACTTCCACTTAGTAATAACTATACAAATGTGAACAATTTTTGGCGGAACTTGAAAATTTTTACAGAACTTGAAAATAGCTTTGAAAGAAGCAAACATTTCACAACATACTACTGATATGAACCGTAGTAATATATTGTGAAATGTTTGCTTTTTTCAAAGCCATCTTCAAACTATAGAACTGTTTTTTCTCAAGCATCTAGCGCATTTTTATACCTACATCTAACGCAACTTTCACAAACTTTTCGAAATTGACTTGCAAATTTTCAGTCTTTGATTTCTTGGAAATTGCAGGTCTCCTATGTGGGCTTTGCTGTAGTGCTTTACTTCCCTGGTATGACAAGAGAATTGGATTAAAAGTTGCAAACGTACGGCACAAAGTGTATATTAAGTTTATTACAATTCAAATTGGACGATAACTAGAACCACCCTTCTGTTAACTAATAAACAAATCTTTATCTAATTACATTAAAATAATTACATTTGGGAAGACCTGTTTTTTAAGTGGACATTATAGGCTATGGTGTTTCTCGTTCTTTTGAATTATTGATTTTAGTTGATTCAATTTTTTTACATCTTTGCTTACGTCAATACTCTTGCATTACTTAAAGTCAATACCTTGGCTTTGACACTGGTGTTTTTCTTTGTCTCCTTAAAAAATGGATTTTTCTTGAAAATTGAATTAGATGGTTGAATTTCTTCTCATCTGTCTCCACGACGAACTATGTAATTTATTAAACGTATGCTTTGTTCTCAATACTCGATACTTTTTTTCGAAAATTTGGCCCTTTTAGAATATATTTTGTGCCATATTATGTACCCCGTTGTAAATAAGAATTTTAAATTTGAGTTTGTATATTTGAAAGGATATTGTATATGTAGTTTTGTATATAGAAAGGAGTTGTATATATACTGAACATTTATATAATTTAGAAGAAATTATTCCCAATGTTGATGCAGAGTGCAATTTTACATGCATCGAGACACGGCACATTTTAACTTTGTTACTGACGAAGGGTTATGCCCGAAACGTCTTATCGTAATATTGATGACTAACCATTATTGTCAATCATCGTCTTCGTGTATGTTTTAAAATATTTGTCTCAAATAAACGCGGGGTCTATATTTTAAAACGGGATAAAAATGTTTTCATCTTGTAGGATTCTAAGATTTTCACTAAAACTTTAGGTATTTTGCAGATTTTTCAAATTTTACTTATATTTCAGCACTTTACAAAGAAAAGTTCAATACAGTATTTTAAAGTAAGTTAGGTTTTTGAAAAATTACTAAAAGTGTTACATGCAGGGCAAAATCTTGATGAGTAGGATTGTGGGGGCATGGCGGGAGATGCCTGTTTGCTGCTGTTTTCAATGATGCATTTTTGTCAAAAGTGCAGTGAAAGGAAGAACATTTGAAGGATTAGAAATATCTAATACCTATAACAACCAGCCTTCACCTTTTCAATTCTGTAACCCCATCGAATTATCCCCAAATAGACAGGGCTCTTACGAACAAGACTCGAAAACATCTCAAAATTGGAGGGGCACAAGTTGAAAGGGGCGCCGTGTCACAGAAAAAAAGGTCATTTTTCCAAAGAGTTTACCTCTGAGAGAAGGGTTTTTCTAAAAGTTGAGGAGGGAAGTCTCAAAATTCTGACAATTTTTAAAGTAGTCCCATTTCAAATATTCTCCAGACTATGAAAACAGCTAGAGCTATTCAAGGAAAACAAATTATAGTCTCGATTAGGTCAAGAAAAAAATTTAAGAATGTTATTAGGTGTAAACTGAAGGGCGATTTTGCGCGAGTTTCAAGATTTCACTAGTTTTCAAAACGCTGTTGTGGTATTAAAAACGCATTTCCTGTCTTTCAGATTATGAAAAACCGTTACATGTACCTATAAACCTCCAAATAAATTTTAAAGTAAGTTTCTAGCTCGAGTGTGACAAAGTTATTTAGTGCAAACTGAACGACTGTCTTGCAGAAAAGTTTAATTTCTACCTATGTCTAGATGATTTCATTAATAATATAGAATTTTTTACGTTCTCAAACTATGAAAATCAGCTTAATTCTTAAAAATTTAGATGGAAATTGGACAGGGAAGTCAGTAGCTTTTATTGAAAGTTATTAAATGTAAACTGTGCGGTGGTCTTCGTATGAATCGTCCATATCATTCTCATTGTTTGTGTCTTTCTGCGAATGTGAATCTATTTCCATCTGGTCACACCCTTTTGCAAAAACTTGATACTTGGTGGGAGTGGCAGCTTATTAACGCCCTGTATAATGTATGGTAGCCTTGATGAGAATCAAACGATGGACGAAGAGAAAAACGAGATTGTGCCACTTGTAACTACTTCCGGCCAGGAAAAGCGTTCTGTCATGGAAATCGCAAAACATTTCGAAGATGAATTTGACAGTTCTTTTTGGGAATCAGTAAGTCTCTCACCGTTTTAGGCCATAGGGTGGCGGGCCATTTCCTACTAGGTTGTCTTTTTTTCTTTCAATCTTTGAAAGTGAGCGAGTCACAGAACCAGTGATCAGAAATATATAATTACAGACCAATTCAAGAAGAAGCAGTTAAATGTCTCTCTTCCGATAATGCAGCCAAGAAAGGAAGGGAGTTCAGGTTTACTACCCAGGAATTTTTCTGCTTCCACTGCCACTCCCCACAGTTTGCCTTTAAACACTCTTCTATGTGCTTAAAAAACATCAAATAAGGTTTTGTTGCACTTAACTTCATTAACTATTGATTATAAATTTTACAGCATTTTCCTCTCCTTGGACTTTTTTCTTTCAAAAGTACCTTTCATGCAGAATGTCCAGTCATATGCAAATTTTCAGAGCAACAAAGCCAAGGGAAGAGAATGATGTTGATCCTCCATAATTTTTGCAATCAACATATCTTATTTTATGTGCTAAGGGTAAAGTGTATTTTCCCTTGCTCAAATTTGGACCTTAAATTTTGTTACCATTTTGAAACAAGCCAGGGTTTTAATAGAAAATTGAGCCTTGTTATGAGAAAGATTTTTCTTCAAGTTATAATGTCATTATATCTAAAGCTCTGATAGACATATATCAACGGCAGAAAACCTGTGCGAATGATGGCCATGCTACTCACTGGACCCTAGAATTCATAATACTGCAACCAAAAAGGCACTTTCTATCCCCTTTAATCAATGAACAAGGGGGCAGCTGCACCCTCTGCCCCCTTGTTCTGGCATCACTGTAAAGCTCTAAAGTACAAAACATCAGAACCAAGCAAGATTCTTCTCAAGGTTTCATTCTTAATGCAATCATTAGGTAATAAAACTAGATGTCTGATGAACGTATCAGGTGTTGAACCCAGAGAAGCAACTTTGAACCAACCTGTTATACACATTCTGCAGTACTGCTTTGTGTATACACTACAGCATTTAGCACTCTACAATAGACTAGTTAAAGTAATCCAACTAGACTTTCACATCAGTAAAATACACACATTGATGATTTATAAACAGGTCTGGAATTTATTCTGAAACTAGCACACCGTTAATTGTTCCTTCCCATTCATTAATTTTAGGTTAACAAACGTTACAAAGAAAAAGTTCAAAGCTCTGTCAACGAAAACAGCACAGAGGCAGGGCAGCATGCATCTCACCTTCCCAAACCCTCCAAAGAAAGGTGCTGGAGTGCGAGTCTTGATGAAATAAGAGCAGAAAGAATAAGTGAGAAATTCAAGGATAAAGACAAAGACCCAATTCTTGCAATATTGCAAGACTGGTTTCCAAGTTTTGTATCAACAAGTGATAAAGAGCTGGTTCCAAGCTTTGAAAGCCAAGTAAAAATTTTGTTCCTTGAATCAATTAAAAGAGGTTTTGGTGATATGCCAAGGGGGAACAGGGATTTTTCAGAGAGCTATGTTATCAATACTAGGATGACAAAATTCTTACTTGGAGTTTACAGTGCTTTCCTTTTGAGTTGCTATTTAATTATTTCAGTGTTTGGATTTTCTTGGAAACATGTTTGCACTGAGTGAGCAATTGTATTGCACCAGTCTATGAATAAGAAATGGCAACATCATGCAAGCACTTTTTTGAATTCATTAGGTGACAGTCTATTGTGAGAATTTTTCAAAGAGTTCAACACACTTTGAAAGAGACCTTTTCAAAGAAAAAACGGTTAAAAACTCTTGGAAAGTCTCAAAGCTTTAAAGCTTTCATAGGCATTTGTGAGGTAATATTTGAGGAAGACTTTTTTCAACAAGTTTTGGACACACAATTTATTTAGATTCTGGGAAACAAAAGTTATCATTATTGAGAATAATTTTTATAAAGGGAATAACATTTGTTGATAGTCTTTACCTGTTGTGGGAATAAAATACAATGCCATGGATTGTTTGCAAATAGGAAAAAGTATTATTAGCTGACATTCAGACCTGTCAACCTTAAATTTTCAAAACCTGGAGATTTTAGATTTTTCCTACAGAAAAACAGGGAGATTTGGTCAAAAACAGGGAGGTCACAGTAATCTTTTAAGGGAGTAAATATACCTGATAAAATATTGTGCTCCGCAAACAGTTTATGACAAAAATGATCATGAGAAGTATCTTCATAATAACTTTTAGTGCTTTTTTGTTAATCAGTAAGCACTAACAAAAAATGTTTGTCATCTGGAAGTCAATGTAACCATTATGTCTTAATTATACCTCTGTTGAAAGAAAACATACACAATGGACCTGTCTTTGAGGCATAAGATGCACAGTTCAATCAAACATTCAGGGAAGAATCCTCCTGGACATTCTGCTAGACATCTTTGAAATCGGGAGAAAAATTTTAAAAACCGGGAGACCGGGAAAAAGCAGCCAAAACTGGGAGTCTCCCGGCTGAATCGGGAGGGTTGACAGATCTGTGACATTGGTATGTCTATTAGTCAATTTGATGTTAAAATTATCATTCATTTGCAGGTCTCAAAACTTGTCATTGTCCTTTTGGATCAAGAGTGCAGGAAGCAAAACTGTGTAGCTGGTGAAAAGCATTACTGCAAGTATGGTGGCAGAAAAAAACACTTTGTTGATATAGAGGGAGTTAAGATGACCCTGCTCCATTTTGTGGCAAAAACGAATTTTGTTATCATTGCAAAGGCCCTAATTGAGCGTTTCCCAGGGATGCTGCATGTTAAAACACGTGGAGGAGACGACAAGAACCGGCTTCCAGTTGAATATGCTTTGTTAAATTTTCATGATGATGTTGCTTCAGAACTAATAAAAAATATGCATAATGAAAGGTAAGACACTCTGCTACTTTGATCTTATCATGAACTGAACTCTCAAGGACTCTGTCTAGTGATTTAGCATACTTCCACATGGTAATTTATAACTAAGTTGTGTGTTTAGTACTCTGAAGTGAACTGACAGCATGCTTTCAATTCAGTCATTTTAAAGTTGTTTAATGAGATATGGGGGAGGGAGTGGCTTATTGAGATGTGGGGCTTAGAAGTGATTCTAGCAGTACATATATTTCAATTGACAAATTGATGCATTAAGCATTGCAGAGCTACTTTTGATTGGACATGTTTGGCTCAAATTAGTCTGTGTAACTGTTGTTGATCAAAAGAAATGGTGGACAGTTTTGTGAATAGCGTCTTGTTTCAATACAGGGGTGCATCGTCATGACAGTGGCAAAATAGTTTAGTCATTAACTTGTTATACTTATTATTTATTAAAGAATAACTTATTAAAGAATCCGTCATTAACTTGGTAAAAATCCTGTGATGTGTAAACTTGTTACTTGTATCTCAAGGTGAATTTTCAAATTCAAGGCCAGCTCTATCATTACAAATCATCCTGGTCATGCATCAAGGAATATGAATCTAGCTGCGTGACATCCTATTTGTCACAGATATACTGACACATTTTCTAGAATATAAGCTGAAACTTCTATCTAATTTTTTTTTTAAAATTGCTTTTACTTAAAGGCGGCTTCGGTTCAAAATCGGCTTCTATTCACTTTTTAAACAAAATTGACTTGACTGAACAAATAATGCAAGGTGGTATGATACCAATCTCTGCAATTTAAAACTATCCATCACATTTGTGAAAGTCCATAATGACGCAATATTTTATGCATTTTCTTTGAAGTGTTTCCCACCAATAGGTATCAAGTTTTTAGGCTGAGGGTGCTGATAAATAAATGTGACTTCTGCTCAGGAGCGGCTTCTATCAGGAGCGGCTTCTATACCTTTTTTCATCAAAACTGTGGCTTCTATTTGAGAAAATACGATATAAGAATTATCTCGATATTAGTACAAGCTTTTGCAAGCTCAATATCGTACTATTTTATATTACTCAAAATTTAAATGCTGCTCTTTTCCAAAATTACTTTGATTTTTCTGCAAGGTGGATCGAGATTTTTACTAGTTTAGAGCAAGTATAAAACATGATATAAGATTATCAACGGACTTGTTTTTTTCTAGAGTTAGACGACTCTTTCAGTATGATACAATGGAGGATGGTATAAGATTCCACTTCAGCAATTACATTAAAAATGAAGCGATGCAGGTGTGTTTATAAGTGTAATTGTATTCAAGAGAATCCAATAAGTAAAGATTTGATCAGTGGCGGACACTTGGTCAAATATTGGGGGGGCAAGCATATTGTTTTAATAATATGACGTCACATTTCCTATTGTTTTAGAAAAAAAGACCATTGTTCTCTAAAGTATTGAGGGGGCGGTCGCCCCCCCTCGCCCCCCCAAGTGTCCGCCACTGGATTTGATACTTACAATGTGCCGCAATATCTCCTGATTACGACCCTATCGCTGAGCTTACTAAGAGATATCGAAGAAAGGAGGTGTTAAACAGGATCAGTGGCAATAAATAGAAGAGATTCACTCTATCTTGTTTGTGCGCCTGATCACATATTGTTCAGAATGACATATCTAAAGGCAAGGAAGTTACGACTTTGAAATAATGAACTAAAGATGCATTTTGGTTTTTGCCTGTCTGCCTCCACGTCAACCAAATGATTTTTTTATAAGATATAATACAATTAAATTTTTCAGATTGGTGATGACCTTGTTCGCGTCGATAGCCAGTTATAAAAAGACTTTGCTAATTTCATTTTCCTTGCCGTTCTTTTAGAAAACTGTCATTGCCGTCCTTGATTGCATGATGAGCCCGGATTGGCCCTTCATTCCGATAAGCAAAGACGAAGTAAGCGAGGAAGTAGCATGGAGCAAAGTCCCGGACATACCAATCCGGTATCATGTTTTTTATCAGATTTTAGATGGCGATTTTGACGGAAGGCCAGCGAAGCTAAAACGGGAGCATGGTGGCTTCATCGAAAACGAGAAGTTCGATCACAAATCAGACTCGTGTTTCAAGTGTCTTGTCAATTCACCCCATAAAGATGTAAGGGATCAATTAGTATTCATTTTAACATATTGAGTTTGGGGATGCGGTAAGCTTGTTGCTTTTAAGCTTTATCCTCCATCCTGGCATGTTAATTCCTGGAAGCCTAACTTACGTACTCGATTAAAGTTGAGTTTGTCTTTCAGCTTGACCACATTTCGTCGTGTACTTAAAACAAACGATCTTTGCGAAAGTCCTGGGAATACCCTAAAACTAGAGTTCTCGTTGTTGTGAAAGACGTGGCGGCCCTTCCCCCAAAACTATATTGATTGAAACCTCTAAATAATCTGCCAGACAACATCGAAGCTCAAAGAATCACGTTTAATCAAATAGTTTTTAAGGAATAGGATAATACTATTTTCTTGGAAGCTTGGAATTCCAGTCAAGTGTTCTACGATTTCTGGCTGACATAGACACTTAATATATGAAGCTACCATCTTTTATTGTTAAGACACATGTGGTGTTGTCAAGTTTAAGTTTCAAATAGACTATCCTTTATTGTTTATTATTGTAAGACACGTATATGCTATTATCTAATTGGAAGTTTATTTCGAACCGTATTAACGGATCCCCACACGAAATATTATGCCATCTGACGTGAATTGGCTGTTGTTATGACGTGTCAATCTGCCTCTTTCAACATATGTTCTGACATCACATACCCAACGAGTTGCCTGATGATCGCATAAAGCGTGAAACTCGGACTAACAACTTGTTCTGCTCTATACACCAGACAACGTATGTTCCAATATCTATAGATATATACTCTTTACTTTCATTTAGGTGATAATTCGACACCCAATTGTCCGTTTACTTGCCGATCGAAAGTGGAGCTGTTTTGGAGAAGTCAGAGTAAGGTGAGACTTCCATTCATTGTTAAAATTTCATAACAATTATTAGATTTTATTTATATATATAATAGTTATACCTGATTTGAGATTTCAATATTTTTTAGTAAAATTGCCAAGTCTTGTGGTAAATTTTCTGTTAGGACTGCACTTGTTCCTTCAGCTTGAAACTTATATGCCAGTTAATTTGAAGGCTTCCCCCCCCCCCACCCTGCAGCCAGAAAAGTATTAGTATTATCATTACTAGAACACGTCTTTAATGCACTTTATCTACTATACTCTTGACAATTTAAGTAAACAAAGAAAAATAAGGTACAAATAGCTACCAATTAAGTATAAAATAAAATTGCAGATACTCAACAAATGCCATTTTGAAGAAATGAGTCTTGTCGTTTTTTGAGTCTACGCCTTTCGTGTTTTATGCCTTTGTAGGCAAGTTTCCTATTCTAGACATCTACTCCGCTATCCATGACTAATATGGCGTGTTTAAGTGGCGGCAAAATTCAGCTAATTTACAGAAAAAACTGGGCAGAAAATTTAAGCTCGTCTGACTTAACATTTTGTTTATTTTTGACTTGTAAAAAAACTTTCATGGTACCTTGCTGACTCGTTACTTGTCCTTTAATTTTCATCGAATTTTTGAACCACTGTTATAGAATTTCGAAAGGGTCTTACATAGCAGAAATGTCGCCTTCATTACTTGTATTTACGCAAATTTTGATTCATCCCTTTACAATTTTCCTTTACAAGTTCATGAATGCTAGATTGGTTTTCATTTATTCTGGCTTGCAGCCTTTAAGACTTGGTTTAGAAAGGTACACTATTTTATTGTGCTAGCTGTTTGTGTAATCAGGCCAAAGTTTGCAGCTGAACCCCCTTTTACAAACGTTCATTGCTTATCATAGTCTATATCACAAAATGTCCCTATTTACAATTAACCATTGCAAATGCATTTCTTATTTTCCAGATTCTTCGCGATACTGTATCTAGTGTTTCTCTTCGCTCTTTCTTTTGCACTCCTTGGTGCTGTAAGCAGCAAAGATCCCAGGAAATACCAGAACAACCTGGACTATGCAAGGATGGTTTTCGAGGCAATGTCACTTTTTGGAGCTGTTGCCTATTTGCTTTTGGAAGTTGACCAAATGACCAAGTGAGTTTTGCAGTAATTTTTCAACTTAAACCTCATAAAATGAACGTATTGCATGTGGAAAGCCTCTTGATAACCAAAAATGTAGGAAGCATTTTAAATGGAGGAGAACATATATCGGCCAAAGTTGCATCTAAATGAGCTGCAAATAGGCATTTTACCTCCTTTTCTGACATAGTGGAAGGTACATGCTGCCTTGCTCTCGCCGTTTCCTTCGTCTATGTTTATATTGAAGACCACAGTGCATCTGCTAGAGTTACTGGACTCATAGAAATGCAGCTTGATATTATACTTCCAATGCCTAAATTTGAAGTAAAAATATATGTGTATATTTTTAAATCTATGTTTACGTAATTAAAATTTACTTTCAAAAGACATAAGCTTGCTCAAGTTACATTTATCATATCATAAGAAATATTTGTGCACGATGCCTTGTCAGCTGATATAATTAAGAAATACAGAAGATTTATTAAAAACCTAATAGGCTGCTCTCCTTAGGGGTCGTGCTTTAAATGCCATTAGTAGAAGGCCAAGCAATCACAGGCCTAGTCATCTTTGTTCTTTGCATTTTCGATCAGGGCCCTGGATTCTAGAAAATGTTTAGCTTCGTATCTAAATGCACCCTTGTATTATTTTACCACACTTTAGGCGGCTCTCGAACATTGCTCCATAAAGTCAACCTACAAGCTACACCCAATTTCACTTTTTTGTGAATTTTTGTTATTGGTGCAAATATTTTTCAGAAGCTTTTTAGATGGCATCATGTCTAAATTAACGTTTGATAAGTTGAAATTTTTAAGTTACAAGAGAGAAGCTAAATAGCCCTTGTATCTAGAATTTGGCCTGTTTTCCGCTATTTAACCCTAGGAAAAACAAAGCCTGGAAAGGGGGTCGCAAAATTTATGAATATTTTCTCAAAATATACAACTTGATAAACTTTGCACAACATTATTGTTTTAATGTCAGAATTTACGATATAATTTTTAATTAAAATTTACGTACTTTAGAGTAACTAGAACTTTTGATTTGTTAAAGATTCTTGACAAATCAAAAGGAACCTAAAGTTTTTCGAGAACTGCAGATATTATAGTTTGGTATTGAATTTTTTTGGAAGAGTTCTGGAAAAGCCTGAAAGAATTCTCTAGAGTGCCTAGACCTCATCTCTTTTCTTGTAGTTTTCTCGCTTCCTTTTCTTAAAACTATCACGTGCTGCTTTTTCGTACTAGAGAACGTTGCAGATACCTCAGGGATGGATGGAATTTCTTAGATTTGTTCGGTATATTATCATTGTTTTGCTTGATACCCGGAAGAATTCTCAATGGAAACTGGCAGTGGTCGCTGGCAGCCCTTTCGTATCTTGTCAACTTTTTACGAGTCTTCAAATACTTTCCTGCCTGGCCGTAAGTATTGTATACCCAGAAATTCTTCCAGTTCTAAGCTATGGGCTAAAATCGTGCATTTTTGGAACCTGCGTTATTTATCAAAGCAAAACATTTAAGTGGTCTTAATTGGTCTGTGAATTCGTTGCACGAAATCTTTAAAACTTGTATTGCATTTTAATACAGAATTCACGTATCAGGTGGCATATTTGATATCCAGCAGTTTAAGAAGAACGCAGAGCTACAATTTTAGGACAAACCTGTTTCCTTTGTATAGAATTGAAGAGTAAGCACAGGACGACCTCCCTGTTCGTTTTCTGGCCTCCCTGGACAAGAACTCAAAACTTTCAAAAGCATCCTTTATGACAGCAGTTAGCCCATATGCAAGAAAGATGCCTACAGAGCATCGAAATAAAATGACAGTTACAAAAGAATATTTTCAAATGCCCTTTTACTGAAGCTTACCCCCTTCCGGCTGGGACGTTCCGGCGTTTTTGTTCTTGTCGTAAGTAATGTTTATTCTCGACCAACACTTTTTAAGTTATTTGCCCTGGTTTCGTAATAATCTTTCCATTTATTGTTTAACGAAGGCAACATCGTCTTTGTGAATCTGATTATTTTGATATTTTTCTTACAGACGTGTAGGATTATATGCCAAATGCTTGTATACGATTTTACTAAATGATGTGTCAACCTTTTTTGTTGCCTATGGTGTTATAATGTTTGCTTTTGGTGGAAGCACGTACCTGGCGCTTAAAGCAAGTCGAGGACTTCAGAATGTTAGGTATTTTCCCATTTAAACTATCAATTTTAAGTATCTTGTGATATCTCAACATTTCCATGGTATCTCTAAGTATATTTGCCCTGAAACGTTCAAAACATTCGAACTTTGTTTATCAAGGTATCACGTATTTAAGTGAATGCATTAGATCTCAAGCGATTCTTCATTATCTATTACACTTAACTATTCTAACTTCCTCGATATTATTTACCAGTACTTTAAATACAACTAGAGTGATGAGCCTTTCGTATCAGCCAATAAGACTTAGGCCTTTAGGATCAAATTTAGTCTAATTTCCCAGTGGAAAGTTTCATTTGAGTGACGTTAAGAGAAATGTTTCATTTTTAGTGGATTTGGTGATATAATTCTGCGAGAAATAAGAATTTTGGCAGATGGACAGGCATTTGCAGACAGCTACGATAAATTCCAGTAAGTTGGCCATAATTACATCCACTTTTTCATACGTTGTACTCATTTTCAAATGTAAATACGGTGTAAATGAAGACATTTATTGTAGTAACCAAAACGTAATTTTTTAGCTCGCTTAGATATAGCCTTATAATCTTAATTTCTGTTTCTGTAAATGTTTATAAGAATGAAAAAACTGAAGGATCGGGAATGTATTTGTTGTTAGACTTTGCGTTTTCGTTTGGTCAGAATGTGCTCATGAAAAATATTTTCTTCTGATCTACTGTAGACGATTGATGAAATTTCAACCATTGATGAAGCTGAGAAAAATCTTATAACCATTGATGATAAGCATTATTTCAAGTTTTATTGAACTGATCCTCTTAAAATGAAAGTTTCCTGCCATGTTTGGTTTATGATACTTAGCATGCTTTGTTTGAATAATGTATCCACGTTGTTGCAGCGTTGCTGTAATTGTGCTAATCTTGATCAACATGATCGTTGCTCTTATCGTCATGGTGAACATGTTGATTGCCCAACTGAGCAACAGCTATGAGAACGCCTTGAACGAGGCTGTATTGCAGTTCGACATTGACAAGTACTTCATGGTTTCGAAACTGGAACAGAGTCATTTCAGACGGGGGGTATGTTCTTGTTTTGTGTTTAGAGCTCGCGCATCTATTTTTGTTTAACAGTGTGCTTGAGATTTTTGCAGTGTTCTTTCTCAAAGACTTCTGCAGCTTTTAGTTGTTATTTGTTATGAAAAGCCGACTCACAGACGTTATATTTTCGGAAGTCTAGTATAGAATATAAATCAAATCCGAATTGTTTCTAATACCAAAAATATAGGAGACCTATCACATGTACGAAACTAAGCCAGCTGAAGATCAATCTGATAGAATTGCCAATAAACAATGTGTATCTCATAGGAAAAAACATTTAATGGTTTTATGATAAAGCATTTTTTGATAAAATGTTCTTCCAGAAAAATTCGAATTCTGTGATATTTAAATTTTAAATTAAATTTTCGTTTTCTATGGCCCTTTTAAATTACATTGGTACCAGCTTGATACCCTAGCTTCAAATTTAGGCCCAAAGTTGATCAACCATTATATAATCAGCTTTAAGTGAAGCGTCACCCTTTTTTAATTTATTGCAATTACGTGAATAAATGTTGAAGTGCTGTCATTTTTTTTCAGAACTTGAGAATAAAGTATTATACTGACGGTGATTACGTCAACGATATGACAAAAATCAAAGGTGAATTAAATATTGTTACTTTGACGACAAATTGTGCTATCTTCTTGCCAGATTGGTATTTCCGCTGCTGATTTGATCAGTGCTACTTAGTTTTCAGCTCCAAATTTGCTAATTCTATGTATACAAACGTGCAAATAGAAACAAATCATATTTGGCTTGCGTCCCCCACAAAAAATGCTCAAGGCTGCAAGTAAGTGTAGTTAAAAAACAATAAATACAGGCTTCGGGGGGTAAACTATGCCTAATTTTGGACGGGGACGTGCCATTTTGGTTAAAATTTTGGACCCATAATTCCGCAAATGACTGAAAAAATGTGACCCATAATTCCGCAAATATGATGAAAACTATACCCATAATTCTGCAGAGCAAATAAAATTTTTAAAGCACATAAAAAACCTTAAACAAATTTTTGCATGTCCTATGCCCCAAAATCTCAATATTGCAAATATTTCATACTTTCATTTCTAACTGGAAATTAGTTTTGTTAATGCTAAATATCCCTCCTAATAGTTTTGCAATTTTTTCTCAAAATGGCATCCATAATTCTGCATGTTTCTTCAAGTGGTACCCATAGTTTCAAAAACTGATACCGATAATTCCGCACTTTTCAGAAACATAGGTACCTCTAAATAGTGGCACGTCCCCGCACCTTCAAACACGTTAAGGTACCCCCCCCCCCCGAGATACTGTAAAAGGTCTTACGCTGTATTGCGCAGACTTATGCGAGAGGATTTCATGTGAGAAACGAAGAAATGAGATCTTGTTCTTTGGTTACATTCTTGTTATCGTGCAAATCAAAAAGCTCCCCTATTTACAAAATCTCATGATATTTATCCTAACGGCATACAATAGATTAATTAATGATTGACATAAAACTAAACGAGGTACAAATGAAACCGAGGTTATACAATATAAGAAATATCCTGTTACAATACAGGCTTATGACAAACTTTCTGCAACTTTGTGCAATTGGTGTCACAGTAATGTTCACCTGAATAAACATGTACTACGTTTATGGCGTTAGACATTATCTGTATTGAACTTGAATGTGCATGGTGGATATCATGTACGTGTTTCCATTTATTTATGCCTTAAAAATGTATTTTGTTAGCGATCTCAAAATATGCATCTTTGCTTGCAACTTTTAAACTTTATGTGGAGTTGAAAATGAAGCATTTTTTTTGCAAAGTTTCAAGATTGCACATAAAAGTTTCGCTTATGCTAATACACTTCTCGTCAGATATTTTTCGGATCATGAAAAGTGTTTCTCCCTATCGAGAATATTGTAATGTGAAAAAATAACTGGTGTAATTTGAGTTACAAACAATACATACCCCTAATGAATATTGCTATGCCTTCTTAAGCCCTGTTGCCTAGGCAGCAATGATCATTTTGCTGCAAGTCGTTGCAGGTTTTACAGTACTACATAAATCGAGTGAGCTGCTAAGCCATTGATCGTTTTAACCCTTTATTTGCAGAAATTTTCGATGACTGGGAAAAATTGAAGGAACAGAAAAACATTGGAAATTTACCTCAAAAGCATGAAAGGGAGTATGTTCTTTTTTCTTCGGACCCTCTTTTTATCCTTGCCTGTTTTTCCACATCTGTTATGTCATAAAGCTTTTGAAGAATTGAACCCGAGCTTGAATATAAGTACCAAATCACTAATAATTCTCCATAAGGAAAATAAAGTTTTGAGAGCGTCAATGGCCCGGTACATATAACTAGCAACTAAAATTTTGAAGAAAAGTTCATACCTTAGTTGATAGGAGAGATGATGGCTACACCTTGAAAGACCATCTCGAATAGGCTACCATCAATATGGAACATCTTTGGAACAATTGTTGTACAGATTGTATCCAACTTTTTTGGTGGATGGTTGAAAATTCTTGTAGCTTGCAATTTATCCAAATTATGTCTAATTAGCCGATAAAAGAGTCTATTATTGAGTTTATGTATTTATTTTTTGTTTTAATTTTCAATTCATCAACAGATTTGTATTTTTTTTGTCCATAACGTTTATATAATTGGTCAATTTTTATCAAACATTTATTGAATCTTTTTTAGGAGAATGCAACAACTGGCAAGCAAAGACAGATTCTTCGGCGTTGTAATCTGAACACTTTTTACCAGGTATCAGATAACAAAATCTGGAATGTCTCTAGCCGGCATTTGAACAGATAGAAACTTCCACTAGAATTATATTCTGGCGTGTTTGTACCTTTGTAGAATTTCGACCTATTATTCTCCATTTTCCAGTTACTTTGTGAACAGCGAGTTTCCCATGACCTCAACAACAACCACAGTTTTCGTGTGCAGACGTAGGACTAGGTATTTAGATAGTTACAGCAATGCCACATCTTAACCTGTGTTGGACACAATTTTGCACCCTTTCAACTAACGTCTTTGCTTTGACCGTAATGACATTTTATTCTTAATATTGAGAATAACCCAGATTCAAGGGAATCTCACGGTTGCACGGTGGATGGCCGTCCACAAGGTCATTGATAGCAAACGATTTTCAGCGACCACACCCAAACCACGCCCTTTCATTGCTTTTCAAAGGAAACTTTTTGTTAAAGTTTGGCCCATGGGACGGAGGAACGATAAATGTTTTTCTTGATTTTGACCCCCTTCATTTATCTTTAATTGACACCCATTTTTGTTTGCCTAATTTTGATTTTGTAATGTTTGTGACTCCATTTGTAAGTTTTATAAGTTGGGATCTGTCCTTTTGTAAAAGTGACAATAGGCTGTCCTCGAACAAACGTCTTATAACATTTTTGTAGTTTAACATAAGCTTTATTTAAATTAGTATTTTTTGAAATTTCTATTTATTTTTTTCCTGGAGTAATGTTTCACATGAGCTTTTTTTGTAGTGTGTTTTGGTTTGAAATTCAATTTCGCGTTAATGGGCTTTGTGAATATTTTTCGAAGGACATGATTGTTTTTTGTAACCGTTTTTCGTTAAACGACTTTTGTATATTTCCCTGTGCAAATGATGCTTCAAAATAGATGCTATTTACGATTAGTATTGTAATCACTTTTTTAGAAACGTACAGTCTCTAGTTAACGCTCCTTCGCTTTTTTATGACCCCATTTTACATGCTCCCCATTTCGGTCAACTAACGCCCGTCTTTGCAGTGCCCTTCTATTAGACAGTCCAATCATTTAAGCGGGCTTTAATTAGTGTATAATGAACGTTTTAACGATAAATCAACCCCCCCCCCCACCCTATTTTTAAAGGCTAACTTCTATTTACTCCTTCCAAAATCAGTAATGATTTTGTTTATGCTTAGGGTGTTAAATAGTGGGTTTTTGGTTTTTTGAATAGATTTGACTTTTTTCTAGAATTTGATCATTTTGGTAAAAATTTTCTACGATTTTGCATCAATTTTCTATTGTTTGAATGTGTTTTAACTGTTTGTTGATAGATTTTTTTTAAAAAACTATTTGTCTTTTAAACGGTTCCGGGCCTTTTTGCCTGAAATTCCTAGCTGGCTATTATTCTAATCATACTGCCCCTGAAATACCCTCGAAATGAAATGTGGTCGAGACGAAACATCCAGTGGCGTAACCTGAAATACCCTCGAAATGAAATGTGGTCGAGACGAAACATCCAGTGGCGTAACCTGAAATACCCTCGAAATGAGATGTGGTCGACACGAAACATATTGTGGCGTAACTTGAAATACCCTCAAAATTAAATATGGTCGAAACGAAACATCAAGTGGCGTAACCTGAATACCCTCAAAACGAAACATCCAGTGGCATAACCAATTTTATATGCGGTACAACTTTCTATCAGTAAAGTGGCTGAATAAATCAGCTTTTTGATAGAGATACATTAAAGTCATCTGGGTAAGTTCAGGGGGTACAAACCAGGAAAAATTTTCCATAAATATACTAAAATGCGTGCGGTACAATAACGGGCTATGCTCGAAACGGGCTATGCTCGAAACGTCGTTAATTATTAATAAATTTTTCCTGGTACAATTTTCTTACATTGATCGTTATTTAAATTCAGGAAAAATTTTAACTATAAAGTAAAAAGATAAGAAAGTAAATAAAATAACATCTAGGCGTTATTGGATTACTACTGACTACCAGCAATTTTTTTACCGAATCAAAGCGAAGTTGACCGAAGGACACAAAAAAGTAGATGGGGATGCCAGTTAAGTTCGTCCCTGCTCTAGAGATGCCAGTTAAGTCCGCTCTAGAGATGCCTCACAAGTATTACTTTTTATAGGAGGAAACCATGGTTTGTAACCATTGTTATTATACCTATATATAAGCCATGCCTGTGCCTCTATGAATTCGTTGAAGGAGAGGGGTTTGGTGAGTTAGCGTATTTCGAACAAGCCGCGTTGGGTAAAGGCTTATTCAAAACACCATCCTTAGACCGGGTGGTTATTCGAGAGGGGGGCTTTCTCAATGTAACACAAAGATATTGTTCTTGAAATATTTATGACACCAAAAACTGGTTTAAAGTGAGTTGTATGAAAATTCTCTCCAATTAAATGCATTTAAACATCTTCATCCCTCATAATTTCTATTCAGCCAGAATAATTAATAGAAATTTGCGAGTATCGGCTTGCTTTACGGGGTGAAATAGCTTCTATGCTCTCCCTAAAATCTGTGTTGACTGATCAAGATCTTTTACTTGACATCCACCTCCATGAGCTGCAATTGATTGCTTATGGATAACTTGAAGCCTTGATTGTTTATGACTTACTGACGGAGAGTGCTCAGAACTGACAAAATCACCGAAGTGCTTGGGACGAAAGGTCCCTCTTTGCTGAATATTGCTGACCTCAGTGTATTTGATTGCTTTTTTTCGGAAAACAGCAGCCATTTTCGCACATTGAGCCTCAATCAAGTTTGCACATCGTTTCTTATGGTCCTCTCTCGCTGCTTTAACTACAAACAGCGCTGTGAAAGATTTAGACTGGAAGATTTAAGCTGCTTCATGACTATGTTGTGTTTATTTGTCTTAGAATGTCTATCAGCATACAATTCACAAAATGAACATCCAATTGTCCTCATCCTCTTCTAGCTAATGCAGAAATACTTTATCCAAGCTACGGTCTTCGCTTCTTAAACTTCTTTGATGGTCTTGAGGTGTAACACCCCCCCCCCCAATTCCTCATGAATTCTTCGATAAATCTTCAGTTTGTCTACAACACCCTTAGTTTGTCGGTAAAATCAGCTGTAAGTAGGTGAAATAGAACCTTAATTCTTCTCAATCTATGTCTTCGTCGATAAATTTTTCTATTGATGACCCTCCACGGGCTACTTCGAAATATTCATTCGTCTCAGTTTTTTGTTTGCTGGCTTCTAACTTTTTTTAATGCCCGCTAATTGGAAAGAAAATAAGCCAAATTGACTATTATGTGCAAAAAATATTGTCCGTTAATTAGAGTGTCCGCTAACTAAGTGTCCGCTTTTTAGAAAGTTTTTTATTAGACTTTGACCAGAAAACGATCGGGGGAAAAAATCTGTCTGCTAATCAGAGGTGTCCGCATTTTAGAGTGTCCGTTAATTGGAGAGAATACTGTACATGGATTCCACACTGGCGTAAGTAATAAGAGATCCCAACAAACAATTTTCCTTCCTCCAGTATTAGCTTGGCCCAAACTGCCATGGCCATCCAATACAAACGACAAAAACCCCTATTAAAATTTTACCAACAAGGGAGGCCAAGAAGAGCTGTCCCCTTAGTACCCTTCTCTCTCCCAGGCCAGTTGGTCATCTCACACTATCAAGTTTAAGCAGCCATGTCTGAGGATCTAGAAAGCTGACCCTTATCTTGGTATTTGATTGCAATTTGATTCCCCTTTTCTTTGAAACCAGAGAAAATGTATACCCTTTTTCCTGGAATCAAGTAGTTGAATTAAGGCCAAACAAAGAAAAATTAGAAACTTTCTTTTGATTCCCAAATCATACACCCTTTCTTAGATATAAAACAAATATGAGCCCCTTTTTCAGAGATATTGAAGACACGAGTTCATTACACTTGACAATAAGAGTGGACCCACCAGGCACCCAAGCCCGCCTCCCCCTTGGCACCCCGCCATTGCTCATGGCCCAGTTGCTTGAGACTTGAGACGCAGTCGGCCACCGCTGCTCCTCCGCCATTCCCGCCAAAAATATCTGCCATTTTGTCTAGGTTTTGCAGCACGCGTTTTTGCAGGCCGAAATACGCTAATTAATTCTTGCTAGGGAAGGGTTATGTTGATCTGTTAAAACTATTAGCCATGTCGAAGGCTTTTGTGGATAAAGAGGTTTTCTTTCGTCGCATCAAAAAACTTTATCAGCACTGGAAGGTGAGTATATATCATCAAGGAACGTGGTACAAAGCGCCCCTATGATGTTGTTCCTTCTTACCGGCCTAGATGACAAATAGTGACATATATAAATGCTCTCACTTAATCATCATCAATCATCGATTTAAAATCCCACCACATATCTAAATTAGTAATATGTGTAGGAGAATAGGTCATGGATGACCGTAAATGACCTTAATTCATTTTCTAATTAGTAATTCAATATTCATGTTTCAAAATTGCAATAGGTATGAAAGTAAACATCTTTAACTGTCATGGATAAGTAAAAGGAAAAGCTTCATTTAAACCTTATGACATTTGGCTTATTTTATCTCTATAATTTTCACTGTTTTAACTTGGAAGTGGGTTTGCTAAAGATTTCTACTTGTTTCAGAATGATCCTAGCTGTGAAAATATTGATGCTTTCATGAGCATTGTTGGTCAAGATGAGGAAGTCATTTATAGTAAATCAACAGCATTGCAAGTAAGATTTTTAGATCACTACTTCAGATCAAGATCATCTTTTTTATCTGTGGCATCTAAGTTATGAAAATGACTTAGCCCATTAACATGACTTGTGCTTCATTGCCCACTGTACGCCACATATATACACCAAGGCAATAAATGGATAGCACCAGCAGTGATCAACTCAGGGCACCCTTGAAGGGGAAAGTTCCAACTTAACTCTTAATGAGCTTGTGTTGTAAACATAGAAAAGGTACCCCTTGAGATAAGCACTGATATTGGTTTTAATATATATTTGTGATGCCAAATGCTTCACCAATTAGATGCCAGGAATACCCTCCCAAAAAGAAAAAAACACAGCATCTAAATCATCCAATGTCTTTTCTGCCACAGATATGTGACATTACAGGTCCCGATTACAGTATGGATCATTTCTTACATAGCTCTTTAATGAGAAAGAGAGCAAGTCTTATATTTGCAATTAATCCTAAAGAGTCTCAAAGAAATTTGTTGATTTTTGCCTGCCTTGAGAAACAAGCATTCCATATGATAAGACAGGTAGCCTAAGGCCTCTTTAGACTTGTGCTTAACCCAGGGGCGGCTTGGAGCAATATTAGATTGGTATTCAAGGTACTAACAATCTACTCGATAAAACGCCACACCCAAAAAAATAAAATCCCCCAAATGCCACACCCCATTATAAAGCCCTACAGAAAGGATTTTCAAAATTGGTTCTAAAATGATGTCTGAGTAGTTTTGATAAATTACTTCACCTTGTCCACATTCCAACAAAAAATAGCAAGAAACCCAATCGTTTGTGGTGTGCTATAGATCATATTTAAAATGTTTTACTCAAAAGGGCTTATTTGCTAAATATCTCAGTTATCCAGGATCAACTTGCAAGAAAACTAGATCTCGTTTGTATTATGTCCCTTCCGCTTGAAAACAAATGCTTCGTTGCACTCTTGATAAACACGTATGAAAGGTTATCGGGCAGTAAAAACTGAGGCCTGTATCCAAGACCAAAGCACGGCCAAAAGCCTTTCTATGGAGCCGCACCATATTCGAAAGTATTCAGTTTGGATTCTGAATAGTGTGGCCACAAAGCTGTGACAGTTTGTGGACTGAGGCAATGGCCGAATGAGGCCATTAAAAATGAAAAAAATAGCCAGATAAGGCCAGCATTTTATTCTGATTATCTGTGTTGAATAAACTTTGAAACTTGCAAATTTCCAAGCAGTATTCGGTTCCGAAAACACAGCTAGAAGGGGACATATACGCTCAAGGTATTCGGACAAGTTCTGAATACCTTCACTTTCAAAATTCTTTGTTTAGCCTCACAGTTATCTCCTGTGACTGACGTCAGGGTCAGTCGAAAACAATGCGGATGTATTCAGGATGGCCTTTGAATACCTTGTGACTGCTGGCCGCTGGCCTCATCGGAAAACAAAAGGGATTAAGAAGTCTCTATACCCACCGCCAAAACAATATCGATTGTTAAGGTCATTGATTTTTTTTAAAGAAACTTTGCCCGCTTTGTAATGGCATTGTATGGGCAAAGGAAAATTTTATTTGGATTTTGATTTTGGAACATATTAAAAGCATTAAAAGTTGTTTGGAAAAAAATTAGTATTTGTGAATACCTTGAATACCCCAGCGCGCCGCCCCTGGCTTAACCCATCTCCTTGGTCAGGGTTAGGGGCAATGGCCCAGTTGTGGGTTGGGCAAGGGGCTTCACCTCTATAAAGTCATACTTAGAAAATAGATCTGAGATCACAACAATCACAGACATGGCACAGTAATCCTGAAATATACAAACATCATACTCTTTGTATGGTCAATAACTGTCGTTGCACCTCATCAACCTTAAATTTGTAAAAAAATATTTGACTGCCTCATTAATTCATTCTTTTCTTGGTTTGTGAATGATTTGGATTACTTGCTTACTGTAGAATGTTAAATTTTGAATGAATCACTTGATCTCTGCTGACTCTTCCAAATGTTTAATGTTTAAGCAACATTCACTCTTTTAATTTCAGCAATGGTTGTTTGGATATGAACTTACAGACACTCTAATGGTAATTACTGAGTCAAGTATTTGTATTCTGGCAAGCAAAAAGAAAATTGAGTTTCTACAACCCTTGAGGGAAGCACAAAAGAAAGTTGAAAATGTTCCTCCAATTAAACTGCTTCTGAGGACAAAGGTTTGTTTTCATATACAATTTATCTTGATCATTTATGCAAAACTTTGATTAAAATAACCTTTTGTGAACCAGACTTTCATTTGGCAAATGTTGAGCAGTCTTTGTCATAAGGAAATTACTATGCATATGGTAAACCAAATCTTTGTCACAAGGAAATCACCATGCATGTGGTAAACCACACGCATTATTTCTTTAATGTGTGCAAAACTGTGATGGTTCAAAAACAGAACAGTGACGGTACCAAATTCTTTCGCTTTTGTAGCAGGGTCTCCTTACCAAAGTGCTAGTGTAAAGAAAAGTGTGAACCGCAACCATCTTGTCACGGTTTCAAACTTGCACAGATTGGTGTAAACAGGGTCTCGAGTTCAGGAGCGTCGTGGCCATAAATTACAGAGGGGGCCAGAAAGAAAAAAATTCCTACAAAATTTATTTGATTTATTTTAATCAAATAGAAGCATTTCGTGTAAGTACAATGAGGGGAGGGGCAGAAAAATCTAAAACTCTTGCCTTTACTGGAAAGATATTTCTTATAAGTCTTACAAGGAGACAGATGCTTGAGCTCGATCCAGTACCTCTGCACGTGCCTAGAAACTTATAGGAGCTTGACTGATCGAGCACCTAGCATGTTTATGCTGTCTATAAACTTGATTTGAAAAACCAAATTTTGTTGTTGATGATATTTGATCATGCTCAATTGAGCATCTGGAAAGTTGAAAGTACTAAGTATGTCAAGCACCCACTTTTTGCTCCTCACAAGGCCTGATCCAAGTCCTACTTTACCTTATGAGGAAAATATAGAGCCAATTTTGATCAAGGTTGCCCATTCTGCATTATTTTGTAGGGAGCTGGTGATGAGGAAAACTTCAAAAGTATCATTGAAACATTGAAGTCAAGTAAAAATGTAAATTACAGTGTTTTATTTTCTTTTCAAAATACTATGTTAGATGATATATATATTTGCCTTTTTTCAGTATTGAAATGCTTAGTTGTAACTAATGGGATTATTAAAATGACATGCTATAAATAATGTAGGTATAAGTATAGTTGACTCCAGTTATAGTAACCTTCATTTCTAAAAGACTGATCCTCCAAGAACAGGTTCAACACCCCCAAGAACACCCTAAAAACAAGCCATTAAGTGGCTGAACACCCTTTAAAACATATCAAAATTGACATATTGTTCGAAAAATTATTTGATCAATCAATCAAAATTAATTTTTGAGAGAGCCCGATAAGTCTAATGTTGTTGGTTTTGTTACAACCAACTGATGTTTTGCATGCCAAAAGTGTGAACGTGGCTGGTTACGTTGAACTACCAAAAAATTTCTAATTTTAATCCATGATTAATCATGATCTATTCAGTCGTATATGAAAAGTTAAATAAAGTAGTGATTTTCACGATGTTTTAGACAAGCTCATTATATAAGCTAGCAAATCAAGCGACCACACAAAAGCTTTGTAAACAAGCCCCTTGTTTTGTGTTTCATGGTTATTATGTAAGCCCCCTCTTATCCAATCTCTGTCATTTTCCCCTCATTCAAAGACATTCCAAATCATAAAGATTTTCAGATTGCTGGATATACAGTATTGATACTGTGTGTATGTATATATTAGATAGTTGTTAATGAATTATTATAGAATACCTTCTTTTTTTATTAAAGGCTGAAAAAGTTGGTACATTTATCAAAGATAATTTTTCTGGAGACTTTGTGGAAAGGTGGAATAAGGTTTTCAAAGCATCCAATCTTGAAAAGGTAACTTACTATTTATGTCTTAAATTGTGTAGTTCCCAGGACTTTCAAATTACCTGGAGTCCAAGCGTTAAGTGGAATAATTGACGTTGAATGATGTGGCTTTTTTGGCTATAAGGAAACAGATATTGTTGCAGGGTTATGTAGGGTTCATTACCTATTTTTCTTTGAAGGATAATTTGAAAATGTCCTTTTTTTCTGGCAGTTAGGTCTTGTCATAGGCATATCGAAGATTGTCAAAGAGTCACGTTTTTATAGAAAAAAAATTACTTGTTTGCGAATTCTCTTTGGAATGCTTACCCTTTTAATTAAAAGTTCAAAGAATTTTTTCTCTAGATCTGAAATGCTAGGTACATTTTTCAAAAACATTATTGATTGATTTCATTCAATGAAATATTACTTTTTGGCATTTTGGAGATTCTGGTAGCAATAGAACATGGTTTGCCAATTGCTTTTGCAAATTTGCCCAAAAATCCTCATTATTTCGGTTAGTAGAAGCAACTTTATTTGCTTGTGCTCCACTGAAGCCAAAACCATTGCACATTCAGAAGTTGGTGCAGTTTTGAAAACAAGAGGCTAGGATTGAAAACGTTGGAATATCTATCAAATCTTTAACATTTTTAAAACCCATTTTGTATAGGTAACAGAAGAAAGAAAACGATAGGCATTGAATTAGAATCCATGAAATACATGTTAATTGAGGGAAGAAGTTTGAAATTTTTCTGTTTTACAGTGTATAAAATAAACTTACCAATTAAGCTAACCAATTCTATTTTCTGTCCTAATAAAACTTTAGGTTGACGTGAGTGCCTCATTTGCCTACATGATGGCCCCAAAGGAGGATGTTGAACTAAATTTTGTCAGAGTAAGTCAGTTAAATGGACAAAAGTATTTGCCATTTGACGAAAAATTTATCAAACTAAATGCAATTCAGATATGTATATTGGATGCAGTTTAAAAAACATAGTGGAAAACTGTTTTCCATGCAAAGATCCACGCTCATCAAATCAGCTTTTTACTGAATCAAATGATTGATAGAGTGCTTTAGAATTTCTACCTTGAAGAAGTTCCATTGTTTATCTCTAATTTCTTACCTATCAACATGTATCAGTATTTCAGAATGTGTATCAGTCATCCACTTTCCACATAAAATTGGTTTTTGTATTGTTTGTGCTTTGCTACATACTCAAATTTGTTTGTATGAACAAGTCCACTTTGAATCGAATAATGCTACAAAAGGATGCAGAGATTTTTGTGTTGAAATTTTCTAACATACCATACTTTACACTTAATATTCAACTAAAAGAAACACTTTATTCTTAATGCATCTTTTGTCTAGAAAGCTGCGCATGTTTCCTCTGAACTTTTTACCCAATATTTCAAAAAACAAGTTGTTGGCATCGTTGATGCTGACAAGGTAAGTGTATTTTGTATTTGTTTGCACGTCCTCTCTTTTGATAGCTTTGAGTTTCCTTGAAACTGAATGCTTGATCTCTGTTTCAACATGATTAAGCTAGTTTTTTTGCAATAGAAAATGACTTTATGAGTTATCTTCAAGGAGAAAATTGTCGCTTTAATAGGTTGCTTCCCATTAGAACAGTAGGGAATTTCGCAATTATTCCCCCGCATGGTTCTTTGCCACATGTTGTCTTCTCAAGGCGATAGCTGAACACTTGCCCTATGATGTCAATCGTCAATCTGCAGGTGTAGCGCATTGCTTTGCAACAGAATTGTATATTTTTGTGCATATACTGAATACATTTTAGCGCTGATACTTAATTTTCCTTTAAAGCTTAGCTCACATATGTAATTTTCGCGAGTGGGCCCGAGTTTCTTGATTTTCCCGCATCCTACGATAACATTGAATATGATTCAGCGGAAAATCCCGACTTTGCCGATTATTCTGATCAAATTAAAGCCAGTTCTATTCAAACATTCTTGCCGCTGATGTCCTCGATTTTACTATTATAAAGAAGTGTGCAAATGAGCGTATGCGTTTATTGGTCATCCCTGTTTCTTTCGACGGATAAGAAAATCGAAAATCTAGGTGCCGAGAAGTCACCGATTCATGGTTAGCAACCAGTCCCTTTATCGAACTTGGATAGGTTTTCCAATGCTTCCATAAATTAGCCAAGTATTTCGCGATTCTTGCTGTTTTTAAGGCTTCGATCACCACTTGAGTTGGTATATCGGCGATCTTTGTCACATGTATAGACAGTGACTGTGACTGTAATGTATAGACAGGGACTGTAAGAATCCCCGACAGTAGGGATATATAAGTGTCCTTGATTTTTATGTAAAGTATTGTAAGGTTCACATCATTACCAGGCTTTTCAACTAACAAATTGACCAACACGATTATTTAACAACAATGCCTGCCAAAAGTCTTTGAACACTGACGTCAATTTCCAAGGTCAAAACCAATCATACCCCTCTTCCCTACAGAACAATGTTGGTTTACTAACAAGCGGGTTAGGATTTTAGTAAGCACTTTCTTTTGCGCTTCTTTTATGATTTTTCTCTAAATCATCAACATTGTTTTAGGAGGAAGGGGCAGAAGTAGTAATTTTTTTTCATGAAAGGGATGAAAGATATCAAATGCAGCGTAAATTGCTGGGTGTTCCAAGTACTTTTGGCAGGCATTGAAGCTGCGACTCCTTAGCATTGTAACAATTTCACCGTGTTTTTGGTTTTAGAAAGTAAAACACTCAAAACTTGCTGATCAAATAGAAACAGCTTTGGAATCCAAAAAATACCTCGCTGCGGGAATGGATGCAGATCAGGTCAGTGTTCAGTTTGGCTAGTAAGGTGATATTTTACCTGTACTTGAGGGAGTCTTTTTTCTCTGGGGCTCGCCCCTGATTGTGACGAGAAGCTAAATGTTTTCGTGAATCATCATATCATACAACAGGGAAATATTATTTATCAAATATATAATCTAAAATTGCATATAAATTTAATTTTAATTTAAGTTTCTGTAATTTTAATCAAAAGCGTAGCGTAGGTTACCAAGAGAGAGCTCAAATGAGCTTCTCATCTAGGTACCCTGCTTTTCCTCGAGTTACAGGTTATTCAGTTATCAAATTCAATTGCACCGCTTGAATTGAACAAAAACGACTACTGATCTTTGATTTTATTGTTCGCTAAGAACTATATAAATTACAATATATTGGAATCGGTGGACGGTCTTCTCCGACGAATGTTCACCTATCCTATAGACGTTATGCACAAATTAAATTAATATAATTTTCATTTTAAAAAAATTCGCGTAAAATAGTCTTTACTTCTCAGTTCAAGATTTTTTTTATTAAAACCATCCAAAGTCGTCTTTTACACAACATTTCACGAGAAAAAAGTGAAATATTTTTGCAGCCATTTTTGCAAAGGGCATACGATAAAGCATTTGAAGTGAACAAATTTATTTCATGCTTCTCTATGATTGGTTCCGAAATCAAACCTGTGAGGACCAGTCTCTTTTTCACATGACTAAACGTAGTCTTCTTTGGGTCCATTGCTTGGCGAAATTGCGTCACGACATAATTCTACTTTAGGGCCAAGTCCAGTTTTAGAATTCACATGCTGTAAGTTCTCGAATAAGCCTCCTGAGGCTTATTTTGCAAATAATTTTTTACGGTGAGACTTATTCGAGGGGGGGGGGGGCTTATTCGAAGGTGGGGGCTTATTTAGCAGCAGCAAAAAATATTGCAGGGTAAATGTTCTTCCTCTATTTAAGGCTGGTCGATATGCTTAAAAATGCAGATACATCGGAATAAACATATTGCTGTCGAGGCAATACCTCTGTCCAAAGTGGCCTATTCTAGGGTGGGGGCTTATTCACAAAAATTACTTTAAGGGGGCTTATTCTAGGGAGGGGGAGACTTGTTAGAGCGTAGGGGCTTTGTCTAGGACTTAAATCATGTGTGATGATCATGACTACTATTATACTACTTTGAATCGTTTTTTTCTTGTCTTTGAACCGAACCTGGGGAATTTACTTAAAAGCATTGCCATGGTGTATCGCTAATACCACATCGAATTTTGTTTGGAAGATTGTTCTTTAGTTGTGATTGTAAGTGCAGTGTGACTATATGCGAAGCTCACTTGAATATTTTTGCATATTTCGTGGGTTCACTGTAATGTGGGATAACACTGTCTTTCAGCAGAGTCGACTCTACATTTTTTACTTAAGTAGAGCTCCACTGTCATTTTAATCTCTTTGCCAATCTTGAGACTGTACAAGTTTTTTATGCTCCTTAGGTCGAACTTTGTTACACACCGATCGTCCAGAGCGGCGGAAAATTCAGTTTAAAATTTAGTGCAGTGAGGTGAGTTTGTTTTTTTAATGATCACTTTTTGCACTTGTTTCTTGTTAGTCACGTCAGCTGGGAAATAGAGTCATTTGAAAAATCCAAACTTATACATAGTTTTTAAGCCGCTAGCAGCACTGTGTGCAATGTTTTCTAGTGATTATTGAACTCTAGAGCTAAGCACTCTAACCATTTGGCCACTGCACTCGTTTTCAAAGTAAACGTATGCCAAAACAAAAAGTAGCGGGTCATTTTCCCTTACATTTCTTTATTCACATACAACACTGAGAATACGATCTTTATTTAATCAGCATCATAATTTATGTACCGAATTTGATGGCAATATATCCAAAGAAAAAAGCCTCTAGTAAAACGGTAAACTGTATTGAGAAAGAGGCTTAAGATACAACTCAATGTTTCTTACAAGCCTTGGATGCAGTTTGTGGCCAGTTTAAGAGGAGTAGTTTTGCTAGCGAATTTAAACAGGAGATGCCCTAAAATTTATAGATAAATCTAAAGGCGTGTTTGGCTTTTCAGGAACTGTGCAAATTTTCATGATTATCTAAAGCCAAATAATCTAATAATATGATCCTTACCCATTTCAGCTCTGACGAAAAATTACACTTTGGTGTTATAATTTGTTCACTTGGAGTGAGGTACAAGTTCTACTGCTCTAATATCGTCCGAACATTAATGGTGGAGCCTACACAAGAGCAACAAGACCTTTACACCTATTTGTTGTCATTGATGGACGTTGCTGTCGATAAAATTCGTGATGGTAAAACATTTGAATACTTAAATTTCGAATAAATATGTCCGACCAACCAAAGGGAGCTTTTTCTCTGGGTGTGGTTTTAACGTTCAAGAATATCATAAGAGTTGCAGGATTTTTTGGTCATTGGAAAATCAGTCTAGTTGTTGATCGTCTTTGAAAGCAAAGCCAAATTTATGAAAATTAGATGTTTCACCTCTTTTCTTTAATCTGCATCAACGAGAATTGAAGGTGTTAATGTATCAGGTTTTGCAGTAGAACCCTTTCTTTAGAATTTAATAAGTACATGCTAGTCTCCTTGCCAGTCTGTCGTAACAATGAAATAGTTTGATTCGCAGAGTATCGTAATAGACGCATTATCGTAAGTAAACCGTTGCATGTTTTATTCAAAAAAAGTTTAACTGCACTTCAGTATTTTTCATAACTAAGAGTTGGTTTTTACACATTCCAAAATATTTGTCTAACCCTTCCAAAATGATCAGGATAAGCCCTGTAGCTGTTAGGCCTCTCTTATTCTCATGTTTTACAAATTGACTGGCGCACACTGAAACCAATTTTTTTGTTTTTTTGATCGACTTTTTCTTCTCCCCTAGAGCTTTAAAGAAATTTTCTTCTAGGTGTGAAGATGTCAGAAGTTTATGAAGCTCTATACAATAATGTTGCATCAAAAAAGCCGCATCTGAAAGATAATTTTGTCAAAAATATAGGGTATGATTCATATTTTATCTTATTACTTTATAACTCGTTTCTTACAGATATCCTATGGTTTTAAGAATGTCAAAACTCGCCGACCTGTTTAGAATAAGCAAGACCTGTTGATGCTACAAAAAGATAAAGGTTGTTTGATCAAGCTAAATTGGAGATTGAGGATTGAATATTTCTAAGATTGATGTAACCCTAAAACCTCTTCTGAAAGCATGGCTTTTCTTTTGAGAAGCTTACTTTAGCAATTTTTCGTTGTTGTTGTTGGATGTAAAGGTATTGTATGAATCTATTTTGTATTTTGTGGAGATGAATCTCTCTTATAACCTAACATAATGCGAGTGAAGTCGCCTTCTCTGAATATTTAACATTATAATTATGACTATTTGCATTATAATTATGACTTCGTGCTTGAGCAACATTGATCAATGGAAATTCCTATTTAATGGAATCCAGCACCCTGTGCACTAAGGGACAAACATTGCTATATGATCTTAGATAGTTTTACTAAGAAATTTTTCGACTTTTTACAGTTTTGCAACTGGAATTGAGTTTCGAGAAGGCTCTCTGCTGATCGATCAGAAGCATCACCAGCTAATAAAACAGGGTATGCAAGAATTGACATTTACCGCGGGGTTGATCGCTGCCAAAGCTGTAGTATGAATTTAAAGAATTTCATAGTAGTTCTTGATATACAACCCTAGATGAACCCGCCAGCTTTCTGCTCATTTCCCCCGCTATTAGAATTATACACGACACAACTTTGAATGGAAGAGGTGTTGAGAGGTTGTGCTAGATATGGGTGCCATCTTAAGTCTTCCTAAATGCTTTTATCTCAATAGCTGTGTTCAGGACTGTAGCTTTGAATGTAACTACTCTATTCGTTAATATAACTTCTTTATACAGTAACTATTAGATATGCCCCATATCTAGGGTTTGCACATCCGGGTTCAAAACGACAGTCTTTGTAGACCTGATATTTTTAATCCATCCTGCTCCTAAATTTATTTCCTTTGAAATGAAATTCTTCCTGATGAACGGGCTTAATCTTTTTTAAGAATCGTGCGAATCTCAAGCTGATTCGTAGACCTCCATCATAGAACTTGTGCTAATTACTTTTTCATTGAACTTTTGGTAATGATCAGAGCGGCACACCTCGATTCTTCAAAAATTTTCTACAACCTTCGATTAAAATTTTCTTTGGGATAAAAAGCAAATTTGTTGATTTCTGCCCGGCATTCTCTAGTAAAGTGGCATCCTTTATGTGCTTAATCTTGGTTTAATTTTTTTTATGATTTAACTACCAATTTCATACAACCTGTCCTTCCTTTAAAATTGTAACAAATAGTGAGAAATAAACTTATGTAAAGCTGTGAAAGCTTTGGAAACATTTTTTGAAATTAGTTTTTTCGCGAAATATCAAAGTTGTTGCCTGCTGTCTTGTTATTTGTTCTTTTGTAAAATTTGACAAATCAACTGTTGTTCAACCAATTTTTGCTATCTTGCAATATTTGCAATTTTTGCTGTCACCCATTGTGTACTATGACATCCCAATTATCGATTAGATTTTTGATTAGGGATTATACCGAACCCCTAGTGTTAAAAAACCCGATCTTATCATTAACCAGGGGGGGGGGTGTTAAATCACAGTGATTAAGAATGATTAAGATAATTGATTGGGGATAATACCGAACCCTCAGTGTTCCGAATCCCCAGCTTATCATTAGCCAGGGGAATGTTTTCTCACAGTGATAAAAAATGATTAAGATTATTGTTTAGATGTTATACCGAACCCTCAGTGTTATAATACCCCCTCTTATCATTAACTGAGAAGAATGTCTCATCTTAGTGATTGGGAATGATTTTAGTTATTTAATTATTCAATTTCCATATTAGGAATGACTTTCAACGTCAGTGTTGGGTTTGCTGGTTTGAAGAACGCGGAAGGAAAAGAAGACGCTGACAAAACGTACGCCTTGTTTATTGGCGAAACAGTTTGCGCCAACGAGGTATGAACACGGTGCATGTACTGTAGTATAGCTCCTCTTTGTGATGATAAAAGTTAAAGTATAACAAATTGTAAGTCCGAAAATATATAAGAAATTGTCTTTTCGTTTGTTTTATGACTAGTGAACGAAAAGCCATTTGGAAGGTGAAGTAGCCAATGTCCCTCTTCGTGTACACCTTGCCTCTCTTGCCTGTAAAATTATGGCAATTTTATCAAGTACCTCTATTGCAGATTTTCTTGCATCAACTGTAATCTCTGCTAGACAGTGATTCAAGTATATCTTTAAAAAGCAATGTAGTTGAGCTTAACACAAACATTTTTGTCTGCAAATCCAACTGTGCAGGAAAATGTCGAGCTTAAATTCGAGCAATAGCTTTAAGGGTCAGCCATATTCTTCCTGCAAAAACGTAACTGTTATCAAAAACCCGAATTTCAATTTCAAAGTGAATAAAAATACGCAATTTTGCCCTTGTAACTTTTAAGACAATTTTTGCTCTTTAATCTATATAAATTCTAGAATGAGCCCGCGACTGTTTTGACAAGTGCCAAGAAACAGATGAAGAATATAGGTATCTTCTTAAAGGTAAGCTTCTGAAAGGTAGTTTTTGAGGAGATTTTCTGCCACATGCAAAGATAATGAATAGGCAATTTTATGTAGCCTCAGATTTATAGATAAAGCAAAAGCCTGTTGTGGCTCTTGCGTCAGTTTGCTGAGATACTCATTTTAAATACACTTTGGTGTGTGGAATAGGACGGTTGTAGGTGACAAGCAACTCTAATATTTGAGCTGAATGCGATCATCAGACAAGATCACCCGTTTTAAAGATATGAATATTTCACCCCAAGTCCACCTTATCTTTGATCATTTGTGTTACTAATGTCTTTGGAAGGAAGATCTTCGAACCCACTATTTACATCACTCGATAAGAGGACGTTATGACAGAACTGCTTTTTGACTTTTGCTGTTGATCCCCAAAATGTATTTTACGTTGTAAGCTTTTCAGGCTTAATTTTTGAGGAAAAAAAATTGTTTTTGTTTTTGCTTACCCATCGCCGTTTTTTGACAATATTGTTCCATACTTGCTGTCCTTAGCGGGTTGTTTTACAGTTAAGCTGTTTTTTGTGCTATCATCGTAGCTATTTCTGCGTCGCAACTTAATAATTCATGGCCTCTAAACTAACATCTTGAAATTTCCCAATGCTTGGCTCCGGCTTAAAAATTCTTATGTTTGATGAAAGCCTTGTTCGAATTTCTTACATTAAAAGTGTAGCAGAATTATCCGTAAATTTCTTTGGGCATTTTTGCCTTGAGTTATCGATGGCGTGTAGCAGGAAATATTTGTATGCTGAAAAGCAGGAAAATATTTTGATTTTTCTTTTGAAGATATAATCTGCAACCCTCAAATTCAGGTCTGCATATGTCGCTGCCTTCCCGCAAAAATGAAAATTCCCTGTTTTAAATGTGCCATTTAATATTCTGCTTGCAGTTGAATTATTTTAGCACATTATTATATACAGGTTTAACTTCTACGTGTTACTTATGGGCCACTGAAATAATTTCTGTTTGCATTATTAGCCTAGAAATAAATCAGATTTAGTACAATGTACCAAGAATTCAGAAGGACTATAGATTAAAAAAGTCGTTACTTTTTAATCATGTCTTAAGGAAGAAATGAAATATGAAAGCATTATGTTACGAACATAAAAAATGCCGTTACTTGCAAGGTGATATCATTAGGAAATGGTTTGAAGGCTTCTATTTATGTTACAAATGAATCACTGAGCAAAGTTACTTCATTTTCAGCATACACAAATGCTCTTTCATAAGTGTTTGAGTAACGCTAGGATCTAAATGCGGAACTAAATCGAAATTCAAAGTAGGCACATTTTCGCCGCCAAGATAATCACTGGCACTTCTTTGCAGTCCATAGCCTCTGCTATTGGTGCTTGTTATGCCAACCGCTCCCTCTGCTATTTCCCTCTGCCATTTTTAAGAGCATTTCATTCCTTTTACGCTTATCTTTGTTCCATTTTGTAGGATGAAGATGAACTGGAAGACGCCTCCGAAGAGGTTTGCTAGGTTTTAATTTGTTCGCCGTAATCGTCAATGAAATTCCAATTTTTCATGTCTTTAATTCCAATTGTTGGACTACTTATACAGATTATGAATTCCTTCATATATAAAAAGTAGTTAAGTGTTATTTTGAAGCATTTAAAATGTAGAATGGTACTGCATTTAGAAGATTTACATTTTTGTAACCAGAATTCCAAGTTCTAAAGGATAAATTGGTTGTGTACTGTTGTGAAAAATTATATCATAAGGGGCCGAGGGAGCTCGTTCATTAGGCGTACTTTCTGATAATAATTAGCTCGACAGCGCAAATTTTCACCCTTTAACTGATGACCTACATCTGATAAACGTTTACATTATATATCTTACGAATCAGCAATCATTAGACAGCAGCTCGTTGTAATTCCCCTCAAATAAGAAAAGGATCTCTGTGACTTGAGAAGGACATACTTTTTCCCATCAAAGGCACATTTCAAATGTTTTCGAACAATTAAGATGCGCCTCCCCCTGTGCCCGCCCATCAGGCTGCTTTTTTCACGCCCTCAAAGGTGCAACTGAGATTTTACATAGAAGAGAATTGCGTCAATAAAGATTGTCAAATTAAGAGTCGTATTTTCATCATGGTTGAAGCCTGAAAGAAAAACCAGCTTGAATTCTATCATTGTAATATACAAAATTTGAATTGACTTTCGACTTACATTGTGCTCCTAAAATATTGTATACTCTTCTTGATAATCTAGTGAGTTTGTATGAACTATTGAGTTTGTTTTCATTCTCGTATGATCCTCATGTCACTCCTCCTCGGTAACCTCTAGATATTGCACTCATCAAAGGTCTTCATTGAAAAAGATTAAATCCGTTTATCAAGTTTTATTTAAATCGCTTCTACAAACATTTTTAGGATGATGTCAATTTGGAAAGCACAGCCATTCTCAACACAGAAAAAAAGCACAGGGTGAGATTCTTCTACTCTTTGACACGTAACCTAGATATAACGTTTTGCTCGCCTATGGTCAACACCCAATGTTTGTATTAGATTGTCGGACAAAAAAGTACTCTAGTTTGTTATGTTTCCCGTTTCCGTACTTTTGTAAATTACTTTTATTTCTTGAACGTATTACACAGAACTTCTCCGCGTTAACCCGTGCTCATCACGTGTCACCACGTGTGCTGATTTTCAGTTCTAATTGACTCGGGTATACTTTGCCTTAAACTCGAGAAATGGGAATGATTGAGTATACCTTTAGGCCGTCTGAAAATAGGTCTTGTATGTTGTAGCAAAGTTGCTTTAATTAATTGAAGAGGGATAAAATAATATTCTTGGTGAGGTCTTTCTATAAAAATATATTTATAAAGCAACTAGCTCATACGTCGTTCTGTCTAATTTTATGAAACTTTCTGCTAACCTCACTGTCATTAAACGCTTGATTCAGCATGAACAGAGCTCTACACTTTTTTTGGGGTGTAGAACAGGACGTTTCCTAGTTGCTACTCCGGGTGCCACACTTGATGCGATCATTAGGCAGTTGTCATCTAATGCTCTATCTAGTGTAAATTGAATACATTAAACCCGAGTGATGTGTTTATTTTTGTGCTATACGTAGTACATTAACCATGGAATAATAATACTCAATATAATAAATATAATAATAATTCATAATGAAATAATACTCATCTCTTTTAACACTTTAATCAGAAACGTTTGAGCACTTATATCTTCTGAAGTGTGAGACAGAAAGCCGTACTCCATTTTAAATTAGAATTTTAAGTATGTGTGTGTTTTTTTAAAAGAGGCGATGGCAGACTTTGCTCAGTCATATATTGTTTGATAACTAGGTAACAATTTTGTCATATATTTGTGAAGTGGAAATGTATTTTTTGTAAAATGAGACCATGTCTACACATGAACAGAAAAACGGGTCAATATAATTTCATTTCTTTCGAGGAGCCGGTCTTTTTTGGAGTTCGCTTTTTGAGTGTTTTATTGAATGTAAGAATATATGAATGGTCCTGCTTCAGTTTTACTGCCGCAAGTTGTTGTAGGAAGCATGGTAAGGCTGAGAAAAGGGAGGAGCTGTTTTAGCCAGTTTTGCATTGAGAGAGACATCAACTTATAGTTAACGTCTTGTGGAAATTGTATGTACTTGCCAGTCATGCAAATTCGATTTTTAACAGAGACATATTGCAGGATTTAACCAATATTGCATATTGCAGGATATATTGCAGAGACATATTGCAGGATTCTAGCTTTTTCGAAATTCATCTGAGTGAAATTTGAAGTAAACTTGTTTCTAGGCCAATTCCGTGGCCTGTATCGTATTGAAGCTTAGCATATTCTCTTGCTTCCTATAAATTCCTATTCCACTTTCGATAAAATATTGTTATTTTATAGTTAAACTGTATCAAGCTACTGGAACTCTTTCCATCAATAGTCACGTGCGAGGGCCGAATCAATTACCATGCTTTCAGTATTTTTGCAAAATCATGCTTAGATTAAGTAACTGAATTTGAATAATGAAGCAAAATAACAACACAAAATTGTACGAAGTTGGTTATGTCTCGAAAATATGCTTCTAGATTTTTTACAGAAGTTTTCTAATTCTTATCTTTTCCGATATATTCTTTTAACAGGAATTGTGCGCTGAAGACAAACGGAAAAATCACCAGAAAGAACTTGCCGTCCAGCTTAACGAAGAAGCGAAGGTTAGGGGCTGTTTTTCAAATATAAATTTAACTTTTTATCCAATGATGCGAAGATTGCTTTTAACCGGTCAGTTGAATTGTGTTTGACTCTATATCTTTTTATCAGAAATTGCAGCCTCAGTCCACTGGTACTTTTCAAGTCTTAAGTGATTTTTACAACAGTATCATGATCATTTTAACAAACCGTACTGGCTCAGACTAAAGTAAATGCAAATCCACCTTTGTCTAGATAGCTAGACATAATACCAGAGAATTCAGTTTAGGTTCCCCTCGTCACGAGCTGTCCAATTATAAGATCTGATTTAACCACAGAATATGGAACAAACAAAAGGAAACTCTATTCGCAAGATGTGACGCTATTGTAGGCACAAGCTCAGGCGGACCAAGTTTATCATGGACGAGGAAACTCGTTCAATGCGACAATGCAACGTTGTAACGATAATAGCACATGATGCTTTTACGCCCTGTTTGCAGCAAGCCAGTAGTGTTATTAAGTGTGACTTCATAAAACTTCGACCATAGTATTTAAAACACCATGAAATACCTCTAGATGTGCAAATTCAGCTACATGTGTTAACAATGGGGTTAGAGATGGCCAATGAAAGATTTCACGTTTTGTAGCGGATAACTGTTACATGGATTATGAACTGAGAGCCTGTGCTCGTGTCTATATCTCAGCCGATTTGGGAGATATAAGGAGCCTATTCTGTTGTTAAGGGCAAACTTTCACGTTCTTCATACCAAAACCATAGTATTTGTCTACCAAATCGATAGTATTGGCAGAGTTTATGTCTTTCAGGTTTCAATTTGTTTATTGGGTTCTTTCCTAAATCCCCCAATTTTTCAAAAAAACTTAACTAAAGACACTTTATTACAACCCAAAATTCTTTAAAGAACCTTTAGAACTTTCCTCAACAGAAGGAAATCGATTGGCAAATTTTATCGATTGGCAAAGTTCCCGATTATTGTTCTTCGTGGGATTTTTTATGCTTTTGACAAATTTCCTCAGCAAGGACCGTGTCAGCTGCAGCGCCTAGCAAGGCTGAACTGTGCGAACAAGGTTATAAACATCTTACTTAATCGACCAAAGGACCAGTTTTCACGAGACCCGAACTTTGCAGTTGATTTCGTAATTAATTTCACAGCGCGCAGAACATTCTAAACACGAACAATGTTTCTCATCGTTTGCAGATGTCAAATATATTCTTTTGATATTCAGAAGACTGGGTTGACCATATTTGGGTATAAGTAGAGAGGTTGAAATTACCTATACCAATCTCCCCCTCCTAAGCACCCCTAATGTTTGCATCCAACTAATTTGAAACGTACTGCTCGATTTTAGATTTTTACTTCATAGAATATGGTCTTCTATGTATATTTCTCTATCACATTCGTTACCGATTCCAAAGCAATTTCAACACAACCCGGATCAGATAGCAATGTCAACACAACCTGGTGCGAAAGTAATTTCAGCATAACTCAGCTCGGAAAGCAATTTCAGCATACACCTGTTCGGATGGCAATTTCTGCATAACCCGGTTCGGATAGCAATTTCAGCACAGCCCGGTTTGAATAGTAATTTCAGCATAACCCGGCTCGGATAACAATTTCAGCACAGCCCGCCTCGGATAGCAATTTCAGCAAAACCCGGTTCAGTTAGCAACTTCAGCACAACCCGGTAGCAATTTGAGAAGGCTCAATTGCTATCATGTTTATTCGACTTCATATTCTTGAAATCCTGTGAGTGTGGTTTAAACCTTTCATTGTGCACATGTCCATCCAACATTTTCTAAGTTTGATAAAGTCGTTCTTTGAGGATGAATATGTGAATATTCAGTGTTCATGAATATTTCATTGCCCCAACTTTGATGAAGTGCGCGGGCGATGCTGTCAAATCTATTTATGCGGACACGTGAACGGACACAGTCTCAGAAAGCAGTGCAAGTTTTGGTTGCTGTTAGAAAAAGACGTTTTTCTGACAATTATGTTTCCAGAAAACGTTTCACTTCCAAATATTACCAATCAATCTTGGCCCCACTCAGAGAATTCAAGTTGGCAAGGAAACAAGTCTTCTGTGAGCGATGTACTGCAAATGCTTTGCTATCAATTTGTTACCGATGAAGTCGAAAAATCAATACCTTTGTCTGTATTTTGGTTCGCTGTAGCTGTTGTTTCGTTTTGCTTAAATGCATTGGAACTACGCTTTTTCTTCCGGGTCACCAAGATTCACAAACTGCACGAGATGCTGCTTGCAAATCAGCTTATATGTCATCTATCTATCGGATTATGTGTACAACTTGCTGTCGGTGTACTTTACTTTTATGACAATTGTCTTCTTCGCATTCTGTGTCACGTGGGCAGTATCATTATAACGAACGTCTCCATTATTACATTACTGTTTCTTACGTTGAATCAACTATTGAAGGTCACCCTTTATCGAACCAATCTTATGAACTCCAAAGCGAAACGAATAACGACAATCGTGTTGGTATGGCTGTATTGCATTAGTTGGGTGATACTGAAATTCCGTCATCCTGTATCATTCTTACCGATAGCATTTATCACTTTTGTTTCGCTGCTTTTGTTCATACTGTTTGTAATAACAAGAAAAGCTCTTTTCAAGGCTAGAAATAAAATAAAAAACGTGGAGAATGAGGTAGACAATGATGGCTTGCTTACATTGATATCTCAAATTGACGACGCGCTGAAGATTATCTTTCTTCTGCAGATAGCCACGGCTGTGACATGGATCCCTTCAAGCTTGATTGTGTTGCTAACGAGGCTTGAAGTCATTAATCAATCAGCAAAAATGCACATTGCCACGAAGATTGCTTTGAAAATTATCTTTTTGCCTCCTTTGTTTGATCCCATTTGTCTTTTAGTGAAGCACAAACATTTGAGAGCATCGACGAAAAAAGCGGTTTCATTTTTATTGTTCTCAAATCGTGTCGCGCCAAACTCTTAAGTGACAAAAAGGAATATTTCTTGATGATATTCGGAGAATTAAAATCGAAAGGAATGAAAAGTTGAAGCCACCGAAGTGAATTCAAACTGAATCATGAATTGTCTAAATCTTCTGTAGCTGGTTTTATATCATTTTATGCATATTGATGTTATTTTGTTTCAAAGCTTCGACTTTTATTGGTGCTTGTAGCTTTTTGCAAAAGAAAATTATCATGATGCTAATAAAAACGTAGAAATTGAAACTACTATGGGCTTTTGTTGTTGTAGCAATTTTACGCGAATAACTTGACAAATGAGGTTGCCAAGCATTCCACCTACACTAATACAATATTATTGTATGTAGAACTTTTTAAGCAAGTTTAAAATTTCTAAACAGCTGACACGTCAATTCAGTGCTATTCCTGTACTTCATTAAACTTTTTTGTTGAAGGTGATTTTTTGCTTGTCTGAAATCTATGCATTCTGGTTGTTGTTTCATTCATGTCTTTATGTAAACACGGTTGCCCGTTCAGCAATGCTGTTTTACAAGAGGCCATGCGTCTAAGGGGTCATGCAGAAACTAAACTAAAATCAGATAGGGAAACATAAGATGATTCAAGTAAAATTAATAGAACAAAATGTTTAAAGTTATTTTCAGAAGAAATGTTGAATTGAGTTCTAGCGTTGTCTAAGCTTTTTCAGAAACTGATAGCTTAAAATGGGGTTAGTTTTGATGTGATGGGGTGAAAAGTTTTCTAATTGTTATTTTGTCATTGATTTTGCTTTTTAGAGACGTTTGCTTGAGAAGAAAGGAGAAGTAGAAACGAAAAGGCAAGTTTGTGAACGAATAGACAGTTTTATTTACAAACTATGAACTTTTCCGTGTTTTCCTTTTCTTAGAATTTTTGAATAGGTAGGTTGTTAAGTTCTATATGAAATTCGACGCGCGTGTAATTTTGCATTCGGCTATGTCGAATCTGACTTTCACAGACTATGTAAACGTGCATTACGACTTTGAGAGGGTGATTGTCAAAACAACAAATCGGGCTTATACCTTAGAGAACCTACATATGAGAAAATACAACGCAAGCTGTGTTTCACCCCGACCGCCATACTTTGTTTTGGTGCAATTTTTCACGTGAAAAAATCATAACTAGGGAGAGTACAACCTCGATTAAAAATCTACGGAAACGGAAAATGCTCTAAACTCGGGGCGAGGGCAGAATTTCACACTGGTTAAACAAAGAGACAGAAAGAGCTCTGATACTGAAAATCAACAGTTAATTTCATTTCATTTTCAAATAATTTAAGGAGGGTAGCCCTTCAGCAAATGCTGGTTTACAATTGGATGTCTGTTTAATTTCAACTGGAAAGGCTCTTGTTTAAAACTAATTTTAAACCAGAGCGTGTTGAGAACGAAAGCCGAATTTTCTGCAGCATTCTCAACATGGATCGAGTTTCATCATGTAATAAGGAATACTGTGCAAGCGCGTTTCTCTGTAATCAGATGGCCAATCGGACATGAAACGAATCAGATAAGAAAACTAAATAGTTTCGCATTAAAAGTAAACTTGTTTTTCGTGTGCATGATAGCATTCTGCTAAGGGTCCATGCGACTATCAGTTGAAGGTGAACTCAGGGGGTTGTTCCTGGTCAAGCTCAAATTTCCACTTAGGAATGTTTGAATGGCATCAAACGCTGGAACGTCTGCACGTCTCCTTCGTATCTCGTATAATTTCTAAGTCTGCACAACATTAAGCCAACTGTCAGCAAAGCTGTCCATATAAAGTGACTTTAAAAGAAATTTTTTTATATAATTTTTTTCTCATAAAACATGTTTCCTCTTTGTTTAGGACTGTTCGTTCAAATGTTGCATACAAAAACAAAGCACTGATCCCTCAAGAAAAGGATGTGCAAGACTTGAAAGTTTTTGTTGGTAAGGAAAACTCTAATTATTCTAATTACCATAACCCACTCTAACGTTCCAGTCTCTGACGACGATGTCTGTCCTCGCTGTATCCTTTTAAAAGCTTTTTAAAAGCTTGCCTTTCCATTCTGTGGTTCATAAAGACATTGCCACCTGTCATCAAAAAGGAAACATGACTACTTCGGTATATGTCTTAAACAATAAGTAGAAGTATTTGTAATAAGTGCACCAAAAGCTGTAATCATTAATAGCATTTTGTCGTTAACGGGGGCACAGGTAAAAAAGGCATCTCAGAATGTGGCATTTTAAACTGTTCTAAAGAGAGAACACTTCTATGAAAAGAGACATTTCCTAAAGAAGTTTGGAACAAATGCCCTGGTGTAAACCCAGGCAAATGGAACAAATGCCCTCCTTTTCTCATGTCTCTGACTGTAATGAAAATTTACAAATTGGTCCTCAGTAAAGTCTGCAGTCTTTTAGTCTTGGCCACTTTTGGAGTATTTCATTCGTATTGCCAGCCTATCGTTTTTGCACGGTATTTCTATGTTGGACGGTTGCTGTCATTGAGCTACAGATAGATCTTGGTTTTGTGTTACCTTGTTGTCGAGAGGGAAAAGGAGAGAAGGCGTGAAGTATCTTATATGGTTTGACAATTATCAGAGAAAATTTTTAAGTGCAGTGGAATACCAGCTGTCCTCGATCGTTTTAAAAGTGTGGGATTCGGTTAGGAGAACGATGTGTTTTCATCAAAGTTGCATGTTAAAATTTGATTAACAAGAAGCTCAATCTGGCGCTTTCTCTTCCGAGAAACCTTATTTCATTTTAGATTCTACGATACTGTCAAATTTTTTAGCATCAAAGGTTGATGATATTTTTTATGAGTGACAGCTAATATTATTTCTTGTATTCATAGAAAGTCAATTATTATCCGTAAAAACTAATCCTTCTCCATTCTTCTTAATTTCTACCTCATCCCTTCAACAGCAACGTGTCACGATACGCGTTTACCTTTTAATTTAATATAGAATTTGGGCTTTTTTGACCTACATCTTTATGCTTCGATATTAGTTTATACTGTTTCTAGAGACGCGTGGAATTATTTAACGATGTAAACATGTTTTTAACGCTGTGTAAATTGCTTCCTATTCGCAGCTTTCGAACGTCAATGATTGAGTTAATTAAATAAAGTTGGGTTATTTTCCACAGTTCACATTTGTCTGTAAAAACCTGCTTTTCAGGTTCGTCTCACAAGCTAGGGTCGTTTAGTGGAGTTTTCAATAGGTTACCTCCTTTAGTCTTAAGGTTAATTCTCCTTTAGTCGCGTTGAGTCTCAACCAAAATAAAACCAAATTTCTTTAAGAAAATGTTTGGTTACACAATAAGTTATAATCTGAAAATTTCTGTTATTCCAGTTCGTTTTCTTCACGTCCGTACGTTGCTTCTCTCACTAAAAAGTCCCGTATGCACCATCGCAGCGTCTAATATTTTGTTAATGTTTGAAATTCAAATGTTCATCGCTGTATCCATCTTCAACTCCTTAATAAATATTCTTAGCCGGTAATTTACAATCAAGTATTTTTTATTCCAGCACTATATAATTGAAATTCTTTGTGGAGGAAAGTTTATGGATTGTAATAAATCCTGACTGAAGGAATTTCGGCGAACTCCAATTTAAGTTGAACAAAACTCTTTGTGAAATTTATTTCACTGTGCATAGCCTAGTTTACCAGGTTGGCTAGAGAATGGTCTGTAGGAATAGTTGATCTGAATAAGTCGCTAGTCAGAACATGATAACCTGCGCTATGTCCTATGCAAAGCTCATCACAATGTAAATATTTGATGATTTATTTTCGCAGACAAAAAATTCGAAGCAATCATTTTACCACTAGCAGGCATGACTGTACCATTCCATATATCGACAGTGAAGGTACGTTGCATCTTCATGTTCAGAACTGTCTAAAGTATTCGAAAGATTTTGTCAGCTTTCTCTGATTTGCTACCAGCTGGTGCACCCGAGGTATCAGACTGCTTTTAAAGTTCATAAAGCTTTGCAGGGAGATTTTTTCATAACGAACATAGATTTGCAAAACTTAAGAACATTTTAAAACTTTAAGGAATTTAAAGGGAATTAAAATTTAAATTTTTTGCCAAATGTAAAACGGACTTTATCTGATAGAATGTGGAGACACTGTGAAACAATTTTCAACAGTCAGTAGCTGCTTTGAACATATTCCAGCTTTCCATACGTTTGGATAAGAACCTAAGTTTGTTGAAAACACAATGCTACATGTTATTGCATAAATTGGCAAGTCTTAAGCAAAGAAAAGCTATAGCCCGAAAAGGTGGCAGCTTTAAAAGTCTAAAACTTAACGCATAACAATCTGCTTGTGTCATTAAGGAAGGAATGGGAATTTCGGAAAAAGCCTTGCGAGGTATCAATGTTTATATGATCAATAAGTGGTTCTAATTCAAAATAAACCATTTTGCAACCGTCTGATGATAAGTCTAGCGAAGTTGTCATAGATGGCATGTATCACGTAGTATTATGAAACGGTTGCCAGAAAACGAATGAAAATGATATCGGTAATGTGAAGCTCGAGGTAATTATGGTTCTACCATAATGCTCATTCTTGGAGGAAGCCACATTTATAGTGGGTTTATCTTTCCTTGTTCTTTAATGCCTAGTTATTTGCATTTTTCGAATCAAAGTAATTCGGACTAAAAGTATCAATCTGGGGTGCACAGGAGAAAGGGGTGTGATCTCGTTGGACCAATTCTTTTCCCGACTTAAAAATCAATGCCGACAAGGAGAGAAATACTACAGTTAGCAGTAATCAGAATGCCTTTCCTACAACAAAATTTCGTTTCGGGGCGACTTCCTCGATACCTTGTGGGGTAGTGACGCCTCGACACTCATATTTTTTGCAGCCCAGCAATTGAATTTCTAGTTTTTCTTGTTGTCTTCTCAGCAGAGTTTTTTGTGTTGGTGTTATATCGATGAATGAGCTCTTACATTGCATTAGGTTCTTATATCCTATTCATGTAAGAGTAAGGTTTTTAATCCAAACTTTATCTGGTGTTGGCCAAAAGTTTTCGTTTAAAGTAACTAGATTTAATTGCTCACCATTTCTGTAGAATTTTATCTTTTCTTGTAAAAACATAACGGCTTAAGTGACTGTTCTCGACCCTAGAATATTAGTTCCAGCGTGGAGGGTGACTACACATATCTCAGGCTGAATTTTTACTGCCCTGGAAGGTAAGTTCAGAATTCCATTCGCTGTTACTTATTTTTCATTGATGTGGTGGTATGAATTTTTATACTTTGTAGATGGATTTTCATAAATTTAGAAGTGTAGATTTATCGATCTCGTCACAGAGAATTCTTTAGTCTAAAGTTTTTCTGCGAAAGTTTATATAATTGCTAATAATGATTCATTGCAGTTCGTATGGAAGATCAGATGGAAATCTATTTCCCAACCCTGATGCTACATTTGTCAAAGAAGTGTGAGTAAATTCAATACAACCAACAATAGGTTAACTAACCATGATATCTTCATGAAAGTATTTATTTTTGAAGCATTCGTAAACTTCGAGGCTCTTCTAGTATCTCCATGGTACTCTTATTGCATTGGGGTAGCTAAGGGACGCTGGAATACATAAGAGGCACATGCCCCCAAATATTTAGAAAAACAACTTCTTGTCCCTCCTACATTGAAGTGCTTCTTGATGCTGGTAACTGCAAGTTGTTTTTCTTGTTATTGCAGGAAAAGTATTAATTTTTTTTCCAAAAGTTGCTCCTGTCAAGTTAAATGGAATATTTCCTTCCTAGTTATCAAGCTTTCAATAGATTTATACGCCTTTTAGAAACTAGAACCATATTACAATAACAGAAACATGTCTATACATACTTAAGTCTCGAGCGAAGTGAAGAGAAACGAAGCAAGTTTTCACATACGACTAACACTCTTGAAACTGTAGAAGACCTTGTTTAGGCCTTATTATTATGTTCTTGTCAGCGATCCATCACGTTTTATAGATGTAGAGGCATTTTACAAAAGAATTCTTGAAAATGCCCAAATACAGCATGCTTTCCTTAGATATCAACTCAATACTTCACACTGGTTAGATAATCGCATTGACTTTGCCTAAACAATCTGCTCAATTTCCATTTATTTTCAGGGTCTATCGCAGCACGAATGTGAAGGAGCCTGGTGCTTTGTCTGCTCCCTCCACAAATCTAAACACAGCTTTTCGGTTGATTAAAGAAGTGCAGAAAAGGTTTAAAACTAGAGAGGCTGAAGAAAAGGAAAACGAGGTATTATAACACAGCAATGTCTAGTTACAAAGGCCACTTTGAAGCTTGAGTTTAGATATATACCTGCTTAACGACTGAAAGTTTATACTTACAAAGGTACCCAATGGTACTCCAAAACGTCTTTGTATTTTTTACTCCAAATGCCTGTGTTGAAGTTTTAATTTACATCTATGGCTTATTCTAGATCTTTCTGCCTATTTCTCATCATTCGTCAAAATTCACGGATTAACCTTTTGCTTGTGCATTTCGGTATACTGAATCAATGAGCCTAAGGCACTAGCCCTTTGAAGATCAAAAAAGCATCAAAACTCTATTGATGATATCATGATATTTTGTTCTAAACGGAAAGTTTTAATTCAATACCTGTTAGAAAATGACGAATTTACGAGTTTTCTTCCCATCTACGCCGAGCTAAACATGATCATCAACTGACAGCAATGCAAATACTTTTAGACTTGAGAAAAACTACAACAAGCGAAATAAGTTTTGAAATTTCAGTACATTATAAAAAGGATTAAATGGTAATTTATTTTTACTAGAAGAAAATTGCTCCACCCAAGTCAGCATTAATTGTTTTGAGTGTACAAAAGATTTCTTCAATTTCATTGTCAAGATTCAATTTTAGGGGTGATAAGATTTCATGGTTTCAGGATACTTTAATGAAGTTTTATTTTCAATTGATCTTGTGAATCTTTTTATAGGGTGTTGTGAAACAAGAAGATCTTATACTCGCTACTACTAAGGGCATTCCACGACTCAAAGACTTGCATATTCGGCCTAGCATTACCAACCGAAGAATATCCGTGAGTAGCTTTGTTTCCGCTCGGAATCCCCTTTGTTCAAGTTCTGTGCTATCAAATAGCTACTAGTTTTGGGCTCCTATACTGAAAATAAAGTGTAGCTATGACTCTTATTTGCTCCAGAGCAGAATGAGGTTTTGAAAATGTTTGTTTATTCATCTAACGCACTTTAACCAACCCTTACCAGGCTCTATTCTGATAACATTTCATACAGTTTATCTATGAAAGGGGAAATGTGAATTCAGTTGAATCTAAGATATCACACCCATTTTATTTTGTAGTGTATTGTAAGTAAAGCAAATATAAAAATATGTAAGCTCTTTTTGCGTTTAAAATTTTCCCTGATTTTTTTTTTAGCTTCCAGCTTATTGTAGCTTATAAAGGCTAAGCATATTTGTTGGCTAAAAGGACGAAGTTTCACAGCTTTGTGGCTCTGACTTTGGTGTAAAAAATCGTTCGTCAAATCTTCAATTATCTTACTTTCTATATTTTTAGGGTGCAATAGAAGCCCATACAAACGGTGAGCCATGACAAATTTTCAACTCAGATGTCTAACTGTTTTAATCAATCAAAATTCTTTTTTATTCCTGGACAGCTAGCGTAGAGGTGGCATAGTGCTGTGTTTCTTGCCTTCGGTAGGCTCTTTGATGTTTTAGAGAATATATTCACCCAGTGGCTTTTCTCGCTTCAAGACTCTGACTTTAAAAAACTTTTGAACCTGACTGAAAGAACCTTGATTAAAATTAAATGCGTTTCCTGTGAAAACTGTGTTATGTTGTATTAGAATCAGACTAGAAAGATATTTGTACCTACTTCAAAATCTCCCAATTTTAGTTTACATCATTCCAACGTTACAGGGGGGAGGGGCTGAGAGAACCACTTCCCTTACAACTTGCAAAACAATAAAAACCTAAATCCCAACTCTTTTTTAATGAGTGTTAGATTTCCATCGCCTTTTCAACTTGATTGGGACTCCTGCCTGCAGTTTGTTTCACCTACTGTCTGTTGTATCGACAGGTTTCAGATACCAAACAATGAATGGCAGCAGAGTTGATATCCTCTATAAAAACATCAAACACGCATTTTTCCAGGTATTGTCCTTATTCAATTTTTAAATGTTACCAGTATCGAGGTTTACGTTGAGTGAACGGTCGTCGAGAATACGTAGGTCTCATCGCTTTGTTTGTTAAAGCCTGATTTTTCTTTTTAGCGTTTTGGAACGATCCCCTTTTGGGACGTCCATTTTGTGTTTTTAGAGTGTGGAAGCACCTTGAAATAATCGTTCGAAATAAGAACGCTCTGGCTTTAGTTCCAAGTGTTAGCAAATAGGGACATCATCTTGATTATCAGTTTTAAGAATAATTTTTTGCTTTGGGATCTGTTTCGTATTCTTATTTTGTCGAGACCTTTATTGTTACTTGTCATTTTGGTATACACACACTCTTTTTAATCTTCCAATGTTTGAATTAAGCCATCGTCAATCGTTATTAGCCAATCAACAAGCGTGTGAGTGATATCACACCCACTGATTGGCCAATAGTTGATTGACAGATGTCAGAAGCCGATAGAGTATCGGTCCATTGACTTTAAGTGCCTAGCGACGTATTTGTCTATCATAAATTTCACCTTTCCCGAAAGTTTGCACGTCTAATTGTTCTCGGCTTTCACCAACTCATCTTGTTCTCCTCTCGTCGATTTACCGTTCTTTTTTTCCCCTTTTCTCCTCTTTATTTGTTCATTTGATTGTCCAACAATTGGTTCGGTTTTTCGTAGCCTTGCGATGGAGAGATGATTATTCTGTTGCACTATCACCTCAAGGTAAGCTTTTAACTGCATGGTACGGCATTGTTTTGATGCAAAATTTGTCAAGATCAGCAACCCAAGTATCTCTTTAATTTTCTCCAAATATACTTTGATTGACTTGAGCAAGGATTCTATACGATATTTGTCTTCATTTAGATTGTATTTATTTAGAACTTGACATGGAAACGGGGACCTCTCGAGAGAAGGCTGTGATTTCGTTTAGGAAATTTGGCAGAGTGCTTTCTGCAAAGTTGATAAATGGGTTAAAACAAAAAACGTTGCAACGTCCCGAGAATAAACAACATCGAAAAGCACAAAAAGATAATAAAGAAATTATATTTCGCTTCAAACCTCACTTTTCAATCTTGCGTGAAAGGTCAGTTCTTTGTTCTTTTAGTATAAAAGTTTGCCAGTTGCTAACGAGAAATTTTCTTTTTAGCATCCCATTATCATTGGAAAGAAAAAATACCGTGACATTCAGTTTTTTACTGAGGTACTTTTTATTTCTGTATTGTTTTTTATATGCAGTCATTTTGTTTAACTAATTTACTGGAAGGGAAAAAACTTATTGATCATGGTATATGACCTCAACTTAGGATTTTAAACAATGAATTTTAATGCAGTTGATTGATAAATTTCATTTGTGCATTGTAAGGTAATTTAAAACTCAATAATCATTCACGTATAAAGAGTGCAGGAACGAGAGTCAGACCTCGATTTTCAGTCAGCTTAGTTTCACGAGGTTCATTTTTAAAAAAACCTTTTAGAAATTTTATATAAGGTATTGAATCTTTATAAAAAACAATGTTTATTGCGTTTTAAAAATTGTCTTTTAAGTGTAAGTGAGAATATTGCAAAACGAAAGGAAACAAATTCTATTTGATATTTTTGACTTAAATCACATCATTGAGCTTTTTGTCTAAATTTGAAAGATCGCTTATTTAAGCTGGTTGGCAGTCAACTTAATTATGTTTTTGCCCCCTCTCTATTCTTTCAGACTCTAATGTTTTTGTTTCATATCCCAGCAATGTTTAATATTGTTAACTCTACAAATATTTTATGCCATTTTTTTGCGCCACGAAAAAATTGCTTGTAATATTTATCATATGCTACAAACATTTGTTATATGTGATTTTTTACCTATCCTCAAAAAAATTTCACATTCAACAAAGACTGCCAGAAAACGCTCATATCAGATTTCCTTCAATGAGTATTGTTTGTTTCAGGTTGGGGAAATTACAACTGATTTAGGAAAACATCAACACATGCATGATCGAGATGATCTTGCTGCAGAACAGGTATGTGTTGTTTTTTTGGACTGTTTTAGATGGAAATGCTAATACTTTTATCGTATTCTTCTAACGGCTACGCAAAGTCTCTGGCAAGGCAATGTCCCTGTTCTGTCCCACAACGCTTTAAAGTAAACACTTAGAGTATAGATTAATTACAGTGGAAATGATAATTTCTTTCCTAATCAATTCTCTTTAGAGTATAACTTGGTACTAAAGTTTCACTTTCTGATCTTCATTCAGCGGTTTAATACTACTTGAAGTTGGGTAGAAAAGGATTAATTTTTCTTCGAAATGTTTCTTATTTCTTCAGTGGTCGTTGTGATTACTTCGGTATTCACAAAGCTAGGAAAAATTGGCAAAATATGTTACCAGTGATGGCAGGTTTCAAGATTTGTCATTCTGTTTCTATGTGAGCCGTGATAGACGTGTTAGCACAAAGTCAGTCTATACATCTCGATATATTTCAAACTGTGACCAAATTTTATGGGTATAGTGGCACACCTTTCCCGAAATTTGCTTTTTGTTGATAATCAGCAGTTAATTTTGGACTCAAAGTTGATTCGATTGACCATCAAAGCGAAAGCCTCTTTACTGCTAATTGTTTTTAAAATTATAACTCGTCAGCAATTTTCGTGGCAGATGGAAAAATAGTTAATTATTCACCCCACCACGTATTAGACATATTGCTGTAAACTCCATATGGTATTGTGCTGTTTGTCAATGGGTTTTTGTTTTTTCCCGTGTTTTGAACTGCAAACGCCAGCTTTTTATGGTAACATTGCTGTGAAAGCTGCTTTTTATGAATACATTGCTGTGAAAGCTGCTTTTTATGGATACATTGCTGTGAAAGCTACTTTTTATGGATACATTGCTGTGAAAGATGCTTTTTATGGCTACATCATAATGCAAAACTCCTGTAATTTACAGAATATCTGGGCTTCTATCACCACATGGTTTCTTCTGTAATCTCCAATGTGTAGTTATCTTTTCCAGGCTGAAAGGGACTTGCGGCAAAAACTTAAAGCTGCCTTCAAAGGTTTCACAGACAAAGTTGAAGGCCTGACACATGGCCAGGTTGAATTCGATGTCCCATACCGCGAGCTTGGGCAAGTAGACAACTATTAGTTCATTCGTACGATATTTTGTTGCGGTTCCGTGTAGGTGCATTTTTAGTAATTGATGCAACCCTGGTATGAACCCGGCAATTCTTAGGATTTAGATGTTCTTTGTTTCAAGGTATTTTACTTGCTAAACTCTACTATGTTAAAACAAACCACTTTTGATATTGTTAGAACTATGTTTCTGCCTTGCTCGTGCTCTTCATAGCAATCTATGTCATTTAGCATGTCTTGTACAACATTTTAGATTGCTATGATGAAATTAACTCAGTTATTTGCTTTTTATACACTGCAGGTTCCAGGGTGCACCCTTTAGAAGTACAGTTTTACTGCAACCAACTACTCACTGTGTTGTCAATCTAACTGAACAACCAACCTTCGTGATAACACTGGATGAAATTGAACTTGTTCACTTTGAAAGAGTTCAGGTATAATGTCATTGTGCATTTATCCTGTTGTTCGTATTAGTACCTAAAGAAGGGCCTGGCCTAAGCAAATGAACTCGACTTCCTCGAGTATTTATTAACTACTCATCTAAACGTCGTGTTGTGGCTTGAATTCCCAAGCAGTCGGTATGCTTCGATTAAAATTTGCTTGATCGATGATTTGACGTAGCACCATCGCAGCTCTTCTTACATCTCTTGCAATTGTATGGAAGCTAGGCTCTCGTCGCAACATGTTTTAGTCTCGTAACAAACGCAACACGTTTAGTAGTCGCAAAAGACGCAATATGGTTACGAGCTGTGCCAATCGCGTAACAGACGCAGCACGGTTAGGAATCCTGATAGGAATAACAGACACAACAATTTTGCAAACATTGTCACAAGGTTTATTTATTACAGTGATGTCAGCTTTTATAAAACGTTTTGTTGTCCTGTTCTGTTGTCATTTTCATAATATTTTATACAACTGTTTTGTGGTTTACTAAAAAACGTGGATGCTACACGCTACCATATTTCATAATACCAACTTGTGCATGAATAGGTGTTTTTTATGTGGAAGTATTATATTGCCACATCACTTTCATCAGCTATTGGTGAAGCAGCAATGAATATTTTTGCATATATCCCGTAGTTTTGCCGTCCATATAATTCTGATTTTCTTCATATCTTCTTGCTAATATTTTTGATATTTTCCCGATTGATTCCCTATAGTTCAACATGAAAAACTTCGACATGGTCTACATCTTCAAGGATTACTCTCGAAAGCCCGTGATGATTAGCGCTGTCGCAATGGCAAGCCTCGACTCTGTCAAAGAATGGCTCAAGTAAATTATCTTTTTTACAACAATTAACCCTTTCATTACCCAACAGAGGCTCTTTCATAAGGAAGGCCCGCCAAGTAACTTCTTCGTAATGGTGCAAAAGGATGTTTTGATTTTACAGAAACGAATCATGAAATAATTTGTCTAAATGGTCACAAATCTACCTGTTTTTAACTGTCTGACTTTCCAAATACGCCACACTTTGGGATATTTCCTGCTTCTTCCATAATCTGGTTTTTATTGTTTTCCACGCCATTTATTAAATAAAAATACTGACTATTTTTTGTGACTCAATCAAACTAAGTCTTTTTTTTTATCAACCTCTTATTGTTGACAATCAATTTTTATTGAGTATCAATTTTGCCCTGATGATTTTACCTTAAGGCTGATTCCAGGCTGTCGAGCCATCGACGAATACGGTTTACAAATCGTCTCCATAAGCGAAGGAAACATTTATCTTTCAATCCCCAGTTGTCAGCTAAATATTATGTAGAACGTCCAATCTACCGAAAATACCTCTTTGAAGTTAATTTTAAGGCTCAATGTCTGCTGTTGCCAATAAATTTACATTTAATGTCCTTACATTTCTCAGTCTTACTACTCAGTAATCCGATCTGTCATCGTATACCTCCTATGATATAGAAATATTTCATCTTAGGCATTAGGAGTTTTTATACCACCTTCTTGCCTTTTAGTTCATGCAATATCAAATACACAGAAGGAATTCAGAGTTTGAACTGGACTAAAATTATGAAAACGATCAATGACAACCCGGAAGATTTCTTCGAAAATGGTGGATGGACTTTCTTGGAACCAAACAGCAGTGTATGCATTTACGTTGTATTTCAGTCGTGTTACTGTCCTGCTCTAATGTTGGGAATCACCTGGAAGTCGAAATAAACAGAGGGTCATAGTCAAATTCAAAATTTGCTAAAAAGGGGAGTTTTATAAACGGAGGGCGACCTCGTATGATGTTAAATTACTGTAGAAAGTTAAAGCAAAGAGCTTTCTAAATTTTAGTTGTAGACTTTCGTCGATGAAACGGGCTGGTTGAAATAAAGAATATCTGTAAAAATCCCAAATATAAACAGGGGAGAGACGTTGGTTTTAGACCTCAGCCTATATTCAGCTTGGCACTATAATCTTTGAATGAGCAACCCCCTTTTATTAACTGGATGCTGGTTTTCTGCATTTAGGATGAAGAAGATGATGGTGACGACGAGGAGGAATCAGATTACAATCCCACTGATGCCTCTGGCGTTGAAGATGGAAGCGTAGATTCAGAAGAAGACTATACTTCAGAAGAAGAAGCAGATGAGTCGGGTAAACATGCACACATATTTCTACTCTTTGTTAGAAGTACACAAATTTCGAGCTTACTCAATTTGACGTTTCGACCGTACTACTTTTCGCTTGCAGATGATTTCCTTCTATTGTCAGAATATTTTTCGGACTCCGAACAGATGCTACTTTGTCTTTTTATACTTTGACCTTACAATTAGCCATTAATTTCTTGCCATGCTATACAAACATTTAATTTTTCTGGCATTGTTGGCTTCGATTAAGATTTTTCAAACATACTATCTTGCCTGGGTACAACCTTTATTGACTAACTTCCCCCAGCAACTGGAAATTTTTACAACCCCCCCAACAAACCAACAAACATTTAGATATAATATTCCTAAACGTTTGATACTCATTTGATATTTTGGCATACTCAGACTATGAAGAAGAGCTTGGAACTGATGAGGAAAGCGGCAAGAGCTGGAGTGAGCTAGAAGAAGAAGCCAGTAAAGGTATATCAATGATATTTTGATTCTTAAGAACTGGCAGCAGTTCAGCAAAAATACAGTACTTGAGCAGAGGCATTTGACACAAAATAGAGCAGTATCCCTAATATTTTGTTGCTGCTGCGCGAATGATTCCCTGGCTGTTAGTAGAGACACGTTGGATGCAGGTTTGAGCAAATAAGAAGATAGTTGCTGTGAATTCTTGTGTATAGCAATTTAGAACCTTTTTAAAAATCAGCTCTTTTCGATATTTTCCCTGCTAGGTAAATAAGATCGATCAAAATATTTGAGATTTTTGAACAAAATATTTTCGACTGAAGTCTCAATGTCTCATCTTTTCTTGACTCCCTATAAAATACTGGGAACCACAGTAAAAGCATGGAAAGGCATGCTTCCTCGAAGAAAAGAATTAGCCTTTTATATTTTGTGTCACGATATATGCTTGGAAAATCATTAATTTAACACAAATTTAGGATCCTTGTTTCAAGTTTATCTCATTGTTTGTATCGAATTTTTATTTTCTATGCACCACTTTGATGAATGGAACTTGTGTCAAGCTTTTCCCAGACTCGCGACATGATACATACTTAATGGGCAAATTACAGGACGATCAATTTTAAAATGGATATGAATAACAGCTGCGTTACTTTCTATTGCAATCAAGGCTTTTCAAGGCGAAAAATTGGCCTAAGTTAACAAGCTGTTAAACTCCATTTCTGGCTTGAACTTGGATATAGCTTGCTGTCCCATGCTCAATATGGTTGGTGCAATATGGCCTAATACATGCAGTTGGAACTCAATTTAACGGAAAATTTATGCAAATGATATTGTCAAATTTGAATATGATATTGTGTTTTATAATATTTTATTTGTGCACATTGCTCCTTGATTGGTCACGTATTTTACTTTATTTTAGCTGACAGAGAACGTGGAGACATATTGGAAGTAAGCGCCGATAAGAGTGTGAAGCGAAAGCGGGGCTCGGAAGATCACAGCAAATCGAGCAAAAGGAGCAGGCGTTAAATTAAGGCGTAAATTAAGGCGTAAACAGGCCCTATGTGTAGATGCTGAACTATACAGTTTTGATGGCTTGCAAAGAAAAGCCAACGAACATTTAATGGCATGACTTTATTGAACTGCAGTTTGTATATTGTTAGGCAGCGTAATTAGTGACTTTGGCTGACAAAAAATTGATTCAGCTATTTGCTACAAAACATACTAGATCTGTTGTCTAATTTTACCTCTGTCAAGGTTTCAGGACACAAATTCTACGTCCAGGATTCCACGAAAAGTTATTTCTATGTTACCGCAATGTTTTGCTGTATTGTTAGGTTTTGTTGAAGTCTAAATTTAAGCTTAAATGATATATGCATAGTTTGCTATGAGTAACGAGCAGAATTCAATTATGTTTACTTTGTATTACTAACGAAATTTCCTTTGTTCATTATTTTAAAACCAAACATTGTAACAATGCGAGTGCTGAGGGAAGTCGTACACATAGGATTTCTGCAACCTAGCTGTACATAGATAAAGAGGGAAAAACTTTACATTTAAGGGCTTATCAATAATAAGAATTATTGAAAATGTTTTACGGTGATTTATCAAATAAGAATTCCATCACCGTTTTTTGGCTATCTTATTTTTTGCGAAAAAGCTTTAGCCTTGCAAATATTGAATATGTTTTCTGACCATTTATCCAAGAGAAGCCAAATGATAATGGTTAAAATTTAACATGTCTTTTGAAAACTTTACAAGCGTTTTCTAGTGCTTTACAATTTTTGTAAGACCCTGGGCTTGGTTTTTTTGCCAAAAATATAAGTCATTCTTTGGAATTTTCCTCCGCTCAATATGCACTAACTGGCATCCAAAATCCTGGGAATGTGCTTACCAACATTTATAAACGATTCAAATCATTTTGCAATAGGCAGTAATTTTTCTTCTTAAATGGCATTTAAGAACGGAAAAACTCTGTAGAACTTTTTCCTTCTAAAAAAGTCAGTTCAGAGCATTTGGGAGCAGTGAAATAATTTTTAAAGCCAATAGAAATGATTTGCAGTACTTTGAAACCAGCGAAATAATTCAGAATTTTTTATAATTTTTGCAGGTCTATAGGCCTGGGTTTCTGCCAAAAATTCATGAATTTCTTTAGGACTTCATTATTTTTAAAGAAAGCAGTAAAATGTACTTTATACTTATAGGAACGACTTCTAGTAGTCTAAACTATTAAGAAATTCTGAATTTTTTATCATTTTGGGAAGTCTATAGGCTTGTTTCCTTCCCAAAAATTCAAGATACTCCTTTGGACTTCTTAATTCTAGAGAAAGAAGAAAAAAATCCATTTGATAGCAGCGAAATAATTTTGAAAGCCAATATATACGACTTGCAGTACTAACAAATAAAAAAAATTCAATTTTTTTTAATCATTTTTCAAGTCTATAGCCTTGGGTTTTGTACCGAAAATATTAGTATTAATATTATAAAGACTTGTGCCGAAAATATTAAGACTTTTTAAGCAGAAAAAATTTTTTGATAGCAGCAAAATAATTTATATTTAAACGAACAAAAAATTCAGTATTTTTTATCATTTTGGCTAGTCTATAGGCTTGGATTTTGTGTTAAATATTCAAGATTAAAACTCCTTTCTTTTCAAAGTAGCAGTAAAATGCATTTGATGGCAGCGAAAGAATTTTTAGAACCAATAGAAATGATTTGCAGAACCTTAAAACCAGCAAAAATTCAATATTTTTTATCATTTTGGCTAGTCTATAGCCTTGGATTTGTGCCAAAAATTCAAGATTTTCCCCAGGACTTCTTTTTTCTCAAAGTAGCAGTAAAATATATTTGATAGCATTGAAAGAATTTTTAGAACCAATTGAAATGATTTGCAGAACCTTAAAACCAGCAAAAATTCAGTATTTTTTATCATTTTGGCTAGTCTATAGCCTTGGATTTGTGCCAAAAATTCAAGATTTTCCCCAGGACTTCTTTTTTCTCAAAGTAGCAGTAAAATATATTTGATAGCAGTGAAAGTATTTTTAGAACCAATTGAAATGATATGTAGTATCTTAAAACCAGCAAAAATTCAGTATTTTTTATCATTTTGGCTAGTCTATAGCCTTGGATTTGTGCCAAAAATTCAAGATTTTCCCCAGGACTTCTTTTTTCTCAAAGTAGCAGTAAAATATATTTGATAGCAGTGAAAGTATTTTTAGAACCAATTGAAATGATATGTAGTATCTTAAAACCAGCAAAAAATCAGTATTTTTTATCATTTTGGCTAGTCTATAGGCTTGGATTTTGTGCCAAAAATTCAAGATTTTCCTCAGGACTTCTTTTTTCTCAAAGTAGCAGTAAAATATATTTGATAGCAGTGAAAGAATTTTTAGAACCAATTGAAATGATATGTAGTATCTTAAAACCAGCAAAAAATCAGTATTTTTTATCATTTTGGCTAGTCTATAGGCTTGGATTTTGTGCCAAAAATTCAAGATTTTCCCCAGGACTTCTTTTTTCTCAAAGTAGCAGTAAAATATATTTGATAGCAGTGAAAGTATTTTTAGAACCAATTGAAATGATATGTAGTATCTTAAAACCAGCGAAAAGTAATTTACGATACTATTGGCTGTACCTTATCCTAACAAAAAATTAAGAATTTTTTTTATCATTTTTGCAAGCCCATAGGCTCGATTTTGTGCCAAAATTTTAAGATTTCCCTCAGAACTTTTTTTTTCTCAAAGTAGCAGTTAAACGTATTTGATAACAACAAAATAATTTACGATACTACTGGCAGTACTTTAAACTAGCAAGAAATTCGGAATTTTTTATCATTTTGAGAAGTCTATAGGCTTAGATTTTTCACCAAAAATTTAAGATATTCTTCAAGAGTTTATTTTTCAAAATATGGCAGTAAAGTGGATCAGAGAGCAGCGAAGTGTGTCGGAATGTTTGAAATCAAGATTGAAAATTCAACAGCCATATGACAGTAAAACACATTTGAGGGCAATTATTTGAAATTATTTAAATGATTTGCAAAACTATCAGAAGGGCTGACAAATTTACTATCAAATCTATAATAGGCTGGAATTTATTTGCCAAAAGTAAAAATATTCCTTAGGACTTTTTTCTTCGAAATAGCGTTATAGAACTTGTGAAGGTATTGGTACTTATTTTTATATTATTGAGGGCTGTAGGCTGGTTTTGCGAAACCTGTAGAATTTTCAGGTATAAAATTTTAGCATTGAAGAAAAGGGCATTGCAACAATTTGAAACGATTGAAAATCTTTCTTCAATACAATTTTTTACTTCAATTTCATTTTTTGAAATTTCTTTTTCGAAAATTCTATAATTGTAATCTAGAGAGAACATAGATCTTTCCTAAAACATTAAAAGTTCTCTAGCTCAATTTCTAATGCAAAAGTTGCAGGTAAAAAAATCTGAATTCTGCTGAACGATTCAATTAACTTTTCAGTGAAGATGTAATGAGTAAAAAGTTTTCACAGTAAGATAAGTTAAAGTTCAGAATCACTCCACAATAACAACAAAGCTCTTCATAGCAGACGAAAAGCAAAGTAATAATTTCTGCCTTAAAAAATAATAAATTGAATGCCAAAGTAAATGCCGTAAAAGCTCTACTAAGCCCCCTTGGGCTGATTTATCTTTTCAATGGGGGCTTAAAAAATGGGGGGCTTATTGGAGAGAGGGCTTCTTAAAAATTTAATTTAAAAATGTTATAAAAATGCCCACACAATGTCATACAAATATTCTCAAAAACTTTGCTAGCAGCTTCGAAAGTTTTTTAAAATTAATCAGTTATTCTGCTTTCTTTAAAGAATAATAAAGTCCTAAGGAAATTATGTCCTCATCTTCCTCAGAGTTAACAGGATCAATTGATATCTCGGGACATCTTCGAAACAAATTTCGAATGCTTTTAAACGCCCTCAAGTAAATATGTACATGGACCGTATTTAATGCACACAATCTTATTGTCATCACACCCATCAATAGACCCAATTAATGCACTTGTTTTCTTCGTTTGACACCAGGGGCATAAATCTTTTCTTGATAAGGGGAGCTTAAAAAAGAGTGGTAAATTTAGTAGGCAGGTTTTTTGCTATAGGGACATGCGGGGTGTGTAACCCTCTTGAAAAAATTCTTTGTGAAAACTTTGCCATTTAAGGGTGCTTTGTCGGCCAATTTCCAAACTTGTCAGCAAATAAAGGATGACTCGCCCACTCTGTCGGCAAATGTGACTTGGAAACCCCCTTTAGCACAAACAACAGTATCGATGTTGGCTACAATAGTATGACAGGGGACAGTATGGTAATTTTTATGCATGATGAGGATGCTAAATGTTTGTGAGCAAGACCTTCCATTTTCAAATAGTGAAAAACTTTGGTGTGATTTTTATAGTACAAAATTTTTCAGTGGGCAAAAGTCCGTGAAATAAAATTTTTTGAACGGTTAAAAATTATGGAGGCTCCTTCTGTCTGATAATTTTAGCGTCCCAAATTCACTGGATCCAATAATCCTGCGTTCCGCGGATTGCCCAACATTCCGGATTTGTGTCGAGAATCTGTGTTGACTGACTTTGACATGACTGATGACGCGTGCTCCTCAAAAACACGACAAGATCGCTGCTTCAGTCTAGTGCGCCTTTTGCCTTGCTGCATTTAGTAAAGGACAGGTAAAAGGAGAAGGTTACAAAACCATCGTGAAGAGCAATGGAGAAACTGGCCTTTGTATTTCTTCTAAGTTGTGCGTTAACCCATACAGGTAATAACAGCTTATATTATTTGAGTTCTAATGCACGCAATCAATCGCGGCGTGCAAGCAGATTACTTTTAGCCTATGGTATTGCAATTCTTAAATCGGTAACCAATTTGACAATTTCAGTCTCCAGTGCTAGACTGATTTCGTGAATGCCATGCCCTTACACTGCACATATGGAGAACCAAAACCTTTTGTTTCGTTGTGGTTTATTTCTTTAACTTACATTTATTTGCTAAAGTAAATATTTTTTTCTTTGCCGATGCTTTTTAGGCCAAAATCCTCCCAGGTCTGTAGCAGGTTCAAGCAGGTGGACCTTACCCAAATACTTTCGATAGCCGTGGCACAGTTTGAAACACGATTTGCCAGTAATGTAGAGTAGGACTAAGATAGCAGAAAGGGCACACCCATAAACTACATGACATTGCTGGGACAGTGCTGCCACGCACAATATAAAATTTCTACCTACCACCTACCACATTAGTTACAAATTCATACCTACACACAACCTACGAAGCTTAGCAACTCAATTTTCTATCCACAATTACCTACGAATTTTGAAAAAACCTACTTTTACCTACGGAAGGCCCTCGGTGGTGTCTTCTTTCCAATGCTGTTGCTAGATGTTTGCGGTTGGGGCATTGCATGATAAGAAAAGGCAAATAGATCATCCACTTTATATTTTTGTATTTAAATCCTATTGTTCTATAGCTGTATTTCAAATCGCTCAGGGGGGCAAACCAGCGAAATATTCATGGTAGATTGAGGCTGCTTTTTCAATATTTTGGTCGAAAAAATTCTTTAGAATAGAGAAATAATACTTTTAGAACTAATTTTTGCACTTCCACATAATTTTCGCGCATTTTCTAATTGTGGTTTCCCTTGCCTAGAGCCCACATGCATTTTCTGAGAAAATCTACCTACAAATTTCGAAAAAATACCTACATTTCAAGATTTATACCGTAGGTTTTCCCTACAACCTACAAAACCCTCAAAATCCCTACTGTAGGTAGAAATCCCTACGTGCAGCAGCACTGCTGGGAGGAAAGAAGACTTTTTAAATATGCATGCAATTGGGCTAGCAGGGTCTATACCCCACCCCCCCACCTTTTTTCAATAATAGGTTAGACGGTTTTTAGAAAGTTTACTCTAACGCAACTTTGGAAAGTTTTCTCTAACGGGTCCTATGTAATGGCAGCTCTTCTTGACTGGGAAGCCTTTTTTGAACATTTTCTTTGTGTTTTATCTTGTTTAAATATGTTTTGTTTTCTAACTTTGTTAGCTTTGTGTTTAATAGTCCTCGTGCTAATTGTATCTGTTTTTACGACCCATGTAATACGACAGAATACCTTGAACATATGCAACAATTCTGCGCAAAAAAGCGTTTTGAATAATGGATTTGCATCAAGAAGGAGTATATGATTCTTTCCAAGTGATGCATGGGGTTTTTAGAACAATTCACGGTACCCCCATCAACATTTTTCGGCACAGACTTCCTTCAACATAAAAATTACAGTTCTATGATCCATTTTTGGAAAATGTGACGATAAAAACTGACAACGCCAACTTGGATCCATAAGTAGGATTTTTAGGGATTCTTTGAAGTTCTTCCGAAAATAAAAATATTTTTCTCCAGATTGTCATAAAGTGATATGCCTCTCCTTATAATCGCTAGCCAGGGTTGTATATTCTGTCTGGATCCAGCTGCTCACTCTCCTGTGTGAGCAGTGTAAAACGAGACGGTGTAAAACGGAAGTTTGAACTATTCTGGAATAGTTCAAACTTCCGTTTTACACCGCCTCCTGGTCACATGGTTACAAGTTCATTCAAATATCATTTTACTCGATCTTAAAGATTACGCAACGTTTGGCCAGCGAAAAGCTACCTTGAACGAATTTTTTTATAAGAACACACTTTATAAGAACACTGAGGCTCGATTTGCACAAAAATAGGAACAAGGCTAGAACATGATCAGCTTCAGATATGAAATTTAAAAAAAACAACTGCACCGGCATTCTCTTGACAGAAAAAATTGATGAGTTTGCCCATAAACAATAGCAGCCATTGCTTTATTCAGGGCCTGCGAAACCGGGAGGCCGGTGGGGCCATGCCCCCCCCCCCAACTTTTCTGCAGAGCTAAGGAAAACTTTTAGGTAAAAGTGGAAAAAATGTAGTATGATTCTGTAAGTAACTTTGCCTAGTATTCTCTTAAATGTGTCCTTAGCTTTACCTTGGTTGCTATGTCTTTACCATAGAAGACATACATAAATTGAATATGGGAATTAGATCGAAGAAATCGGTCATTGTCCAAGTTTTACAACGACTAACAGCTTGGCTTAGCAAATAGATCGAGAAAACTAGTCCAGAATAACTTGGTGCTGGCAAAAATGGACGGAGTTTCGTTTTTTCCATTGCCTAAACTTGGCACACAAGGTCTATTTGTTAACGAAAACTTTCTCAGAAACATTAAAAAAAGAGAGAAATCAGCTGTTGAACGAAAAGAAACGGCTGGAAAGAACTTTTCTGAGGATATTGAAATAAAGTAAGGGCAGATTTGTTCTTAAAAAGTATAATCAAGAAAACTTCAGAGTTTGATCGTTGGATAATCCATTCCTACTAAGAAAGAGAAAATATCGACGCAGTTATAAATTCTATTTAAACCCACTTTTAAAAGCCCAGTTTAAAGGTTTTTCAAATTTTTGTCAAAGCACTTCATTTTCGAAAAAGTTAAGATCAGATGTTACAAAGTTATATCTTAACTGTACAAAATTGCTTAACTTTTTATTTTTAGTTGATAGTTCTTCTCCCCCATCTTATTTCGGGTACTTTAAAAATCTAAAAAAGGTTTCATTATGAGCTATATGGTAGTGGTTATTCTAAAACTTTGCAAAACTTTTTTATTTCAATTCAACATCACAATAGACGCGACTATGCGACACCTTCAGTCAAATTTAATTTTAGATACAGTTTCTGGCCATCCCTAATGCACCATGATTCTAAAAATTTTCTTGCCGCCAACCATGGTGGCGGCCTTTCCTAAGCCCTTTCAAAACTTTGATATTTTGGCCCCTCCACTTTCAAATACGTTTCGTCGGCCCTGTTATTTTTTAACTTTACCCAGTAAAACGTCATAGAAACTATATACAGTATGTAACTTCTCAACTATTTGCCAAAAAATGACTCTTATAATAAGAACAATTTTAAGAACATTTGAGCCTAAAATTATCAAAAAGTTAAGAGCATCGAGGCTCGACAAAAATTATCTGGTTTTTATTAAAAACAGAGCGTACGTCGCATACATTTCTCGCAATATTTTTTTAGAAATGAGTCGATGCTTCTTAAGAAAAGTATAGCAATAACAAATCTAGCATTCGATGCTATTTGTCGCTAGTAAGGGAGAGCTATTGCTGGGTTGCAAATTTCTTTAAAGTGAAACTAATAAGAGATCCTGACAGCCCTTTAGCAAAGCAAGTCAGTGACGAATCAAATCTTTTGAAGTGTTTTGAATCGTTTACAGTTCTGGGTCTGGAAAAGAAGAGTGAAAATATTCTATTTAACGCCTTGGTTATTAGAAATGGTTGCTCTCAAAAGAAAGGGACATGAAAAAGGGCAAGCTGTTAAATTTGTCAGACAAAAAAGGTGTTGGCTTGCCCCATCGCCCAGTGCCGGTGCCAGCCAGTAGAATCTGGAAGAGGAGGACAAAACAAATTTTGCCCAGCCTATTTACTGTCAGAAATCACCCCTTTAACAATAGGAAACGTCCATAACTATGATTTGGTTACGTAAAGACAGTTTGAAATCAAAAGATAACTGTCATATGTCTACACAAGATAACTTCTTGGGGTGGGGAACGCGGGTTGGCCCCACACCAAGTTTCAAAGAATAGCTCGAGAGTAATTCACCCGTTGTACAAAAACTTCACCCGATTATCCAACTATCCAACAAAAGTATAGCTATATACAAACCTTAACTGTATACACAATAAAAGCAATTTCCTTCGAAAGATAAGAGATCCTTAATAATGTAATCTTTACTCAGGCTCTCTAGGCTTGCAACTCAACGTCGATTTTACAGGAACAAGTATATACTTGTTCAAGCATTAAAATGTCAATATAGATTAAGGTACTGGTAGTCAAACGTCAGGGGGTATCTAAAAAACCACGCAGTTTCTTGACAATAACATAACAAAAATACGTCACAAAAATATTACCCCTCCCCCAACATTTTCTCATCGAATACAAAATACAACAAAATACAAAATTGATCTTGACGATAACTGGGGGACGTGTTCTACCACTCCTCCTACCGTTGCGCCGCTATTGCTCCCCGCGTATTGTTGCAAAAAAGAACTCTGTTTCGAAATCTTTTATAAATGTGTATGAAGAAATACTTTCATGCAGTTATAATACCTGCCAAGTGTCTGTTTGAGGAAGGCTTATAGTGAAACATGGCATAAAACCCAGACCAGAGAGTAATAGCTCACAATAGATCACAGGTCTGGATCAACAACCACACATTTTTGAAGGGGTGTGGATGATTCTAGAATTTGAATTCAGATCATTGCGGATTAGAGGGCAAGGCAAGAACTACTCCAAAAGGCTTTAAGTTCGGCAGAATCGGAAAAAGATCGTTCGGTCCTTCTTAAAAATCTTTTAGAAAGGCTGTCAATGTTACTCTTGTGTGTGAATAAAAGAGAGGCCACGATAGCAGGCTGCTCAACGGGCTCCGAAAGAATGCTTGCAGCGAAAAATCGATAAAATTGTAGTAAATAAGCAGTAAATAACGAACACCGCAACGCGAAGAGAATGAGCAACTACAAACACACATAAATCAGTTATGGCTGATATTTCGCCCCGGCATACGTGTTCGTTTACTTCTGCTTTGATGAAGCCCCGTCTGCTGGGGCAAAATATTAGCCATAACTGATTTATGTATGTTTGTAGTTTTTCATTCTCGTCGCGTTGCGGTGTTCCTCATTTACTACTATATAACTCTTGCCCAGGTTTTTGAGGAATGCAAAGGTTAGCTGAGGTTCGGCGAGGCAAGATATGATGTATCGTAGCGAAATGGTCCGTTGCGAAAAAATTTACTGCAGAGTCCAGGAATATTGTCAAGCTTCGTCCCGCTAAGCAAAAATTACTACAATACAAAACCTTCTTCATTTTTAATGGATTAAAAATGGGCGTTAATGGTAAGGAAATTGGGGCACTCAACTAGCCTTTTGGAAAAAATGTAGCTTGTTTTTCACTTATAGATATTTTTTGAGACAGATGTAAAGTAACATACTTATGTCAGTTGATAAAAAAGGCGTATCATTATCTAAAAATATATTTTATAAAAAGGTGATACCTAGATTTTACAGTTATGCAAGCACATTCATATTAAAAACCTGGACGTTTATGAATATTATTTAATATTTTTCATTTTTTTGTCTGATTATATTTTTAAAACAAGAAAGCAATAACATTTCATAAACATGTATCTACACCCATGAAACGTGTATCTCCTTGTGCCATAATAGACCTGGTTTTTGAAATGGGTTTAAATGCCTGAAATTTATTTGCATGGGTGTAGTAGATGCAAGGCGTTTTGTAGTAGGATCATATGCCATTAATTAACATACATAATTATTATGCTAACCTCGCTTTCGTTTGTATATAACACTTAGCCGATTGTTTAGTAATTCAGTCAGTGATTAACCTCAACACGAGTCGCTCGCTTTTTGTCTTCACTCTCAATTCGTTGACTACTCGAAGTGACAAGGGTTTTAGAGAAAGTCTAACCCCTGTTACAACTGGTGGAGTACCCTCAAAAGATTTCTGGTCAACCGTCGCTCTATTTCTTGTTTTCGACGATTTTGCCGAATACGCTACAATGTTCGATTGCACATATTGTAAAGGAAAAGGGCATTTCAAGCAACATTGCCTCAAGCTCCTTACGAAGAACTGCCCAGCTGATATTTGCCGCGATTTCAATCGTTTTCAATCGCCTACATGTAACTTTAAAGGATCGTGTTGTTACAATCGTCGCCACATATGCTCAATTTGCTATGACGAAGAATGCAAGGCTTCGTTTCATGTTAGTGGACATACTATCGGATCGTTGTCTTTGCCCAAGAAACACGCAACAACATTAGCAAAACTGGTAGAAGTTATCAAGTCAATCTACGACATCATTTCCAAAACTCATGAACACCACCCAAAGAACAAGTTGCCTCAGCCTTTGGCATCCTCCGGCATTCGTGACTCATCAACACCCTCTTCCACAACGCCAATCAACTCCATTGTTCAGGAGGAAAGAAGCATATTGGCCCTTCCCGTTGTTTGTGCTGATCGCAACATCACAATGCCTGTAGCAACATGCTTTCCTGCTTCTTCAGTTTCATTGGAATTCGCCAAAGAGATAATGACATCCGCTGGCAATAACCAATCCATTGAACCTCTCGATTCTTCACGTCACGCTATCCTTTCGCCTGATGGTTCGCATCTACGCCCATGTGGCACAATAACGGTTCCTTTGAAGTTTCCAAATGCCAAAGTCTATCGATTTCAAATGCTTGTAATTCCGCAGTTACAAGAACAGATCATCTTCGGAAAAAATCATCTCACCAAAACTGCCGCCGAAATTTCCGCCGCAGCATCTGAAATCCAATTTCATGATCGGAACATGAACTTTACTGCCAAATGTTGCCACTACGAAACTTCAACCATTCAAGCTCTTACAGCATATTTTGAAGGAACTTAATATCGGACTTGTCGTTCAAAAAAAAGAAAATCCCTTCCAGTTCTTTTCTTTTTTTACGTAGAAGGGATGGACTGTAGTAGGATCATATGCCATTAATTAACATACATAATTATTATGCTAACCTCGCTTTCGTTTGTATATAACACTTAGCCGATTGTTTAGTAATTCAGTCAGTGATTAACCTCAACACGAGTCGCTCGCTTTTTGTCTTCACTCTCAATTCGTTGACTACTCGAAGTGACAAGGGTTTTAGAGAAAGTCTAACCCCTGTTACAGTTTAGGGAGGGGGGGGGGGGTTATTACGGATCATGCCCGAAAGTGTTTCTTTATTAAGATAGAACTCCCTGAATGAAGCTTGACATGCTGTAAATGTTGCCTGATTACGAGGCTGCAGCTCTCCCAGCCCCTACCTCTCGTACGCCTATGTTGACTTGGAATTTTTGTTATTGCAAGACAACATCTTCATTTATTAACAGATTGCAGACAAGGTTGGAAGACTTCTGGAAATGGGTATTTTGTATACAAAGCATCAACTGATTTCAATACGACGAGCAAGATATCAATAACTGGTAAGTTTTCAACCAAGGCAGGGAGCATGCAGAAAAATGTACTTGTTGCAGTCGAGGATGCAAATGGAGATTTGAAGTTACAAGTTTCTGCCAACAAAGGTAAGAAATGCAAAATTCAATGCTTTGAACATACTTCTAATGACATTTACCAAGAAATTGAACTATTATCAGAGACCTGAATCATAGAATAGAAATGGCACTTTTATCTATATTTAGCCAAAGCTATAATCAGTTCTCGTATTCACTGAAAGAGCCAGATTTCAGCAACCTTATCTCTAGTTAGATATGTTGTAAAAAGGTTTGAACATGAAAATTAGATTTGTGTTAGCACATCAAAGTCTTAAGGGAAATGTCTAGGAAGATTTAAAAAGGCTAAAATAATGAATTATCACTTGGTTTAATTGTTTAACAAAGTTTGTAGCTGGACGAATACAGGGGATCGAAAATGCCATCCTAAAAGTTAGGGGAGGGGCTGTGCTGTAAGCATTTTTTAGAAGCCACAACCATGATCACGACCATGGGTACATCTAATATGCTTGCATTTTCTTTTGTTTAAAAAAATCATTCAAATTATTCACCGACACAGAAAGACTCATGCGAAATTACTCATTTACAGAAAAACTACAGCATAATGAGGAGTTGCCATTATAGACTTCATACTAAGCTTCCCCCATGATATCTCTCTGAATTGTAACTAGGGGGATTAACTAGACGAACTCCCCTCTACGGCACCCCTGTCATGTTGCAACACCAATATTTCGTTTTGTAGCTTTTTTGCCATTTTCGAGTTTGTTTTATTTGCAACTAATAACATTTTCTGAATATCAAACAAAATGAAAATCAAAGTACCCGTAGTTGAGGATTTACGGTATGATGAAATGTGAGACGTCATCAATGGCGCAACGAAAGCATCTGGGGCCCTATCCTACGAAAATACACTGATACGGGGCCTCTACTTACGAACTGCTAGAAAGTCCAATCCAAAGCTGTACAGCATGTCAAACACAATAGCAAAATGAAAAATTGGCAATTTCCTCTTTAACTAGGGGGAGCTAAGTTATAGAAGATCCTGTTGAAAATCTTTAAACGTTTTACATGGAGGTAAACACGAGCGTAGTCTTTAAAACATGGATTTTGAAATAATTTGGGGCCCCTTTTGCTCGGGGGCCCTTAGTTATCGAACTAAAGTGCCCTAAACTGCATTATGCCCCTGGATGTCTGGATGTCATCATGAAATTTACAGTACGAGATGCTCGTAAAACCTTGCACTAACGAATAACGACCATGTTCAAATGGTTCCATTCCATATATTCTAACCTAGTTTCTTGGCAGATACACTAAATTATTGTTTTTAGCTGCAGACCCGCAGTATTCCTTTTCTAGCAACTTCTTTCTTGATAATTTCAGGTTCAATAACTAACGAACTCCGAAGAGGCCAAAGCTTTGCAGTTGTTTCAACGAAAGTTCCTGGTTCGGATTTTGGATATGCGTTTGATTTTACAACAACCCTAAGCCAATCACTTTCCAGCAGTGGAGACTGGGAACAAAATCTTCAAAGCAATCCTGGCTATGGTATTACTGTAAAAGGCAGTGAAAAATGGGACCTTTCCCAAGTTACCATTTATATCGCTGGCTATAGAAATGAATCAGTGATATCGGGTAATTTTTTCGAGGGCTGCCTTTCTAACATCGTATTTCAGGGAACAGACGTTCTTGCAACATATTTCCAACAGTATCCAAACAACACCAATCCGGTTAGAGGGAGCCTCACTGTCAATAAATTCAGCAATGTTGCGGAAACATGCGATGATGTCAAAAGCACAGTCCAGCCCACAACAACGTCGAAGGTTGCCCCAACAACTAAAGGCAACAGTGGAAATTGTAGGGAACCTTTGATGGTTTTCACCCTGGTTTTTGCATGCTTTGCTTTCTTGCTGCACTAATTGCTTGACACACGCCTTTTCCTATGATGAGAAAATGCTGACCTAACACTCTGCTTTTGGGTAAATCTTATTGTGCTTATTTCTTACTCCACTGTTGCATTATTTTTAATTTGTGGTTGACAATTTCACTCGCTTGATTCTTTGTAACAGTAAATGCAGATTTGTGTAACTTGGATGCATTTCATAAAGAAACACTCTACTATTAAGGTTGTCTTTATTTGATTTGATTTTACCTGCATAATGTTTCAAGGAGTATTAAAGTTATGAAAGCCTTCTCGACATTAAAACGGTAACTTTTCACTTTAATTCTTTTAAGATTTAACAATACCTCTTGAAATTCAAAGGCTTTCTTTAAGGCATTTAAAGGCGTACTGCCTTTTTTTTATAGGGATTAGAATTTAGAAAACACGGTCTATGAAATTGAAAAGCTGTACAATTTTGATAGTCACAATCATCAGCAATTCAGAGTAATATGAATAAAACAAAATATTGTTGCATAGATAGATGATAGATTTGACGTAGTTTTAGGATATTATCATGAGCATGCCAATATATGGGACGATGCCATAATGTACATCGGTGTCTGGAGAAGAAAAATGGGATCAGCAAAATCTTAGACTTATATTTTCGACAGCTAAATATGTTTTCCAAATTCTGTTAAGATATTTTTAAGAACAACCACATTTAGTTAATCAAAGGCTTGTTCATTCCTTTTGCTACAGCTGTTCAAGCTCCGCTACTGGTTGGATAGCTTTTTGGAAAAGGACAAGTACATAATTTTCGTCTTCGACCTTGTGCTATCCAACTTCTTGCTGCTCATCCTTTCCTAGGACGGGTAGGGATGAACTATAATTAAAATAGCTGTTTTTGTTATTTGCCTCAGAACGCGATTCATTCAAGTTTTCGTATATGATTGAATCATTCCCGTGATCAAATATCAGTTCTCGAAAATTTCCATAAATTTTGATATTTTGATAGTTTCAGAAGTGGATGGGCCATAAAGTAGAATGGATTGCTTATAAATCAGGAACAGTATATATAACAAAGAAATGTACGCGTTTGATGTATAGAACAAAATGGTTCTAAGAAATTGCGGCTCGTGGTAAAAATGGCCGGTGGGGCAAAAAATAATCAAGAACCTCTAGGTTGGAGCTCGTGGTTAATTATACTGCACCAGGCCCCATGCTTACTCTAGTGAGAAGTTCTATTTTATTCTAGACTCGCGCTCATTTGAAATAATTCATATACTTTTATCTTACATTAAAAATCTGACGTTTGAGTTGATTTAGTTTTAAGTCTAATAGAGCCGGGTTGAGGTGAACTTGAGATATCTCATATTGTCTATGTTCATGAACTCACATTTTTACCCTTGACAATTCAATTTTATACAAATTGCTGTAGAGAAATTAGTCGCTATTAGTTAGAAGAATTGTCTCACTGTTGGGAAACATCAATTTAGCAAGCATACAGGGACCGCGTGAGCTGCTCTGGGTGGGGGATTGAGAGGGCTTTACCCCCCCCCCCCCATAATTTCCAACATGTACTTTAAACCCTACAAGAAATTGCCCTGATCTTGGTTTTTAGCATGTTAAGCCCCCCGATCAGTGGTTTTGGATAGTAATGTCCTGTTCCCCTGTGACTCTGGCAAAGTGGCCTAAGCTCATTGGGCCTAAGTAATCTATAGAGAAGACTTGAGGCAGAAAATGAACAAACTACAATTGCTAGGCCATTTCTCCTTTGCAGCATCAGCTCCTTTAAAGAGGTGTTTTCTAGGAAATGTCTACAACAATGCATCGCGTTTAATAACTGTTGGACAGAAGATTGCCCCCGAAAAACCAAAAAAAGCTCCGCCCACTGGTTACCAGCTATTCATGAAGGAGAAAACGGAGGGAAAGCAACAAGGCCAAAATCAAGAAAATCCGAGGGACAGATTCAAAAGAGTGGCAGCAGAATGGAATGACCTTAGTGAGGAACGTAAAGATATTTATCGTGCGAGGTATGCTATAAGCCTATTGGAAGCGGTCACACTGTCTCTAAAATTTGTAAAATACATAGGAATCAATTGTAAAAAATGGTACCGCCAAAGTAAACGGTCAATGCAAATTATTTGGGGGCAACAGCTTGCCTGCTTGGACCAATAGACCTTGAGGAAACTTTGTGCAGGAATATTCTCTGTTCCGGCCATTTTTTATCTTCGTATTTGCCAAAAACAGATCATAGAATTGGAATCTTCATGTTGAAGTTAGTCTGTGCTGAAAATTTCATGTTGTTTGGGCCGTCAGGTAGCAAATTATCTTATTTTCAAAATTTTGCTTTTCCTATTCATTTCATTTGAATTTGTTGCTGTAATGAATTTTTTTCACTACAGCAGCAAATCCCAGGACAAAATTTAAAGAAATACCTAAATGTTCAAAACAAAGTAACTCGCAACTGAATGGTCCAAACAGCAAGTTTTCAGTATAAACTAATTTCAAGACAATGATTTCAAATCTTAAGTCCATTTTCAAGAAAGGTCTGTGGATAGCGAGATACAAACTCGATGATATTGACTCGGATTGGTGAATGAAGATAAGCTATATCATGCAACATTACCTATGTACGCTGATGGAACGATGGAAGCAACAGCATTTCTCATTTTTACTAAGGATGACAAATTATGTTGTTAGCATATCAATTTTGAAGTAAAATCTTAGAAAGTTATTTAAGAGAACTGGTCCATGCAGCCCCCAGAGCAGATGCTTCAAACCCAAGAGGAAACCAAAACTAAAAGCCTCAACCTCACTTTCATTCTTTAAAATATGTGTCGCATATTTATTCAAATGAACACCAAGACAGCGAGACTACAAAAGTAGATGGTGCCCAAGTTGTAACATATAGGCAATTGTTTCCTTTAATTTCTTCAAAATTGCTTAGGCAGGTAAAGGTTTACTTCAATTCATAATGTTCCCATTGAATGCCAAAGAACTTTCTTACTCTGCTACTACAAAATTTAAAAATGCATCCATTTTATAATTTTATCAACTATCTAACAATATATTCAATTATAGTAAGAAAGTGTTAACAAATTCTTGTATTAACAGTATTGTGTGAAATTAGTAAATATCTCTTTTTATTAGTAAGTCTCTTTTTCTAAAGGTCAGATTCAGAGAGGGAGAATTGGATGAGGAGTCGAGCAAAATATGAAGCATTTCTAGATTCACTCTCAGAGGTTGAAAGAAATAGAATCAAAATGAAAGAGCTTTTACTGAAAGCTGATGCCAAAGAAAAAAGACAATTAACCAAGCAATCAACAGATGATTTAGCTTCAAAAATGCCCAAACGACCAGGAAGTGCATTTCAGTTGTATTTCCAGCAGGAACTTGAGAGGGGCAGCTTTGAGGGCTTGAAAGGACCTGACCTGTTTAAAAGTGCTTCAGAAAAATGGAAAGCCTTGCCAGATTTTCAAAGGGAGCGTTTCAAGAATATGAGAAAGCATTTACACAATCAATATTTGACCGATTTAGAGGCATGGAAGAAAAGTTAACTGAAATCTTTCCACTACACTCTTTTAGCTTGTTGGTGAACTGCTGTTGAATGTACAGTTTTTTAATGTATCTTATTGCATTTACTTCAGGTTTCAGTTTTTCTATTTTTTCGCTGTCTTATGCTGAAATTTGTAAACTTTGAAGACTTTGATGAAGTCATTATTGATTGACTCAAAAAATAACCTCTTGCATCAGCACTATAGCCAATTAACTCTATTATTATATAATTTCTGAAATAAGCTAACTCTATCATGCATTCTGTTTATAAAAAAATCAGAGAAAGGATAATGCCTCATCAGATCAAAGTACTCGCCATCAGATCAAAGTACATACCATACCACACCATACCATACCACACCATACCATACCACACCACACCACACCATACCACACCACACCACACCATACCACACCACACCATACCACACCACACCATACCACACCATACCATAAATTCCCAGGGTACAAATTTTTTAATTCCCTATGAGGCTTTGCTTTCATTAAAAAACAATAGTTTGTTTACTGTAGTGCAAAGCATGCCGGGAAAACAGGTGCCCTTATTTTGAAAACAAAACTCTGCGTCTCAAGACTCGAAGTTGTTATTGCTAAAATACGGAACAGGGAATCAAAGAGCCGAGAATCTGGAAGTGTTGAAAGTGTGGCTCAACCACAAAATAGTGTTGCTCAACTTTATTCTTTGCTTGAAAGTGCCACAGAAAGAACGGCTCAAGGCTTCCTCGATAAATGTATAATGTTACAAAAGTACGACTCATAACAAACTCAGAATTTATTTTCTTTGATTGGAGCGCAGTTTCTTCGAGGAATCCCTATGTAAGTTAAGCCTGCCCATGGTGCACCAAAAAATATTGGAATATAGTAAATTGGATCTCTTATGTTTCTTGTCCTTTGTCAGTGTGATATGCAACACCTATTATAGGATATCCCATCAATGTTGTTACTCTATAAGCGCAAAAGCAGATCTCACTTATGAGTAGGCATGAAAGCTACTTGGTCTTCTATCACACAACCGTGAACGGGTAGCCGCACATTAGGGGATGTTCAGCACCTGGGAAGAAATTGAGTTAGGAGCTCCACAATGCTCGTATTTTGGAACCCTTACCTTCGATATTTATTAGAACTACACATGACCATGGTTTTACTTCCTATGTCTAAAGGAAGCTCCAATAAATTTCGCTCAAGCAAGGATGGACGACGACAAATGCCATTTAAAGGAGAACAATGCTATCTTTAGTTTGTACAGTAAGCTCAGACTAAGCTGAGATGCTACCTTTCAGCTTTTTGGACTTGTAACGTAAAAAGCTGAATGTTGAAGATGAAACGAAGCAAAACTTGTAGGCCTTATGATGCCTCCGCGTAAATAAGCAGATGATTGTACAGCATTAGCAACAT